CCAGGTAAATAAATAATTTTTAAATGAATAAATAATTTCGATTTTTCGCATCTTCGAAACTTGCTAGACAAAGTCACAAGAACGACGTTTCTACGTTTCGTGCTCTCGCGTGAGAAAGTCTCAATCTAATAAATTCATGAAGGAACGTCGTACGGTTTCTGGTCGCTTGCGTTCTCACAAGCCTTCGAGAATATCGAGGCGCGATTCCTACGGTTTCCGTGTGATCTGTCAACCGCAAATAGCGAAACGGTAACGGTGGCGATCAGGCGGCTTTGCGTCCCCGACAAAATCAAGCGCGCTTTTGGATTGTCGTAAGATACACGTCGTTCTCGAATTTAACGAATATCGAATGAGAATAGATTTTACGTAACGATTTCAGTAAAAAATGGAGAAGTTATATTGTGACCTTTTATCAATTAGAAATGCAATTCCGAAATCCTGATACACAGAATCAGGCTTAATGCGTTGAAGCTTGGGAGACGTGTATTCTTCCCACAAAGATCTGTGCTAGCTATGATTTAATTTAGTACACTAAAAGTGTGAAATATTTTTTTTATTTTATTTTAATTTAAGAAGGTGACACTTTCACATGTCGTTAATAATTTCTATCATTTTAGGGTACGTTCCAAAACGTACTCTCCGAAGAAAATTTTATTCGATAGCCGTTCCGAAACTCTTTTAAGCGTGTCCGATTGGTTCGAATTAGCCATCGAGTAAAATTTTCCTTGGTTACTTGCGTTTTGAAAAGTAACCTTAATAGATAAGATATATATTCCATCATATAAGAAGCTTCTTTTGCGCGACTTGACATAAGAATATATGAACCGATAACTATCAGCTGATTCATTGACGGGAGACGCGTATTCTCTTTACGAATATTTGTGCTATCTATAATAATTTAATTTAGTACACTCAAAGTGTGAAATATTTTTTTATTTTATTTTAACTCAAAAAGACAAAGTTTCCACATCGCATTAATAATTTTTATCATTTTAATAGATAAGATAGATATTCCTTCATATAAGACGCTCCTTTTGCGCGATTTGACGTACGGATTATATGAACTGATAACTATTAGCTGATTCATTGATAGGAGACGCGTATTCTCTCCATGAAGATCTGTACTATTTATAATAATTTAATTTAGTACACTAAAGGTGTGAAATATTTTTTTATTTTAACTTGAGAAGGCAACACTTCCACACCATTAGTAATTTCTATCATTTTAATAGATAAGATAGATATTCCATCGTATAAGATTCTCCTTTTGCGCGACTTGACGTACGGATATATGAACCGATAACTATCAGCTGATTCATTGATAGGAGACGCGTATTCTCTCCATGAAGATCTGTACTATTTATGATAATTTAATTTAGTACACTAAAGGTGTGAAATATTTTTTTATTTTAACTTGAGAAGGCAACACTTCCACACCATTAGTAATTTCTATCATTTTAATAGATAAGATAGATATTCCATCGTATAAGACACTCCTTTTGCGCGACTTGACGTACGGATATATGAACCGATAACTATCAGCTGATTCATTGACGAGAGACGCGTATTCTCTTTACGAAGATCTGTGCTATCTATGATAATTCAATTTAGTACACTAAAAGTGTGAAATATTTTTTTATTTTATTTCAACTCAAGAAGACAAAGTTTCCACATCACATTAATAATTTTTATCATTTTAATAGATAAAATAGATATTCCATCGTATAAGACGTTCCTTTTGCGCGACTTGACGTACGGATAACTATCAGCTGATTCATTGATAGGAGACGCGTATTCTCTCCACGAAGATCTGTACTATCTATGATAATTTAATTTAGTACACTAAAGGTGTGAAATATTTTTTTATTTTATTTTAACTCAAGAAGTTTTCATTTTTTTTTTTTTTTTTTTTTTTTTTTTTTTTTTTTTTTTTTTTTTTTTTTTTTTTTTTTTTTTTTTTTTATTTTATTTTAACTCAAGAAGACAAAGTTTCCACATGGCATTAATAATTTTTATCATTTTAATAGATAAGATAGATATTCCATCGTATAAGACGTTCCTTTTGCGCGACTTGGCGTACAGATATATGAACCGATAACTATCAGCTGATTCATTGACGGGAGACGCATATAGGGACATCGCCTAATACACGCGCGGTTCGCCGTAACCGTGAATGAAATCGCGCGTGGCTCATCCTACGGTAGAGTGGTGGGAGTCGACGCGCTCGTGTGGGTGATAGCACGCGATTCAGATCGCGGCGTGCGTGGTGACGTACGCGTGTGTGGAGCAGAAACGTGGACGCGCGACGGCAGGGAAAACGCGTACGAGCATCGCGTTAGAGAGCGGCGTAGGCGGAGTCGTAACATCGTCTTCGGCTCGCACATGCGCCTTATTAAATGTGCCTCCCACAACGAGTAACGGAGAATTCGTTGCTGCGTCAGAATATCATCGTTTATATCCCGTGGCTTTTTTTTTATTTATCCCTTTTAACTCTCGTAACTCTTGTAATTCTTCCTCGATGATGGCAGATGATCGTGCGAGCAGAAGCCGATTGTACTGATCATTGTGATCATCCGTGACGACCTATCGCCCTACAAACAAATTCGCTTCTTCTCTTGTTCGTTGCTAATTTTACGAGTACTGATGTTAACGGGATTCGACGAGTCTCGCTGTTAAAAGCGTGAAATTGTTGCGAGCGCAGATAATAATCGTAGATAAGTGCATCATCGTGCAGCCGCTTAAGACTACTCGAGCATGCTGGGACGTGCGTGCCTAAGACGATGATCTCTAAAGAGCATCTCTCTATTGCTCTCTGTTTTTTTTTTATCTCTTGGTTTATGGTTTCGCTCTGGTAGGATAGATCACACGGTTTTCGTCTCGATCGGGATCGAACAAACTCGTTTGCATGATCCGGTCCACTTCAGCGATAGATTGATCATGCCGCGATGACACCGCAAACTATGGAAGACGATCTCTCGATGAATCCATCGCGAGAAAATTGCGAAAAGATCGGGCTAGAATTATGTCATATTAATACGATTTAAATCCTTCATGAGCTTTTTTATACAAAAGTATGAATATATTATATCAATTATGTGACTTGACAGAGAAGAAAATTTCCTTAAAAATTCTGATGATATATATGTAAAAGATAGAATGTTTTGATAAGTTGACGAATTTTTGAAATCAATTTCCTTTTAGCAAAAATATTTAGGCTCGTTGTTCGTTAATTTTTAAAAAATTATTATTAATTGTATTTAACGATATATTAAAACTTAAGCTAACATTCTATCTGAAATTTAGATGAAAAATGTTTTGTCATTTATTAAAAAATTTCATAAATAGTAAATAAGATCAATTTCGTAAATATTATATCTCTTGAAGAAATAATCAAATATTTCTTTAGCAATGTACATGTGTGAAAAAAAGAAAGGGTGACACGTGGAAAAATATGTCTCTGCGGGAGAATTAGAGTGACACGTCGATCGAAGAAAAAACTTGATGGACCACCTAATGCCGCGATCGCAATGAGATAAATAATCGCGATGGGTGGGCGCCGGCGCCTTCCCGTGACACGGCTTACGGGTCGCGTACGTTATGGGTTTCCCCCCATAGGGTGCCACGCTGTTGCGTACCTTCATAAGGTGGTACAGAGCTCCAGCCGCGTGTGAGAATCCATTCCGCGTGATTTCACAGGATTCGTTGGGGGTCCTTCTCTCCCGAAATTCTCCTTTCTTTTTCCCATTCTACCCTCTTTCTTCCTTGGCTTCCTGCTTCTTCCTGCTTGACGTTTCTTCTAGAACCCTGTCGCGTAAATTCAGACCACCCCGTTGTTGTCAAAGCTAAAAACTATCCCGCACAAAACACACATCTCTTTATATAGTTCAATTATTTCAAATTTAAATTATAGAAAAATAATAGCGATTATAATTATTATATTAATTATCACAATAATAGTTTGTCATTAATATAATAATTATAATTATTAAATATCTATATAATAGAATTTTGTTGATACGTGCAATTTATGTAATTCTTACCAATACTATATCTAATTCCCCTAACTATATCATATTTCGAATATCGTGAGTAATTTTCTACAAATAAAGCAAAGACTCATTTTCTACGGTGTTAATCGACCGATAACGGAACTATTTCATGGTTGAATACTTCGCTGAAAGTTTCCTGATCGAGGCTTTTGTTGGATTAGCGGATAATGAATCGTCTTGCGTACGAAATCGCCATGAATTCGCTGGACGGAGAGTTCGATTATTCGCGCAGATCACTGCTGGGTGCGAAGAAATGATCGGGAAAGAAATAGTCGGGAAAATTTGTAAATTGAAGATTTTGAACGAACCCGCATGGTTGATTGAATTGTAAATAAAGTGGAAACTCGATCTTTACTGTGGTATCAACGTTCTCTAATATTTCCTTTTCGATTACATAACAATCTTCGAAAGGGTAGGAAAACTCGTTTCTCATCAAGTTTCTCTCGCCTGTTGAAGTCTCCTCGTAAAAAGAGCAGGCGAACGCGAGGGTTACGAGAGAAAGTGAAGAACCCACAAGCTCGCGATTGCGAGATCATGAACGGTGCGATCCCCGGCGATACCGAATCGCGACCGCTCTCGCTCGTAAAGCATCCTCTCTTCGGGGTCCGCGCGTGGAGGTGGAGGATTAGATGGGGGAGCTGGTTGAAGGTTAATAGGTGCCAGGTGGTGGTTCTCGGAAGGTGGTGCTCGTTAGTGTGTGATCCCGCCTACCGTCCAATGCGGTGGCTGGTTTCCCAGGGGACTCCCTTTGGCCTCTCACTCTCTCTTGGTGGTGGTTTTTCGCTGGTCCCCTCTCTCATCGCGTCTTCTTCCCGCCGTCGTTTCACGTTAGAGAAGGACCTGGACCGCATGTATGTGTGTTGCTTTACCATCGCGCGCGATAATAGTCAACGAATGAGACCCTCTTGACGCGCGCTCGCCTCTCGATGCGGGATCGCCCGAGATGTCGACTGACGAGGCTCGCAGTTCTCGGAGCATCGCGATCGACGGTGGATCGATTGACGACCGTGCGCGATTCGATGGGATCCAGTGAAGTTCAATAACACGGATATCAGTTGCTGGACCAAGTGCTCGCTGAAATCAAGATCGCACGGAACGTAAAATCGAGAAGTGGATCGAGAGACACTGACGTGAATTTTAATTTATTTAATCCCCAACGTAATTGAACAGAACTCGCTCGTCTTAGGATTCGATGTGCACTGTGTGTGGTGAGAATAAATTATTTTAAATACACATTAAGTAAGGACATAAGAACGAACAGTGTTTTGAATCAAGATCGTAAGAAGTTAATTAACATGTGAATTCATCTAGATTTGTAGTGTCATCTCGATAGATGACGTTCATTGGTGCGATCTTGGATTGACGTCTCGTTATAATCAGTCAGTCTCGCATCAGCGGACTTATCTGATCGAACATAACTTCAGCCGATTTTCAGATCGGATCACCTTCCCCTACATATGTACACAACTTATATACTTAACAATAGCGCCCAGTAATCGAGATACCAATTTTTATATTGACATTTTGGTGATGACAGTTAAATTTGACACTCGTATCAAATACGTAGTGAACTATTTAGTGACGAATCAAAGAGCGATCGAATAAAAAAGCCGATCGATAGTGAAGCCCATCGCGTCAGCGAACTTCTAAGCAGCTTGAAAGACTTAAGACAAGATGCTCTTCAAAGGCAACAGCTCACGGCTGGAGCTGCTGATTGGCAAGATCCACGCACACAAAGAACCGTCACAGGACGAGCAACACAAGTCTAAAGGTCTGAATGCAACTTTTTTCTCTATCTCTTTTTCGCCTCGTTATCTCTTTTATCTGCCTTTTTGAGTTTTCATTTTCCTCGAGCCCTTTACTTTTCCACAAAATGTAGTTCCATCGTCATCCTTTTCGTGTTTCATTTCATGAAATTTTCTATTCGTCTCTCTCTCTCTTTCTCTCTCTCTCTCTCTCTCTCTCTCTCTCTCTCTCTCTCTCTCTCTCTCTCTCTCTCTCTCTCTCTCTCTCTCTCGTCGCTTTTGAGTTTTACTAGATTTACGCGAAGAATTTTATCTGATGAATTTGTAGATTTTGCAGCATCTAATTTATTAAAAGGACAAAATATGTAATTAAAGTTGACAAATGTTGACATTGGTATGTTTGAGAATCTTTATTTGATAGAAATAAAATTTGAAATTTAATTTATATACATATAGAACGAATTGTGCGTGTATGTGCGTATGTTATAAGAGTGTAAGACAAAGTAAGCTATACATGTTATTCCTAATTTTTTTCATTCTCTTGTTCTTTTTTTTTTGTGTTTATATTTCTGGTATTTATCTGCTCTGAGCAGCAGAAAGATTTATTATTCATAATCCACTTCATATTTAATTCAACGCTATCACTCTAACATAATGATTGTCATGATAAAAACGTAAACAAAAAAAGAATATAATCCGTTTATATCATTAGATCTTATTTCATTATCTTTAGCATCAATATTTTTTTGTATTCTTCATTTCTAATCTCTTGATCACTGATTAATTATACTTTGTTGTAACATAAACTTGATGATTATACGTGCAAAATCGTTAAGGTATATTGTTTCATTTACTATTTAAGTTTTATAAATATATCAAAATATTATTAAATAAGTACTCTCTATATAAATAATAAATCTTTAAAAATTTAATGAAATTTAATGAAATTTAATCAAATTTGAGCCGCGCAATTTAATACCATTCAGCAAACTCGCTCAGGATGAAAATCCGTTTACTTACTATTTTTCTGTTAATTTCCGATATTCCTTTTCGGAGAATTTTCAAATTCTCGCTGTAGTCGTTTCAAAGGAATTGTCGGCTACATGTAAATTGAGCTTGGCGAGCCAACATGAAATATTATTACTCGCACGAGTCTCCCTGTGACAAATGCTCATTCTCGCGCGATAAATATCCGATCTGTAGTCACACGCACGTACATAAACACACGGGCACACGTTACACCTCGAAGCGTGTCGCGATTGATGACATTTGCCAGAAATAAGTTGATACAAAACGGCTTTCTGACGAACGCGCTATTAAACTCTGTCGCCGGTAACAGCGACGATAATTTCACTTCATAATTGCGAGTGAACAGTGTGAATATTCATCGCGAAACATGCTGCTTGGTGTCGAGCTACTAATGTCGACGTCCGACACGGTCGTTTAAAATCCAAACATCCCGGTAAATTAGTACAATAATTTTCTATCAAGAAAGAAAAGATTTTTCCTCAGTAAAAAAGATTATTTTTTCGCGATAAGTTGACAATTTTTAAATCGCGACTAGCTCATTAAAATGTTGAATTATATAATTCATATGAAAGTAAATAAAAAATGAGATTTTATTATATTCTTGTGTTTCTTAAAGATTCATTTTGGTTGAAAAAATCTATAGATAAGATGATGGATTTTTGCACTTCTGATAATCTGCTTTCTATATATTAGTTACAATTGTAATCACTGTTCCATTTCGAGATAAATGGATTTTATTTTTTCATTAAAAAATCCATCATCTTTTATTTATAGATTTTTAGATTTTTTCCATCATCTTTCCATCATCTATAGATCTATAGATTTTTTCGACAAAAATGAATCTTTGGGAAACAAGAATATAATAAAATCTCATTTTTTATTTACTTTCATGTGAATTATATAATGCAACATTTAATGAACTAGTCGCGATTTAAAAATTGTCATATCGCGAAAAATAATCTTTTTTACTGAGGAAAAATCTTTTAAATCAATCTTTTAAATCAAGAACATTAATGGATGGAATCGCACACTTCCAAGGATTCGTTTAATTAAGAAATTAAAAGATATATATGATGAAAAAAGAGGTGCATACTTTTCTCGCTGAGAATAAATTCTATAGCTCGCGTGAAAATTCGCGCTACGCCAATAGCGTAAAAATCCGCGTAAGGCGCGCGGTCCAACATAAGGGACAATTAACGAAGGCGTTAAGTCGGGCCCCTATTAATAAGCGTCGTCGAAGCGCTTCTATAAATAGTCGCGAAGCGACAACGGCATTGTCAGCGACGCAGGTCGGCAACGCGTGCATCGGTAGGTCGGGCCGTTAAATGCGCCTATTTTCGCCCCGATGACACATTCGTCGCCGATTGCACGCGAGTTAAATAAGAGGAGCCCTCCCGAGAGAATTCCTTCTCCGATTCTTTCCGTAATCAAACCCTCTCGCTTCTCCCCCGATATCTTATTCTCCTCTTTGGCACGCATAGGAAATATATAAGATGTCCGCATATCTAGACCAGATGACGTGTATTAGATGTTTCTTTCAAAAATTATTTTACGTCGAAGAGTTCTTGAAAATTTTCAAAGGAAAAATATTTCTTAAATCTTATTTGAATATTATAATTATTTATTTCATCATTGAAAATTTAATGGCACTCAACAAGTTCGTTGTTTAAGTATTTCCTACTTATGTGGCTTGATATATGTTCACAGTTTAATTGGCCAGAAATTGTTCCCAGTTCGATTTGTATTTATTGCCCAATCAGTCACGTTCCGAGACGAGACAACCTTTCTCCGACTCGGAGCTCTCTCGAAGCACCCCTGAAGAATCCTTGGAACGCGTGAATCAGTCGCGGTGCCAATTGGGCGAGCACCTCGATAGGTGCGCACACGTTGCGCAACGTGAAATCTTTTGAATACAGAGCACGAGTGCTCGAATTGCCTTGTTTTCTCCTCTAAAAACATAGAATATTAACGATAACTAGTATTAGTAAATCTCTGGATTGAGAATTTTAATTTTCGAAGACGGGGAGGAGTTCAAATTCTAAAAGTATCCACGATTCATTCTCTTTTTTTAGAAACATATATAATTTTAAATATATAATTTTACATATGTCCACGCCTTAATGTACGCGTAAAAAAGTGGCGCATGGGCGACCATCCTTCTGGGGGAGAGGAAGCGACGAGGCTCGCGAGGATGACGCGTGGGTGGAGGATGCGAGCGATTTACGCGGACGTACGAGACGTAACCGCTCCGATCGCTCGTCTCTCTTCTGGGTGGCGGTCTCTGTCTCGCGCGTGGACTGGGATTCCGCAAAATCTCTTAAATCGACTCGTGGGTGTCGATCCATCGCGACCGTCGACGGAGGAGCCGACGACAAATGAGGAAACGGCCAACTAGCCGAGTCATTTCCACCATTTACGCGCGCGTCACTTCTTCGCCTTTACTCTCCTCGGAGAGTCGGTGGGATCTCTCTAGTCCTCATTCCAGGCAATTATAAATTATTCGTGATTAGCCGGTGTGGATTCTTCGCCGGAAGTAACGGCGCGACACGCTCTCCCTCGACGCGGAGGAGGATAAGTCGGATTTTCTGTGACGGACACGCGGGGGCTTTCCTCACTTGACCCCTTCATCTTCCCGTAAGTTATCCGACGTCTCGGGGTCACTGCTTCCGAATCATTTCACGCTCTGAAGGTGTACGTTACAATGTGTAATTTCCGTTAAATAGTATCCAAGATAATCTTACACGCATATATATTCTCTCGTGTGATGATTATTTTTGCGTTATTTTATTTGAAGTAATTAATTAGCGTAAATGTATGAATATATTCGTCTTATAAATATTATTCGTGTACACTGCGAAAAGATTCTTGCTCCAACAAAGACCTAAATGAAACGTCAAGGAATATCCTGCCTGTTGAATATTCAGGGTCGCGAAACCGCACGATTTTACCGGAGCAAGCACGGGTTAATGGCACGAGTTTTTAGCATCTTCGTGTCGTTACGAGGACGATGTAAAGGGACACGCATAACACGGACGAGGTGAGACCAGATTCGTAATGTCGTTACGCGTACATATGACGCGAGTTCGTAAGGTCGCCTTGTTACGTAGAACTGGTCCCGCCAGTAGAGCGAAGCGAATCATTTCTGCACTGAGAAAAATCGTTTAATTATACCAACAAGATGTATCTGATAAGAGGCATTTTGGTTAAACTAAGCAGAATTTCTAGTTCACGATATATAAGACTCGATTTTTTATAACTAGAACATTTAATAGAATTTATTACGAGGATTTGGTTAGTATTTTCTAGTTGGATCTATAAAACTTCTTGTTATATTAATTAAACATGGATACTATTTTTTTATAAATTTAGTATTATTACCCAGAAAATTTGTGGTAAATTTAACAGAAAGAAATTAGTCATACTTATCTGGCAATTCCTAAAGGAATTCTGATTCGTCCATTTTCCAACAGACATACTGATTGAATCTACCAGATTTCTAATTAATGCAACCAGATTTTTTTCTCAGCGTGAAGTAAACCTGTAGTTCGATTTTCGATAAAGAAACGTAGGATTTCCAGAACACTCGGAAAAATTTTACTGAAGTAGATAAATTTCTAAAAGTCACAATAAAAATTTACTATATTTTATGTATCTGCTAAAACATTGTAACATGCAGAATTTGTAGTAACAAATTCTAGTAGTGGCTTTTAGTAAATGTAGGTCCTGTTATATCAAATAATAAACGTTGCATTGAATAAATATGAGTTTCAATATTACTGCTAGAACTCTCTTCATGAGAAACAATTTTTCTGTGTATCATAATTCAACTTGATAATAAATATGATTAGCTTTAATATGAATAGTCACCACAGAAAAATTTTCTTTCATTAATGGTTCAGATATAAATTCAGTCTTTATCATCTAGATTGATCAAGTGCAAATATGCAATATTACAATGTTTGTCTAATCCAATCATTTATCTATGTCAGCTAATTTTTTAGCTTTTTTTAATAGAAAATTGTTATAATTGCAAGATTATTTTTTTAGTATTTATTTTTTATTTTTTTTCTCGATTGCAGAAGCGTTAGGAACCGGAAGTTCCTCGTGGCACAGCGAGGATGGCGGGCCCAACTCACGTCGCGGCGGCGAGACACCGTCCTCCTGCGCGACTCCAACGTCGGCGAGCTTTCCGTCGGAGCCCGAGGTCGACATCGACGTCAATCCCGACGGCACCAACCCCGCCGCCCCCTATCCCTGCCAGTTCTGCGACAGGAAGTTTCCGCGTCTCAGCTATCTGAAGAAACACGAACAGGTAAAGACACAGGTTCCTCGATTCACCAGATTTCTCCAGTTGTTAATCGGTTGTTGATAAATTTGATAAATACGTCTGCAGTTATTTGCATGATAAAATGTCTATAGAAATGAAGATCTTTGCAATTTAAAAAGAAGTCTGGAAGAGAATCAAGGATTTTACTTCGAAAATTAAATTAGCATAAATTACGAGATCAATTTTTCGTGTCCACATATTTTTCTCCGCATTCTTCTATGACACATTAAAAAGATACATGATAAAAATTATATTATAAAAATTACTACAACTTAAGAGCATGTTTTGCATCGACTTGCGATAGCGTAAGATTGATATTGGGGTCAAACTAGTGCGGAGAGAAGAAGGAAGAAACGAAACCAAGAGGACCTCATTCGTCACAGGCACTTAATATGCGCGCCACGTATGCCGCGAGTAAAGCTCTCTTTTCACGCGGTGTGAGAAAAGGTCCGAGGTGTGATTCTGCAGGTTGACGAGTCCCGTATGCGGGCAGGTTAACGCGTTTCCTCCTGCGAACCTCCTGGAAGACGCGTGGCGAGTCTCTCTCTTTCTCTCTTTCTCTTCTCGGATTTTTTTCTATTTTGCATGGCGGTGACGTTAAGCTCGTTCTTCCGCGTCCCGGGACGGGTCATCGTCGGGTCAGAATCTGTAGCATCGTACCCATAACAGGTTGTACCAGTTATCAGGTTACTTGTCCAGGTGGCAGGCAGTCGCCCCCTTCGGTTCCTTCTCATGATGACCGTTGTTGAATACATGTATGTGCACTACATATGTAACCCGCGAGCTGAATCGCGCGCAGATACGGCTCCGATAATCAAGAGATCAAGTCCTCGTCGAGTCTAGCCAGAGATAACTGTCTATTTATTCTACGCGCAACTCTAGTTTCACTCTACCGAGGGACGTGACGGGTAATCTCAATCTTTGCAAATTTGTCATATTGAACGACGTCGACGCGTTCGAGGATGCTTGAAGCTCAAAAAATATTGCAAATTCGGGACGATCTAAAATTGTCTCGAGTTTTATCAAATTAATTTAAAATCTCGTCAACTAATAATTTATCTCTAATGTACTCCAACATGTCTTGATGCAGCCATTTGACTCGAATCCTCTCTCGGCAATCTTTCATCTTCAAGTGATCTAAAACGTCGTTGCCGGTCCGATCAGTTGAACCGCAGGATATACTACCTTCTCCTCGTCGTTCCATCGGCATACCGTGTCCGTCCGATCTTTCTCGACCGGACCAAGCGAGAGACCAGGCGGCGATCGCCTCGCCCGTCGTCCAGATTGTCTCTTCAAAGGAGCCGACGGCTCGAAAGTCGACCGCACGGTCTCGTCGGTACGTGCCGAGCTTACTTACCTTGTCGCGGCACCGTTTCGTGCCCCTGAGCCGCGTGCGACGAGCGTTTTACGCGAGCGGGGGAGCACAAAGAAGGTGACCGTATGGGATCATATCGGTCATCGTGATCTGGGTGGGTGACGCGTCCTCGCGGCCGAGCCGAGGCCGACAGAGAACCGACGCTTTCTCTCTCTCTCTCTCTCTCTCCTTCTCTCCTTGCTCTATGACTCTCTTCTTCCTTTTCCACCGACTCTTCTGGGCGCGTCCGACGAGGCTGCTCGCATTTAACTCGCACAGCTCATTGAGATGTTAAGCATGAACCGGGCTTATTGTACGAGTGCCCTTCTGAGGTTTGGTTGATTGAACTATTCGTTTCGTAGACAACTATGGACTCTTGGTCCTATACACGTTAATAGAACCTTGAAGTATGTTGCAATTTTTAGGCGACATGTAGAATTTTTATTGATTTTAGATTCTGTGATTTTTCCTCGAGTTTCAAGGATGCAATACGTCCCGATAAAAACAGTACGTGAAATCTTCGTTATTATCATGTGGATTAACATAGTTGAATCCATGATATTCAATAATCTCCTCAAGGATCGGTACTAGATGATATCGGTATTAATATGAAATTTACATTGATATTTCGAGAATAAAATCAATGTAATGATACACAGAAAAAAAGGACATTCTTGTTTTGAAAATATATTTAGTTTTAACATGAAAATCTTGAGACTATATTACGTTAATTAAAGAAAAATATAATTGTTTGAATTATTCTTTACTTGAATGAAGCTATTTTATAAAGTTTAATCAAGAAAAATATATTCTTGTGTTTAAAATTTAATTTTCTTGTACGGAAAAGAAACAATATTAGATAGAAAATAATATTTGTAAATCAAAGATTATAATTTTCTTAAAGTAGAATTAAATAATTATATATTCTTAAGGTGACAATTACAATATTAAAATAAGACTATAATATTGTTGAAATTTAAAATTATTAAATTCTTCTAAGAAGATTATAAATTGTTGCGTATATACGAAACAATGAACGCGTTAGTTTAAGTATATAAGTTTTGATTTGACACTTATTTTTTTTCTGTGTATAAAAAGAAAGTTATATCCATGTAGATGATTCGTGGTGACTGTTCTTGTCGGGACTTCTCATTAATATCGATGTAATCATTGTCTTATTATTGTTGTTTTATTCGCCCCATCTTTTTGATTCGAATACATCGTTTGATAGAATTAATACTATAAATGATTGCATTGATTTCAGAGTCACGGCGATCAGATGCCATACCAGTGCAGTTGGTGCAACAGACTGTTCAAACACAAGCGCAGTCGCGATCGTCACGTAAAGCTGCACACCGGAGACAGGCGATATCGCTGCTCGAAATGTGAGGCTGCCTTCTCTAGGAGGTAAGCGAAATCTTGTCGATGATATCTTATTTATTATTAGCCATCAATCAGATTTGACAATGAGTCAAAGACTTCGAGACTTGACAATTTAAAAAATTGCCCCCTAATTATTTCAAATTACTTCTCTCTCCTTCAATATCGATCGATTGATAAGGAATATTTTACAAAAAATCATAAGGCACAAACGTAACCAGTAAAGATTATCGAAAGGCATAAAAGAAACAATCGCGCTGGCACAACCATAAACGCGACAGATGGCTGAACGAGGTCCTCGACGGGGCCCAACCGGGGCCCCTCCGACCGATTCCACGAGGGACGCCGATCCAACGGGTGACAAATGAGTAATGATCACACGACGACCATGGCCCCGGGTGGCATTAGTCAAGCTTACTCTCTTACGTGGCTCTGTTTCTTTCTCTCCTCTCCTCCTACCCGCTCCTTGGTACTCCTCGCGTCGTATCCATCTGTTTGTTTCCCTCTTTCTCACGCGTTATCCTCTCGGTATATTGAATCGCTCCGCGCGCATTGAAATGCTAAGCTGGGTCTGAGAAAGAGAGAGAGAGAGAGAGAAAGAGAAAAAGACAGGGCCCGCGCAAAGTACCTTTTTCTAACTGGATACACGCGTGTGCGCTCGCGAGCCCCCGCGGGGCCCCAGGTGAGCAGACAGGTAGGACGCATAGGTGTTACGGGACAACAGGTAGAACATTAGTCAAGCGCCTCGTTGCCGCTCGTCCGCCTTCGCCGGCCGTTAAAGTCGCGCTTGCAACCGATGACACAGGAGTCCCTCGAACGATTCTGCTCACTATCGCGATTCGCGACCTTATCAGCTTCTTTTTGCCGGAAAAAAATCAAACTCCACAATTATATATATTATAATAAATAAACGGTATTGGACGAAAGATTATATAATATTTAAAAATCGCGATTTTTTTAACTTCCTTTTAGTATTCTTTTAATACCAGTCCTTCTGTATATTTATAATAAATTTTCACGCGATTACATATAATTAATTAAATATTATATATAAGAAATAATCACTTTCGCACATCTGCGATATATATTCTTTTTCCTAATTAATATTGTTATTATTTAAATTTGATGAGCGCGAATATAAATTAATAATTTCGAAATGGCAATCTCGCGTGGATTCTATCCTGAAGCAGAACTGCAAAGAATTGAGTTGTTAGAAAGGTCCTAACAGAGGCTTGCTTCTCACCTGTCAGCCGCTATTACAATCGTACCGCAAGATCTTTACGCCACATCTCTATTCGTCCTCCCATTTTAACAGTCAGTTTGGGTGATCCAACAAAAGGGTGAAAATCTCCGTGGTTCTCACGCTGAGTGTCTCAGTGAAATTTTTTTATGAAAAATCTTCTCTTCATTTACAACAAATATGCAGCATTGTCTCGATTACAATTTATTAATTCGAAGAGAACCTCAGCAAGATCAAAATATGAAAAATATGCCATGATGCTCAGAATTTATTTATTTATTTAATTGAGTTAAAATCGATGATTGAATTAATATCGGAAAAAAGTGATTTTCCTCTGTTATAAATTCTTTATTTCAAAAAATTTAAGAAACTAATTCTCTGAAATTCTAAAAAAATTTATTTATATATGTTCCAGAACGCATTGAGTACGTTTCGACTTGTCAAAATTCGATTCGATCGCGAAACCGGAAAATCAGAAAATTTTACGTATCTTACGAGTAATACCTCGTCACGGCGATGTTTTTATTCTCACGGAATGCGGCAGCGAAACATTGCATTTTACGGCAGTCTTATAGTTCTCATGGTCCATCGATAACAAATTCAAAAACACGATTCGACCTTTAGCTACTTTATATAAAAACAACTATTCGCTTCTTGCACTAATCTAATTTCGATAAATAAAAGTGCAAAATGTGCAAAATTTTTTCGATAAATAAAATGTGCAATTTTGTCGATAAATAAAATGTGCAAAATTTTTTTACCCAGTCAGAGTTGATCGCAAACATTTAATACAGATACCGAATAAAATTGAAATAAAAATTGCTTATTGGAATAAAACGATAAATCGACATGCAATTGTGACATGTGAAAACTGAGAAAAAAGTGCATAAAATCGAGTAATTGAATCAAATAATAATTTTATTACATAATGAATGATCATTTTTTAAAATTGCATCATTTGAATCATAAATAAAACTTTTAAAATGAGAGTACCTAGAGATCGAGCAGTCAACATACCTACGAATCAACGCGATAGGGTGATTCTTTCAATCTTACGAGGGTGGAGTTTAACGGTCCATTTATTTCCATTTCCTTTCAGCACCCTAAACATGATCTTCTTCTTGTAGAATGGCTGCTCGCCATTTCGCGCTTGAACTCTATATCTCTCTCTACGTGAGTTAGACTCTTAAAAATCACCAATAAGATCTTCGATTCTCTTTCTCTACTATTAAACGTAACTACTTTAAAATTAATTTTTTTTAACAATAACGGAAATCGTCAATTTTGGGGGTAAAATATATTTTTCCGTAATAATAACTTGATAAATTTTAAAAAGAAATCAATATCATAAAACTCTATTTTTATAAGGTGCATTTTAATAAGACCTATTATTAAATAACTGAATCTATTCCTTCTCGTTCTATTTCTTTAACAATAGATAGCCAAATTATTTCAAGCGATAAAAGTTACAGATCTATTCGTCTTTTCGCATTTATTACAATAGTAAAATAAGTAAAGAGAATGTAAAATGTGCAATTAAAACGAAACCGATCTCAATCTGCATTCAAATGCCACCTCCGATCTATGCCGAATGAGGAGACGGTCAACATCGAAAGGTGACATCGAACACATAATAGTGTGAAAACAGGAATATGCGAGTCGTCGCGAATGGCATTTAATACCGGCTTGACCGGCGCGGAGTCTCGTCGTCCATTCTCTTCGTTAAGCGAGCGCGACGCTTTTTACACGCTTTTGAGAGTCGTCCTTTTTTCAACTTTTTCCTTTTTTTATTTCTTCTTCTTTCGTCGTCGGTCGGTCGGCCGCAAAACGATACGCTCGATAATAGGACAGCCGCGGGTTCACCGGGCGATAATCCTGGTGGCGCATGAATAATTCACGCGCAAAGTGCAGGAGTAAATTCGCCGTCTGTCTTCGTTTCGGCGAGTCGAGACAGCTCGCTGACCGCTCGCGTCGTCGGACTGATCTCACCTTAAATGCGAATTCAGTTTTCCACCATCAACACACACACACATACGATGAATTATTCATTCGCGAAATCTACCACGAAAATCGACGAATCCTTACCCGCGCCTGACCCTGTCCGAAATCTCCGTATCCTCTTCTCAACGCTATTTGGCAGACGAATCCTTTCTTCGCGATAGAAAATATTCTATTTGCAGGGATAGGGTAGATATTCTATAGAGAAGCCTCGAGAGCTCGATTATTCGAGTTCGACATTTCCGAAAACCCGCACTGAGAAAAAATTTGTGATTGCATTAATTAAAAATCTAGTAAATTCAACCAGTATGTCTGTTGGAAAATGGACGAGTCAGAATTTCTTTAGGAATCATCAGATGAGTATGATTAATTTCTTCCTGTTAAATTTACCAAATTTTCTGGGTGATAATACTAAATTTACAAAAAAATAGATCACTGTTTAGTTAATATATAATCAGAAATTTTTTATAGATCAACTAGAAAATATTAATCAAATCCTTGTGATAAATTCTGTTAAACGTTCTAATTATAAAAAATCGAGTTTTATCATGATAACTAAAAATTCTTGGTTTAACCAAAATGCCTCTTATCAGATACGTCTTGTTGTTACAATCAAACGATTTTTCTCAGTGCACGTTTATAAGTATCCAATTAAAAATAATGTATCGTTAATGCGTGTTTTTTTTTCAAGATTGATGAATCAGAAAAGAAATGTAATACGAAAGATTCATATTTCGCGAACTTGTTTGTTTTATAATTGACAAAGATCGGTTTTTGCGAGGATTAATAAATTCTTATTAACCTTAATTGCCTGTATTCTGTACCCGATTAACAATCGCATGATAAGGTAAAAAATTCGCGAGTCAATTACTCAAAAAATGACGCGCAAATCTCTTTTTTATTATTTTTTCTTTAGAAAAAAAGTTTACTTCAATCTTTTCTAATATTAGTTTCCATCTATAAAATAAGAAGTATGTGCTTCGAAAAAAGAAAACTAATATCAAAAGCATTTGATACTTGCTATTCTATTGTCTTTAATCTAGCGCGAAATAACGATTTTCTATACGATGCTTTTTAAATATGAGACTTTTTAAATATGAAAGAATCGATAGCGAGCTTAAAATTCATACACTAATATAATTCAGTTGTTTATGTAAAAGAACGGCGAAGAATGATTTTAGATTTTCTCATTTGTCGATACGAGAGTTATTTATTCATTTTCGGAACAGTATGGAAATGTCATCGGGCGATATGACCGCATCTCACCGATCTCTCCCTTCTAGGTAATATATTCGGCGCTTTATTAGTAGGAAACTTAATTAGCACCCGAGGAAAATATTTTTAAGCAAGTTTGGACGAACTCGCCGTCCATTTTCATTAGTTTCCCCGTCGTTTAATTCTTTCTCGTGAATTGACTCGTCGATCGCTTTACCGTAAATTCAATCTTCGAGGTTGAGCGCAAGTAGTATCTCGTTCAAAGTATATCAAATCGCCGATAAATTAACATTCGATCACGTCCTACAGTTTTATTATTAAAGATCGCAGCGCAATGCAACTCTGATCGTTTTACATCCGACTTCCGCGCCCGATATCAAAATATCGTCGTTCGCGACGAATCTATTTCCACGTGTGATTGACAGAGCGCGGCTTCTGATAAACGTTAATATACATGGACACTCTCATCGTTTATCACAGGAAATAGAATCTCCTGAATTAGATCTCCGATCTCTCTGTACATCAAAAGGCAATTTATCATTTTAAAAGTTAAGTTAGTCTATATAATAGGTCAGTCATCCATCTACAAAAATAGCATTTGATCGAGATTTCAAAAATTGTGAAAAAAACGATAGAAAATAATTTAATTGTAAAATAATCGTCACTATAGTGATGCTATTATTGTTTTACTCTTAAAATGCGATTAAGATTAATAAATAATATTATTAGGTAAAATATTTCTAAATAAAAGTGTGTGTTATCCTTATATATAATTATATTTTCAACACTAAATACAATAAACATCTTTTTTTAGTACATCGTACTTTTTTGTACGATGAAAGGAATGTTACTTAAAATTATTTTTTATTTTATACTATTTGTTTGTATATCATATATATTTTTAATCATTTATTTTCTACTATGGAAAAATATTATAATAAAAATTATAATATAATTTTTGCAATCGTGGAATTCTAACATATATTTCTATTCAATAATGTTATATACATACATATTATATTTTACAAAGGATGAATATTTAATAATTATTTAAATATTTTTATGCACAAATTATTAAACAATAAAACAAATGTATAATTTATAATATTTATAACAATAAAAAAATATCCTAATTTATATTCCAACTTTATAATAAATGTTGTAAGAAGAAATATATGTTTCATGTGATTTGTAAAATTTTCTCCGTGTACTTAACGCGCTTACATAACTAGATTAATATTTTTTAATTACAAACTGAATTTTTTATCCTGTAAATTTCAATTACGAGCTTTTAACACATTTTTCTTTTTCCCAGCGATCACCTGAAGATTCACTTGAAAACGCATGACACCCAGAGGCCTTATCAATGCACGGCTTGCACGAGAGGCTACAGTACAGCCGCGGCTTTAACAGCACACATGCAGTCTCACAAGAAACACCAATCGTCCTCGTCGTCTCAATCGGCCGGCCTCAAACTTCAGGACGTCGACTATGGTAGAAGAAGCGTATCCTCGCATAGCACGTCGTCACCACCGGTACCATCGTCGCCGTCGCCATCGCTGAATCTCAGCCTGAATCCGAGGAACGTCCTGAAGACATCGCAGGGCACCGGCAGCGCTTCTACCACTCCGGTTCTCAGCTCACCCTTGAAACTCGCCTGCATGTATTGCACCCGCGACTCGTTCAGCTGCATGCAACAGTTGCAGATGCACGTGCACACGATGCACCAGGCGATCCTGAGCGGTGCGGAAGGCCCGGCCCAGCAGCAGCCATCGCCGAGCAGAACGTCCAGCGAGCAACAGCAGGCAGCTGCCTGCAAGCCGTTGGATCGCCAGGACGTCACGAAGGAGCAGCGACTGGATCGCAAGTATCCGACGTCCGAGGATCGAGGCGATAGGCCGGCTACCGAGAGGGATCATTACGAGAACGGGTTTACCTGTAATCAGTGTACCATGAAATTCTCCACGTTGGCCCTCTTACGCGATCATTTGTTGTCGATACATCGTATAGATGGTTTTGGCGCGATGATGATGTGTCCCTTGTGCAGCATTCCGTGTTCCTCGGCGGCTTCCTACGCCGAGCATTACGTTCTCCAGCACTGTGAGAATCGCCGACCGCCGCCGACACACGCTGTAGATTACGGAGAGACGAAGCTGAACGGCAGCATTTACGACGGTACTGCGAGAGATTCCTCCCGGGTATCGAGAACCCGGGACGCGCCGGAAGCCGCCGATCTCACGAATAAGCACTCGACCAGATCTTCCTCGGATGCCGCTAGCGGTTACACCGCTAATACTCTGTTATGCGGTCAATGCGGTGCAGCGCTGAAAGACTTTGAATCCTTTCGCGAGCATGTGGCGCGACACTTGCAGGCCGACCATCGTAACCAGGAGATGTCCGGCAGACAACATCTATGTCCCAAATGCGAAGCGGTCTTTTCAGACCGCGAAGATATGCTGGCCCACCTGACGAAGCACTATCTGAGCCAGGTCAGCAAGGAATACGCCTGCAGTGCCTGCAAAAAGCTCTACCCACATCCAGATCAACTTCAGAGGCACCTTTTGGACGTGCACGCGCATCATTTGTATCGTTGCGCTCTATGCCGGGACACTTTCGATTCTAGAGTAGCGATACAAGTACACTTCGCAGTGAAGCACAGCCAGGAGTGCCGAATTTACCGGTGCAGCACGTGCACCGTATCTAACAATGAGAACTCGCCATCGGGAGCAAACGCTTCGTCAGCTTCTAGCGAGGGTAGGAGCTTCTTCAGGAGCGAGGCCGAAATGGCGGCTCACGTGCGTAGTGTGCACGCGCCTCCACCCGTTGTCTCTCTGATGAATAGCAGCCCGATGGGTGCCGCGAGGAGCCCGGCTTCGACGCCCGGTGGTGGCGTCGCCGCGCGTTGTTTGTTCTGCGGAATCTGCTGCGGTTCAGAACTCGAACTCCAGCTTCACTTGGCCAGCCACTCGACCAATCTCTACAGATGTCCCATCTGTCGGGAAGGTTTCGCGGTGGAGTTTCTCTTGGACCGACACGTCGCCCAGGTTCATCACGCGACCCAGGATCATCAGGTGCCATCCGTCAGAAGTAACTCGAGAGAGAACGGTCGCGTTCATCGACCGGTCAGAAATCATGAGGAAGTAAATATCTGTTGCATTATGAAGATCAAAAAATAAAATTTCTCTCAAAAATAAAATTAAACAAAAAGATACATTTTTATTTAATTTTTAAATATTCTTAAATTTTATATAAAACTCAATTAATAGACATTCTAATTAACTCTTTGCACGCACTTGACATTAATATGAAATTATTAGATATTTAAATCTTAGTAAGATTATTTATTAAACGATATTTTTTCCAAAATTCTAGACGAAATCTTTGAAGAGAGGTCGCTCACCAGCGTCGAGTAATAACAATTCTTTAAATCAACGCGACAACAACAAACGTACAAACTATGGCACTTCTGGGCAGCAATGCGAGCTCTGCGAACGCGGTGAATTCGCGAACGAGGCCGAGCTGCAGGCACACAAGAAATTGGCTCACAGTCCTCCCAAACTGTCCAGTAAGAGTCTATCCACCTTGAATACCCTAACGTGTGGTTATTGCGGTGAGGTTTGTCGTTCGCGAAATGAGCTAGAGTCTCATACGAGGATCCAACACGCATCCAACGAGCCCGGCGGACGTCACAAATGCAACATCTGTGACGAAGTGTGTCTGTCCAGTGCGAGTTTGGCCGAACACAAGCTCCAAAAGCACTGCAAGATACAACTGAGTGACACGTGCGTGGTGTGCCGTGGTTGCCTGACTTCAGAAAGTCAATTTCTGGATCACGTGCAAAGACATAGCTTGGAAAACGTGGACCCGCAACAACGATTGGACAATTCTTTACCTCATTTGCCCGCACCATGCGTTGTTTGCCGGCAGACGCTGATCAGCGAACTAGAGTGTCGTTTGCATGCACGGCATCATCTGCGAACGTCTTCGGGACCGCGCAGCGCTGTTTCTAGTCCGACCAGTCCCGGTGGCGGTAAAACTCAGAGTCAGGGTTGCTGTCTCTGTTTGCGCGATTTTGCCGCTGATGATTTCGTCAGTCTGCCACCCAATCCTGCCAGTACGAGCGGACAATCGCTGAAGGTCTGCAAACTCTGCTATATGCGACACTCTCAGGGATTGCCTATTCTAAACTCAACGACCTATGAGCGGGCCAAATACGATACGATGTGGTTCGCAAACAAAAATGGTCAATGGGATAGCTCCAAGGACAAGTGGGATGATAGAGGACTCAACCTAGAGAATCGATCCAGAAGTGAGGGAAATACGGATAAAAAACGTTGTGAAGAATGCGGAGTGAAATTTGAAGATTCCGAAGAGGCAGAGAAGCATAGAATCACAGAACATGAAAAGATTAGCACTAATGGTTCAAAGGCATCCTATTCGTGTATACAGTGTCAGGTTAGTGTATAGCAATTTGCGATTTTTTTAATAATATTTAAATATACATGTAATTCAAGATTACACCAAAAAAAATTAATTTTCATCTTTTTTTTGTTTATTATATAATGAAAAATTAAAATTTAAAAAAGATTTTTGAATATTTTCCAATAAAGATAACAATTTGTAATATTGAATTTTTTCTCTTTTAATCTTTTGAAAATGTTCTCACAAAATTGTATTTTGAATTGTAGATTAAAATATTAAAATAAAGAATAAAATTTGTAGGTATCATTTCCAACTGAAGCCAAAATCCAGCAACACGTGAGAAAAGAACACCTGGAAACTTCCAGGAGAGCTTCCCTGGAAGCCTTGCGGTGTCATTTATGTTCATTTGAGGCTACCAGTCCTATGCAATTGCAAATTCACTTAATAGAACATACTTTCGTTGGCTGCGCTGCGCTCAGCTGTTACATCTGTCAATCGCTCTTCACAACTCCTATTGGTCTTCAGGTAATTTAACTACGTATCTTATACAAAATACCTATTATACGATAATCGGAAAACGACGTAAACTCTCAAAAAGGAACAGATAAACAAGTTCGAAAGCAAATACGAAGTAGACACTTTTCAAGATGAATGAATTCCTCAACATCCTGTTTCATGCATATGAATAAAATTTGGATTCTTTCGCAATTTGATGATGGTTCGTTGCGAAATTGCGTATTTTTCTTAGATTCATTTCTCTTTATGCTTTTAAATAAACATCTTTTCGTGTTACAAACAGAATGGAATTAACATATGCCATAAAATAGCAATTTATTATTTTTTTTGTTCAGATACAAATATGTGTTTGTTTGCAGAGTCACCTGTTACAAGAACACGGTCTGGGCGCGCGACCGTACGATTGCCCCAAGTGCACGCTCAAATTCTTTTTCAATGCGGAACTAGATCACCACATACTGACTTTTCACCGTTCAAGAGACGAGATTCATACTTCGTCGGCCGAAAACGAGATGAAAAATCGTGAGTCCGATGGTGGTGTAACGGTGAAGGAGGAAGTAATGCAAAGCAAGGAAGAGGAAGAGGAGGAGGAAGTGAACGTAGACGACCAGATAGGACAGGAGGAAAAAGAAGTTAAACGAGAGGAGCAAAAATTGAAGACGGAAGTAGATATTGAGACGACATCCAACAACCTGACATCGTGACTTTCTTCGGTCAACGTTACATTTCGTTCTGATTTAGGATTAATTGATTATTAAGGACTTGTTAGCCAATCATTAAGTTTTTCATCGCTACTATCAGCGGCGAATATTCTATACTATTCTTTTAAAAAACAATTTGTGAAATAAAAGTTCGATACACACACACACACATATACACACGTATACACACACACGCACACACATACAGTATTAATTAAGAGTATTATCAAGAAAGTGATTATTCCAGATGGTTAGTTTTTTACATATTAATAATAAAATTTTAATATATAAGAGATTTCGATGCCTTTCTCAGGTAGAAGGATCGTTAGTATCTTGTTTATCCTCAAATTCTTATATATCAGTTTCAAATTTAGAAGTAAAATATTGATGTTTCCGCAGCACATAAGTTTGTTCGCGTTAAGTTTGACGAGAATATTCATCTTATTGTTTCGAACAGGTATGTTTGATCCTAATTAGAGAAATAAAGCGTAGAAGTTAATTTTTTCTTTCCTATCTGTCGTCAAAGATTGACGAAGCTGTCTACTTTATCAAAGTTCGCCCAATTGATAAAATTAAAACAATCGCGTCTTAAAAACATATATGCTCTTATATATATACATATACATATATATCAAGTTTATAAATGCTGTTAATTTTATGTTATATAACATAATTATGTTAATATTTAAACTTTAAGAGAAAAGAAAAGTGATGCAAACCAAAACTTAGATATTGATACGGTTTTATTTTAAATTCTTTATAAATGTGAGATATTTTGATTTGTCTTATATTTGATCTATGTAAGATCTATGAGCAAGATAAATACAAGTATAAAATTTGACTAAAAAAAATCAAGGAAAAGTTTGAAACTTTTCAACTGTATATATTAAATGGCTATATTAAATTTTACTCTAATTAACATTGTACAAGTACAACATTGACATATTGTATTTGTAATGTTAGATTTTCATATTGAATTTACAGTTTTCTTTTTTGCGATTTTCTAATTATATTTCATTGATAAAATAATCTTGTAACGATTGATTGCGATTAGCCCTTTATAATCGTCAGATTAAATCCAATAGAAATTAATGATTTCTATCGCAAACAAAGCTTGTAAATATTCTACAAATAATAGGAGGAAAATATTATTAAATGTTCCATCAGTTTATATGTTAATGATCCATGTGAAATTATTGATACAATCAATTTCCTCAATTTTAAATTTTTTGCATCTAGAAGAAAATGCTAATTCACAAGAAAATTGATTTGAAATAGAGAAGAAAATCGACTAAAAGGAGGAAATGGATTGTATTTAAAAAAAAGATGCAATAACTTGTCCATTAGGCATAGCGATAAGATAATTCTGTATGAAATAAATTATTGTTTCAAATCATATAGGTATTGTATATAATAAACTTGTCCATTTTAGCCATCTGAGATAATATTATATACAAATAAATTATTGTTCTAAATCGGGTTGTTTCGTCTATTTTGTCAAAACTATTTTTATGTATCAGCAATCACTTTTAACACAATATTGAAAAAGATAAATTCACAATAGAATTATATGTATATCGCAGATTTATTATACAATTTCAACAAAATTGTAGTATTGAAATATTACTTTGCATCTCATTGATTTCTGCAAACAGCGATCAATAATACAATTGGTATGTAAAATTGTAGAATTCTATTTATTAAGTTTCATCTTTAATTAACTTTAACATGCTAAAAGTTATATCCTGCTATATTTGATTAATGAAAAATTTTCGTGGACTGATAAATAAGAAAAAGAACTCTACAGAAGTGATAAAAATATTTATTTAAAGAAATATAAATTGATGATGATACATGAAATGCTTTCCTGACCAAACATATACATATAGTTCAAAAAAATAACAGATTCTGATTCAAATATGGAAAATTGCAGGGAAAAATTATGTATGATATTTTCAACAAACATTATGAATAATTTGATATATTTAAAAGATAATTATTATTAAAAGATTATCACAAAATTTTCACTTAATTAATAAGACTTATATTTCATATTCACCAATTCGAAACAAAATTAGAAAAAAAAAAGAAACACATTAATTATGATAACATTAAAAAAAATATAATTCTCTTAATCATAAATCTCTTCTAATGTAAATCTTTTATTAATTGTAATAAAATTTATACAAACAATTAAGATAATAGTGTAAAATGATAAATACAGAAAATCGAACTTTCTATGATTATTGTACTTGATATAAATAGCCAAAAAAATATTAAAAGAATTGTATTTGTCAAAATTATCATCCATCAAGGATAAACTATATTTAAATTATTCATATTTAAATATTAATGATCCCCAAAAGTATCTTCATCTAAAACAAAATCAGGATAATCGCAAGAGGATTGCCCTCTTTATCGACAGTCACAAAAGACGCTGACATCAAGGCCTACAGTTATCCACTCAGGATATCACGAATATCCGTCAGAAGGCGCCTCGTGCCTTCGTGGCTCTCTCCATCTATAAACGCATCGTACGATATACGGATTCAGCTGTTGTGCGGTATTCGAGTACGTATGTCGTGCTGCGCGCGACTCTTGGAACTCAGAGTCGGCGATCAGGCGAGAGGAGCGAGCTCCAAGTTGTACCGAGATCCCGGCGGACCCCTCGCTGACAGAGACCCACGCAGCTGACGCGATGACGGGGTTCACGGAAAGCGCCCTGGTCAAACGACTGATGGACCTCAACCCATCGCAGCAGAGCATCCAGACGCTCTCGCTCTGGCTCATACATCACAGAAAACACCACCCGACCATCGTGAAGATCTGGTTCAAGGAGATGTGCAAAGGTAATGATTATCCCGTCGTTTCCCTACCGCTGGATCGAAGAAACCGATGTACTCGAGTTCGACGAGGTGGTAGGACGTATCCTCCGACAGGACGAGATTGCCGAGGTTCATTGAAGTTTCTAGGTTATACTAGATTGCACCATGCATCCAACGCGAATTGATCGCGTCGTCTCGTAGTTTGGAAAATTATCTTTATTAGTATAGAATCGCTTTCGATGAGTTTGATGGATAAGCGACTCTTGCATCATTTACTTTTGGTTTTCTAGATAAGAAAAATATATTGTTTTAAATATTAAATTTATTTCTGAAAATATATTTGATATTGTCATTATCATTAGATTATGACATGGTGATGACACTGTAATAATGTTCATCATAGAAAAGAATATTATAATAGCAAAGTATTTGAATTTGAAGCTGTAAGAGAGGCTCTAAGTGAGAATAAGTTTTGCAAATGCAAGTTTGATTATAATTGAAATTGTAGTACCAGGTTATAGATTCTTATTTATACGTATAAGTATTATTATTTGCAAAATATTATCTGTGAGTCTGTCCTTTTATGTGGAAATTGATAGTACATATATATAAGTTTAACAATTTTTTACATACATTTTTGCAGTGAAGGACAATCGCAAATTAATGTTTATGTATCTGGCAAATGATGTCATCCAAAATAGCAAGAAGAAGGGGCCAGAGTTTGGAAAGGAATTTGAAACAGTCTTACCAAAAGCATTTGAACATATGAAAGGTTTTGATGAAAAGACAAGGGACCGATTAAATAGGTTATTGACAATATGGGAAGAAAGAGGAGTCTATGACAAAGCACAAATATCAGAATTTAAAATAGCTTTCACAGATACTGAGAAAGATTCTGCAACACCGCCAAAAAAGAAGGCAAAAGTTGAAATAGAGAAAGTAAAGGTATGTTCTCTTTTAAATTATATATAAGAGCTTCTAGTATATGATTAAAACTTTCAATTTGCAACTAATATTAGTATAGAAACAAATAAATAAATACAAATCTTATATCTCCAAATATAATCTCAATTTCTAAATTTATAGTTTTTAAATAATAATTTATAACTTAAAAAATATGAAATTGATATATTGTTTGCTTGCAGAAGGAGAAGAAGGAAAAGAAAAAATCGGAAACTGAAGTCGAGGTAGATGGCACCAAAGAGCTTCATGTGACGTTAAGCCCACGAACTCCTGCTGGCGATCCACCAGAAACTGAGGAACTCATCAAAGCGTTAATGGTTAATTTTATTAATTATACAAACAACAATCATGATGCGGAATTTGTATCATTAGCAATAAAATATTTTATTCATATGGAAATATATGTTGAATCCATGAGGCATATCAGCAGACGCTTTGACAATTTTGACATATCAACCCTATCGATTGTCTGTTTTGTTTGATTGTGTTAGCCGCTTTTTTTTAATTTTTTTTTCTTGCTTCCAATAAAATGTACATTTGTGTATCCTTTTTTTTCTTTCGTTTCTTGAAAACTTCGTTTTCCGCAAAGTAATTCGAGTGGATGCTGATTTTTAGTATAGTCGATGCTTTGCTTTTGTATAAAAAATATTACAAGTGTTATTTTGTCAATGCCGTACTTTTTTATAAATTTTTTTTTTTTATTAATTTTGTTGCGCATATTTATATCTCACATAAGTAGAATATATTGTATCAAATGTAGCATTAGAATGAAGATATTTGCCACAAAATATAGTGAATATTTGAAAGATCTAAAATAGTCATCAAACTAATGCCTTCTATGCTTTTCAGGATCTGGAAAATACCGCGTCCTCGGATGCTGGTGTTAGGGAACGTATTGCATCCTTGCCACCGGAAGTCTCTGAGGTCTCGTTGCTCGCGAATCTCGCCGATCGAACGGCCGCAGATCAATTAAGTGCCGCGGTAAACGAGGCCGCTGCTCTTTTGGCCGATTACAATGGAAGACTGCAAGCCGAAATGGAAGATAGAAGAAGATTACTAACGATGCTGCGAGACTATACTCTGGCGCAGAGGCAACTACTTCAGCAGGCACAAAGCACGTTAGAGGTATAATTATCATTTTTTCTTTATTATTTATGTGTAAACTTCGCAGTAACAATAAGATTTATGTCAAATCTAGGACAAGTGTTCTTTGTAATGTATTTTTTATTAATAATATAATATATACATAGTACATGATTCATTCATTAAAAATAGACTGCTATTCATAAAATTAAAATATTGTAAAGCAAATTAGTCTTACAATACTGATTGAGTTAAGGTTGCATTACTAACATTTTTATAAGTTCCATGTTTCTGTATTATAGAGGACTACTATTTTTTGTAGGACTATAAGGAAAAGCTTAAGAAAGTATGTGCGGTTCGATCGGAGGTGAAGTCTCATATTTCGAATCTTCCTGATTTAACGCAATTGCCCGACGTCACTGGTGGTCTGGCGCCTCTTCCTTCCGCCGGAGATCTGTTTTCCATGCACTAGTGTAAGTTTGTGACGCGGGTGGCGTTTATATAGTTTATTACTTTAGTTTGCGTGAGTAGACGAAAATTTGAGATTCATAGTATGAGAGTTTTATACGACGACGAGATGTGAAGGAACAAAGGATTTATCGTCGATGATAACTTTGTACTGTGGAATATTTGATAAATCTGAAGTATAACGAAAAACTCCATACAGGGCATATACCAGTATATGAACGTAAAATATAAAACGGGGAAATATTAATAAATGAGACGAGACTGGAGTTATTGAGGCTGAATGATAATGAATGATAGTGAAATGAATATCTGAGTGATAAGGGTACAGAACTATTACATACGAAAAATTTACATTGTAATTCTGAATTTTTTTATACTTTATTGACGAGTCACTCAGCTCCTTTTTGAATCCTTTATCGCAAAATCATGTACTATATCTATACGGCTAATATAAGTACATTTTTACGAGATGACTCGTGCGAAAAATCATATATATATATATATATATATATATAATTATATATATATATATATAATTATATATAATCATATATAATATATATGATGTGTGAATCATAACAATGTTCCTACAGCGCAATGGCAATATCCGAAAAACTCAAAATATTTTGCAGAACTTATACGATTTATTCTGTATCCCTAATTATATGTAAATTGATTTGTCCTTCAAATTGATAGTATAAAAACGCTATATTTGCGCATCATCGAATCTACTGAGCATAATAATACGAAAATCATAAAATGCTTATAAGTGAAATAAACGGAAATGCTTCTAAATGATAAATTGTATGAAAAATGCACATCTTATGAAATCATAAGAAAATTTATATGACGGGGAGTACCCGAGATTTTCCACTGAGTTAGTGAAAGGGCATCTATATTTTTACGAATCCTTCATTCTGGAATTTTCAGAATCGCTCAGAGTAGAAGAAAGAAGATCCAGAATAGAGGATTGAAAGGAATAATCCTTCATTTTACTATATTTCTAAAAGCGATAAGGTCTTGCGTACCAGACCTTTGTATAATTAGAAACGTTTTATTACGTATTTTCAATTAAATAATCATTGTTTATCAACGATATATCGAAGATAATATTTCGAGATACATTCGGATAACCATCACATGTATATACGCTGTAGTTTAGTACGACTTTTCTTAGAACTGACGAGACGATCTTCGTAAATATCCGATTGTAAACGCGAACGGTAGTCCTCATAGATAATATTGTAACTATTTTAAAAAGACAAATTGCGTGCATATTGAAAAAGAAAAAAAGATTGTAATATGCGAAATATTAAGAATAAATGTTTTGATCGTTATACACACTGTTTTTTCTAATTTTATGTCTAAAAGTGAGATATATTTTCAAGTAATTTTAAATATATATAAATAGTCTAAAAGTGAGATATATTTTCAAGTAATTTTAAATATATTAAATAGATATATTTTCAAGTAATTTTAAATCCCAAATACAAAAATAACAAAATTACATTATTAATCTAATAAATCTATAATATAATTAGTAATTGAACTACATTTGAAATACAATTTATGTATATTAAGAATTGAAATAGTACATTGAATATATTGATAGATTCAACATATATTAATACAAGTATACTATAAAGAGTAAAGTGATTTTCTTTCTGCTTTCTTTTTCTATGTTCATCATGGATGTTCATATTAAATGATAAATTTTTTATGCAGCATTTAATTGAAAATAAATGTTTAAAATATATATACTTGTATTTAACAATAAAAAGTAAAAGTAAAATGATACATACAAGATTGACATGGCACAATGATGTGGAAGAACAAAGCATTCCATTATATATATACTCATTGTACATTATGTCAAAGTCAATAAATTTATATGGACTATAAAAAGGATATTATATATGTATATATAAAATATACATACATACATACATACATACATACATACATACATACATATATAATTCAACAGAATATTCTAGTAAGTCTTAAAATATATCTTAAAATATACAATCCAGATTTTGTCATGATCTTAGAATATATCTTATAACATAAGAAAAAAAATCACAATATATATAAATTCTTCAATACATATTAATTTATACTAATATATTTATATTCATATTTATATATTTATTTATACATATATTTTTTAAGTCTCATGAGGATGCGGAGATCTAGTGGGCTTCAGAATCAATTTTCCAGTATCGTCACAACTCATGTTAAAATCACCAAGCACACTTCTGGCTCGTTGAGTTATAATACTAGGTGCTATTACTCGTCTATGCACTCCCATCATAAATAGTATCACTATAATAATAATTCCAATAACAATGTAAGCTTATGTGAGATATGTATAGAAATTATACAGATATAATTTCTATACGTACCTAATATTATACTAGCCATTGTAAAGAATGGATGATTGCATAAGCTCTGTGTAAAGGATACTGCTGATGTATTGGGATCTGTTAGCCAATGCCAGGCACCGATAGCAGTACAGATAGAGATCAAACCTAGCAACACTGCAAAAATATGAAAGTATATATTATTAAAGTGATCAACAAAACAAAGAATTAAAAGAAAATATATGAAACTCTTAATCGATTTAATAAAATAATTTATTGAATCTAATCAAAACAATAAAATATAAAAAAATTATGAATCAAGAAACATGTTTCTATGACATAGAATTATAGTAATTATAAAGTAATTATAGATTGCTTCTATAGCATTTTTGTGAAATAAAAGCAATAAGTGTGTAGCAAAATTAAAAAACATACTTCTCCACCGTGTGGTTGCTGGTTGTAGACTAGCAATAACTTCTGTAAGTCGCCTCTCAAAAGCTTTCAAATCTGAAATTGTAGAAGGCAGGAATTAAACTTGAGAGGGAGATAACCTCGAAATTATAGGATCATTTATTTATGAAATAGTTAAGTAATACATCAATAATTGGAAGTGATCAAGACTTTTTCTCTCCATTCATAATCTTTAATTTAAAAAGATATGAAACACAGTCATTAATTAATTACAACTTACGATTGACTGTTTACATGTAATATTAATTCTTTTTTTTAACATGTAGGTATTTTACCTTCACATACTGTTTGATCCAACGACATGATTGCTTAATGAATGAGGATATTCATCCGGAAAAATCAGGATATGTGCAATACGTGATGATGATTGACGGATAAATAACGCACTGTATACACAAGGAGCTACCCATATTTGTGTCATGACCCAGGAATAAAAGTCTTGAAATAATCGAATCATCTCTCGCAAATCTTCGTTCGATAGGTATTGTATCGATAAGTCTTCAAAATTAATTCCTACGATATTATAGCTTATCCGCCCTTAAAAAAAGACATGTTAAATCGATTCACAAGAATTGTTGGCTCTTTTTCGCGATGTTATTATCTCGATGTACACATTACTTTATATTAATAAAAACTTGTCATCGTTGAGAAATGCATTTGACAGTTTAAATATTAAATATATGAATGTATGTATGTAAAATATATTTTAATTTAATTGATTTTGAAAAATGGAGAACTAAAGATAATAATATATAATTAGTTATATATATATATATATATATATATATATATATATATATTAATTATATATATTTATGATATATATATATAATTAATATATTTTTTCTCGGATTATATTACACAGTAAAATGAAGAACTAAATTAAATGAGTACATAGCGTACGTTCTGTATAATGTTCTAGTATATAATAATGAAAATAAAAAGAGAAAAAAACAGGATAGATTGGAAAGAATTAATCTATGTATATATATATATATATATATATATATATATATATATATGTATATAAATTATTTATATAATTAATTAATTGATATTAATTTTAAAAAAATTAATTTTATGTAAATTACATTCTCTAATCTGATAATACTTATTATTCTTAGATTTAAGATAAAAATAAGAAGAGGTTTTAGAATTTTTAAATTATACAGTCATTAATTTTGCGTGCGTGGCTGGTATAAAATATTTAAATTTATAGTATGTAAAAAAATTTCTCACTTTCTTTACGTTTTTCATTAAATTCTAGTAATGAATTTTATTTCCGAAATATAGCTTTTTCACCTTATTTCGTTATCGAACATAAATTCTAGCACAAATAATTTCTCAATCTATTCTTTTTAATTGCTTAAACATATTCACCGGTAGCGGAAGCTCATTTGCCGGCACGTCGACAGGAATGTGATCTCTGACCGCGAAACTGGAGGTCATTATCCCTTATCGTAAATAATCAATATTATCGACCCTGAGGAGACGGTATAAAGGAGCGCGACTCGCGTGTCCGATAGTTCCTATGGAAACGCGCGATCGAATCGTGACATCCATTCGTGTCGGCTTCTTCGGCATCGGTCGTGCCAGGTAAACCCAGGGTACTCGCATGGTCCCTACCGCAGTCTCACAAATATTGACATGCCGAGAAGTCGCGGTAGCCGTGAGTCTGAAGAACTGTTTGCGAAACTTTACGTAATATCTGATTAATTTCGGATTATCCTCGATTATCAAGAAACTCGTGCATTTTTTTCGTAATTTTATTCGTAAAATTCAAAGTGATAAGAGATTTTGCATAACAGGATTTTGATTGACAATCGAGAAATTAGGTTGTTAGAATAATTTTCGACTAACGAAAAAATACGCAAGAATTTAATTAAAGAATTTAATTTGCAAAATTTTCGACAGTGATCTAATTTGAACTATTTAGCTAAGAAAATAGATGATCGTATTCGAATTATTGAAAAAAAAATAGAAAGGTTTTAAAATTTCTGTAATTGAATGTCGCATTGCCTTCATTTTGTGCGATGATGTATCTATGACTGAGAAAATTGAGAAAATATAGAGGATTAATTGATTATTTTTTAAAGTGTTAAACTGTACAGAAATATAAAACATTTAATAATAAAATATTTAACGATAACATCCAAAGTTTTGACAATATAATCAATTATTTTTATATTAAATATACACGATAAAAATTGATATTACATATTCGAAGTTTACATAGAATGATAACTTCAGTAATAGGTTTTTTTTTTTCAGATATAAATGTTCAGAATACAGAATAATTTTGCGCTAAAATATGAAAAATATGTGCGAGTGGTTTTTTAAAAATAATTTGGCGAACAAGTATCGAGTGATACGAAATATATACATGTATATTCTGGCTCGGAATATTGCTGATGAAAATTTCCACTGACAGTTGCTGACTCTAACATAGGTAGGCAATCGAAAATGGACAACTGTTATGGGTAAGGGTTTAGTTTAGAGTCTTGTTTTATCTCTCTCGATCGCGTTCATCGTTGTTTTCGCGCATCGTTGTGCTCCCGCGGGAATCATATACGATTATGATCGGAAGAACATCGCTGGTAGAACAAAAAAAACTACAATGGGCAAGGGAAAGAGGTAAGTGTAAATAAATAATAATTAGCAATTATAGTGGGTAGAATTTTTACAGGGCATTTTTGTATCACCCAGTCATAGATCAAGAATCTTTATATTATTTATGTCTTTATGTCTTTATATTTTATGTTATTATTATGTTATGTATCAATTTATTATATATATTTAAATCTGTTTTGATAAAAACAATATGAAAAATAAGTATATTTATAAAATTTTCTCTTATCGATTCCACAGAAGAAATGGCTCGTCTTGGTGTTAATTGGGGCCCTTTAAGACCAAGTAACCGCACCCACATTCGGTAGGTTTATTAAAACATATTATTAGATTACATATTGCTTTTTCTTAATTAAATATTAATATTAAATAAAAAATTAAATTAAGTATTATTGTTTTACAACATTAACAAACAAATTATTTAATCAATAAAATCTTTTAAATTATCTATTAAATTTGTTTAATTTAGTAATAAAATTTACTTTATTATAAATAATTTAAAATTATTTGACTTATACATGAAAGAGATTTAAATTTTTTCTTTTTTCAATTATATTTCAAACAAAATATCCGTGAAACAGCACTTACTCGAATGACGTCAGATTGTCCTTGGAAGAAATTAAGGATAAGCCTTCCGCACAACCCCTTCGTGCACTCGGACGTTATGGAAGTACCGTTAGTCTGAAAAGTCTGGTGACGGAAAGCTCCGGAAATGGCAACAATCTCAAATGTCTCGACTACAATGGGGGTAGTTTGATTAATCTCCGGGACCAAATGGACGTTTCGCAAATCAGACGTAGAAGTCCCAGTTTGCCTCCTATTTTCAACAAGGAACAACAACAGTATTTTTGCCAATTGGTAAGCAGTTGACTAAATTATATACATATTTAGTGATACATATTAAATAATAAATTTAAAAAATTACAGAGAATATATATTAATAAAATTAATTAATTTTAAATATATCTACAAATATATCTCTTAGTAAAATAATCTTTTATATTTATTATATTTATTATTTATTAATTTTTCTTTTATTTTTATAACGATATTTTTGTTACAAAATTTTAAAACATTTTCTTTTAGGAAAAGAGTTCAGTATATAATTATTTATTTCAAAAATATAGAATAATATCTAGGACAATTTTCTGGATATGTTTTAAATTTCTATTAGAATCAAGTTTTCCAAGAATAATTACTTACACAATTATATTCTCTTCCTTTATCACAAAATTCATTTCGGCGTAAAATTAAAATCGATCAGACCACTAATAACTTTGCTATGCCCGATAGAGGATTTCTACGAATGAAAAAAATACTGCGCGTATTATCTTCGCTTGAATAATTGATCGCTTACCGCAAGTTTACTTGCAACAGTAAGCAACACAACTGGCTAAAGTAATCGAATAGTTAAACAGTATAGATTTATATTTATACATCAAGAAGATATTGCAGGATAAAACGAAAATTTCTCTTTTATTTTATACATTAATATGCATACATATTTTATACATCGCTCTTTATTTATTAAGACATTATTAAATTTCTTATTGTGAAATGCTACAATTTCTATAATAGAAAATATAATATATACTTAAACAAGTGGAACGTGATTGCGTCTCTTCACTTGGAAAGGAATAACTTTCCAACTCCCTGACTCTCTAAATTCGACGATCCATTAAATTAACGACCACGTCTAATGACGATTTCATAAATGGCAAGCGACACTCGATAGTACATTGCTCTTTCGCAAGGAAAAAGCAAAAGTAAGGCAGTCCGGTAAATCGATTCTTATCGTATGATTAAAGTTCAACGACCTCAAGACTATACACTTTGCTTTCAAACTTAGGAGTAACGGACATTAAGTTCGTTCTTTTACCCCTCAGCTAAAACCACTCACGACACAAAACATACGAATTTGATTTTATCGCGGCTTTGCTGCCCTAAAACTGTTTGAACTGAACTACTCCGAAATATTGAAAAAATTGATGTAACAATTTAATCCATCTTTTTTTAATATTTGAAAAAATTAATTTTAATGGAAAATTAATTTTTTATATTAATCTCTTAACTTTTTGAAAAAATAGATATCAAGCTCTTTTAATTATTCACAATTATTCACTAATAATTTTAATTATTATTATTATTTAATTATTATTTAATTATTTACCAATTATTTTAATTTATCAATTGCATCTACAAAAATAATATATCTGTGAGATAAATAAATAGACAAAAAACAAACAAATCGTATGTGTATTTATCCAATTTTACAAGTAATTATTATTATGCAACTTGAATTCTACTTTCATTTATAAGCAGATAAAAAAGAAAATAAAATAAAAAAATTAGATGGTGTATGATTTATGTCCCGACGTCTCCGACACCACCAGGCACGATAGTAATATTAACCACAATATACATATATAGGACACGAAGGAACATAATTCTTCCTTTCACAAGCCACGAAAGCCGGAATCTCCGCATTCGATCACGCAAGCACGCCTCCCTTCTCTTCTTCGAGGGCGTTTTATCTAACTTTACCGTCTTATTATTCCACAGGAACAACAGCGTGATTTCGGTGTAGAAGGATCGCGATACCAGTCGCAGAGGTCGCAGAAACTGGAACACCATCATCATCGGTCCAACGATCATCGCGAGGCTCATAAAGAGCCTCATCATTATGGTTCACCGGGTGAGGAACGCGAAGGGGAAACTTCCGGTTATGCCAGCGATTCTATCGATGTACCTCAAGCAGGGCAAAGTGAGTTCTTTCAAACTTTAGTGCCTGAGTTCTTTTGAACTTTAGTAATTGTAAGATTATATAAATGTCAAAAGAAATATATCATTAAAAGTAATAATTTAAATATTTAAATTAATACAATTTTTTCAATTTTTTTTTGTAAAAGAAAATCTTACTTTTGTGAATGTCTGAGGAAATGGGAGAAATATTAAAATAAATGTGAAAATAAGGGAAAAAAGGAGAAATATTAAAATAAATGTGAAGAAATATAACACACGCAAAATTTCTGAGTAGTATTAATTTTAATATTGTTTTTTACATGTTTTAATTAGTTCCTTTATTAATAAAGCTCTTTTATACTTTTTCAACTTAAGGAGTTCTAGCTGACGGTAAAGCAACGGCTAGAATGGAAATGACGGAAAAAACTTGGCAGAATCCTTATTGCACCACCCCGGAAAGTTCATTGCCACCTTCGAGAAGGCTCTCGTCTGGCAGACTAGGCGAATTAAACAGGCCAAGGTGGGGTAGCATCTGGGGTCAAGACGGAAGAAGCGATCCGCCACCGCCCTCTTGGCTATCAAGATTAGGACAATCGAGTCAAGTAATGTCTATTGAAAACTTGTTGAATGCCTTTGAAACTCTAAATCATTCAAGAGATTTTATCTCGCGTCCACCTGAACTTTTATAATTTTTATAACTCAATCCAATACAAACAAATATAACATGTTCATACAACTGTCATGTGCTATTAGCATTATGACAGTTTGACATTTTTCCTTGGTTTAAACCTTGCTAGAAAATTCAAAAACTGTTATCTTTCTGTGATCAAGGTTTTAGTGATTAATCATGATAGCGCTAGCAGCCCGGACAGTTCGACAACTGGCTCGACCAGCTCCGACACCAACAAAGTATCTTATCTTCGAGGTCAAAATATTCCAATGGACGCGGACATCCTTCAAGAACGTGAAGCGAAACGGCAGAAAGCATTAGAATTGCAAAATGCTATTAAGCAGCAACTTGAGGAAAAGGACAGACAGAGGAAAGAGGAAAAAGAGCGACGGTTGAGAGAAGAAAGATTGGAAGATGAGCGAATCCGACGAGAAAGAGAAAAAGAAAGGGAAAGGTAAAATAAATAAATATAAATAAAATGCAAATAAAAAGTTAAAAATATTTCATAAAATATTAAGCTTTTGTTGTAGCAATTGATTTAAATAAAATGAGCAATTAATTCTTATTATACTTTTATAATGAAATAATAACGCATTATATTTTTATAATAAAATAATAATAAACATTTTTTTTCGAGAGAAAAATCGTATTTTTTGCAGAATAATTTTCTGTAAAGAAAATTGTAAAATCGGTAAATTCAATTCATTGTAGATTTGAAGAAGAACGACGGATATTGCGCGAAAAGGAAGTGGCAAAGCTGAAGAAGGCGCAGGCGATGCGCGAAGTATTAGAGGCTGCGGAACGATTGGCTAAAGAAGAGCGGAAGAATCGACGGAAGCGAGATGCGCACGTTGATGAAGACGACGTTGTGACACAGTCTTCCAACAAGTCAAAGGCAGTTGTCAATGTGGATACATTCGAAGAACAAAATTGCTCGCAAATGCAAAGCACAAATTTAGCCACCGATTATCCTGTGGAAAAAAGTCCGAAGAACGTCGAAGAGGCTAACAACTATCGCGAAAGCGAGCTCGATAAAGATTCGCAGAAAGAATATTCGCAACCAAATTACGCGGACAAGTCGGAGGAGGCTATGCTGGATCCGAGTCCAAAGTCTCTTCAGGTTCCTGTGAGCAAGGACGTGGCGATCGTGCTGAGCGGCAGACTGGAGGATCCGGAGATCTTGAGCAAAGCGAATTTGCAACTGGTGAATCTAGTGATGACACCGAGTCCGCGTAAATTCGCGGAGAACACTGTGGACTATTTATCGTTAGGTCTCAACACTATCATGAGGAACAATGGGAGTCCTAGGAATCCGAGGAAATCCTCAAGGGACAGCATCTCGTCTTCGAGCTTCGTGGAGAACAGGCTGTTGACGCCCAGCAAGTACAGAACGCTGGCCGGCCGGGACTTCGGCACGCAGACGGACGTAGAATCCGATATCCAGGAATTGCGGGAGAAGTTGCAGAACCAATCGATTAGGGATCAAGATACCGAAGGCACAAAAAGTCGAAAGGATACGACGAACGCCAGTCGAAGAAACGTTGAAAAGTGAGTCGCCATATTGCGATCTTGATGTCGCATTTCCAGGCTTCTTAGAGCCGAACGACGACTATTCTCCTCTGCATGCAGTAGTATCTGCCGGTAATTATCGTTTTTTTTTTACTTCATAGTAGCGTACATAATTAGACGATAAGCTTAATGATCATAAGACGCTTTGTCGCGAAATGTCTGTCGATCCGCGCGAGGAAAGTATCCAGTAAGTGAAATGTTCTTCATTATTTTCTAAGAAAATAGAAAACGTATTCTTATAATTTGACAGTTTAACATTTTTCTGCATTTGCAACATTATTTATGATATTATTTTTTGTTAAAAGGAGTTTCGTTAAAATTTGCTGCTTGAAATCATCCACTAAACAAACTTTGGCTTGACAAAAGCATGAATCTATTATCATCTTGCCTGGCGTAAATCGCTTTAAAATTTGTTTTTCAACAAAATTGCATAACGTCATAATGCATAATTTTAATCGTTCGAAGGTCGGTCAATGTGAATCCAGGAGAGGAAATTTCCATGAAAACGCTTCCGCGATCCAAATCACAACCCAGAACCACCCTCGATAGCAGACCGAGATGGAACGCTAATCGGTAAAACGAAAAGGATATAATAATGTTTAAACATATTTTTAAATAATCACGATCGTGAATGTAAAAAATGAAAACACTCTTAGCCCAGGCACACGATACCGGACGCAAAGTGAGAAAGATCCGCACTATCAAAGAAGATTAAGATTGAGAAGGCGACAAGTCGAGTCTAGCGATGAAGGATCCAGGTAAGAAATTTTAAAAAAATATAACAAATTGTTTAAAGAATTATTTAATAAAGTAAAAATTAAAGAGCAGTTTTAAATATAATTACAAAATATAAATCACTACAAATAAATGATTAATAATTGAAATAAGTAATATAATAATATTTTGTAAAACAAGAAAAAAGCTGTTTGGAATAAGATATTTTTTTAAATCAATTATTACTTGTCAAAACTTCATCGTTCCAAAATGAAATTAATTAGATCACCGTCTCCTGATCGACGAAAATCGAATAATGGAAAATCGAAAAGCCGGAACACCATTAGGCGTAAAACGAAACTCGAAAATTACGACGCCGATCTCTCGATGGACAGCCTGAATTCTATTGTACCTCTGCGAATCGACAAAAATGGGAAGATTAATATTGAAGATCGTACTGAAAAAAAGATGCGATCGGATAGCACTTCTTGCAACGCGAACCACGCAAATCGATCGGACAACGATAATTCCAATGTCTGGTGCGGACAAGAGATTTTATCCAAATTGTCGTCGTTAAGAAGCGTACGTTGCAATCAGATATCAGTATGACACATCAAAATATTTTTTTTTCAATCATGAAATTTATGATTATCTATAATCAGCTATTATAAAATTATTTTAAAAAATAATTATTTTAAATATAATAAAATCACGCTAAGGAATAATTGTTACAAAATATCTTGATGGTATGTTTATTTTGCTATTATTTCGATTAATTCTAGGGCAAAGATATCGTAAAATTTTAGAAAAACTTTGTAGTTAATTCTTCAATAATGACAGAATTTTAGCATATTTTTTAAAATATGTTTATCTTTTTTCAGGGACTTTTGATGAAGCAAATCGAGTGGGATTCCGAGCGATGTCTGGTCTCACCCGCTGCGTCTGAAGTCTTTTAAATACCTGCAGAATTTCGTTGTTTCCTTTCGTTTTTCTTTTCATTTGCATAGAAAGTGACATCGAGTAGAGTGCAAAAGGGGTTTTCGCTGAGACATACATTGTTTCTTCAAGCAAACAACGAGAAAAATTCAAATTCGCCTTTCTCGCATTGCAGATTTAGATAATGGCCTTTCAACTGGACGATCTGTTGAAGGATGATAAGAAAGATGCAAATTTGATACCTGATTTAAGCAAGGCGACCTGTAATTCTTATGATGAGTTTCGACGACTCAAGGAACACTGTCCAGAGTTTAAAATCAAACCGGAAAAAGTATGGCCCTTCTAATAACACTACGTTATAAAAATTTTTGAATTATGTAAATATGAAAAATTTATGGGAAAAATTTTAATGCTCTTATATAATAATTACGAATTATAATATATTGGGATAAAAGTGAAAAATCTTATTATGATTTATTATGGAAATATTAGAATACACTTAATAGTAATTAGAAAAATTGCATGAAGGTAAAAAAAGAAGATATCAAAGTCCGCGACAAAGAATTTTCCTGGAAAGCGACCAAGAAAGAGCTTAAAGCCATTGGCAGAGAATGGACTTATGGTAATCCAGTTCCACCGGACATGAGAGAATTGGACCTGCAGGAGCTGCAACAAGTCGCCATCGATTGGCGAATGCTGACTCCCATCAGACCAAAGCTTCGTCAAGACGAAGAAATGTTTTCCAGATTGGTGAGGACTTATATACTCATACCATTCGTTTAAAGATATCAATATTTTGCAAATGTATAACTACTTTATTTTAAGATGTAATTAATTTTATTATATAACTTTTTAAATGTTTCTCACTTATATTCTAATTTTAAAACTTTACTCGCGCAAGAGTAAAATGCGATTCTATTTCATAATTTTTTGATAAACCTCTTGTTACAAGGTGGAGATGGGCAAATTAGAGGCGAAGACCATAATGAAAGAACGACGTTCGCCAACAAGTCCTATTAGGCGAAGTAAGAATCGCGCGGGGATAATCGAAAGCAGCGTAAAAACCTGCAGAGAGTGCGGCGAGGAATATTGTTTCGGCGAATTTTGCGGAGATGTCCTCTACGATTCCTTCGTAAGGGTGACTATTGCCATCCAGCAGCCAAAGATTAAAATATCCGCGGACACCGAAGCGATAATTGCCAAAATGGAACGTAAGAAAAAAAAGAAAAAAAAGAAGGGGAAGAAGCGGGTCAAGAGCAAGAATAGATCGTCTAAAAAATCCGCCAGGTTGTTGGTCAACGGCAAGACAAGAAGATCGATAACGGATTTTGAAATTAAAACTGTTAAAACGAAAGATGGCGGAGAGCAAAACGAGAAACCGATGAAACAGTTTAAGAGAAAATGTAGCAAGTATACAAAGAAAGGCGTTTTACGCAAATAACGATTTTAATATGATGATAATTAGAAAAATTTGGACATCTGCAAAAATTTCTTGCATAGAAATACCTCATACATGTATTTGTATATGTAGATTATTCTTATTATATAACAAGCTTCTCGAAATATTTAAAAGAAATTAAGAATTTATAAAAAAAAATATGACAAAAATATTAATCAAATAAAACGATAATTATGCGATACATGCGGTACCTAAATCTTTGGTAATCTACTTATTAAGAAAATACTTTAATAAGATATTATAAGTAAATAAGAAGCGCGTATAAGAGAGAATATACAATTAGCTAGAATATTACAAAGCGCGTTATCGAAAAATGATACAAATCAGATCGCTCGATAAATAAAAGGAAGAACCAACTCGAAATGCTTTGCATTTTATCTATCTGTCTGTGTATTCTAGATTCCTCGATATAGGTATATATACAAATCGGATAGGCGCAATGTGTGTATGTGAATGCTCCCAATTAAATGCTGGAAAAATATAACTTTTATTCAATTTGTGTCTTTCTTTTCTCTCTCTGTCTCTCTCTCTCTCTCTTTCTCTCTCTCTCTATTTCTCTGTCTTTTTTCACTTCACTTAAGACACATCCCATAATTCGCACACATTTTTCCATAGATATCACAACCAAAAAGCGTACCTTCACGAGAAATATTCCGTTCGCTGAGCGAGATAAGTGCAAAAAAAAATATATATATATATATATTTATGTATATATATATATATATATATATATATATATCTTGCATTTCATAAATATATATATATATATTTCGATCATATATATATATCCCAATTTTTCTTTCAAGAATAAACGCATAATCGCAATTATTCGATTTACGTGAGAACAGAATTTTTCTCGTCAATTTTACATCTTCTTCATTGGGTTCGCATATATTTTGTTTGTGTCATATTCTCTTTGCTTTAATACGCTCACATAATGATCAGATTTAAATTAATCAAAACATAGACGCGATATTTTATATATACACAAAATATATGATATTCTACACACACACACGCATACACATGCGCGCACACATACAATAAATTTTAATATTAATTTGTCACATATATCATGATTGCAACAATCGGTGAATAAAATAAATTATATATGTATAACTTTATATATATATTCGACAATATTGTGTCGCTTTTATTTATCTACCTGTTTTCCTTATCTTATCTCTATGTTGCAGTCGATATTTCGAATGCGATCAGTCCTCGTATATATGTGCCGTACAATCATAAAATTATAATTACATTGAATCACGCGACTAAAATAGGCCATCATAATCGCGCTACAGCATCGTTACATTTCGATGGAAGAATTGAAAAGATACATTATCAAAATGCAATCTATGCACTTTATATCCCGAGACATACCCATTATTATATATATATATATATATATATATATATATATATATATATATATATATATAGTTATATTAAGTCTATGAAAAGTGTACAGCACATTATGGATTCGTAATAGAAGTGTGCTGTATTATTGCAACATGTCCATTTTAAAAATAAAAAAAAAATCAGATTTGAGAATCTCTTTTACAAAACTAATAATAATAATAGTATCGTAGTATTTCTCTTGCCTTGATTATAAATTTATTATACTGCAAAATTTGTCTTGCACTATTTTCGAAATGGATAGAGCGTGTATTTCGTTTTGGACGCTGATTGATTCTTCGGACATATCCTTAAAATCTGATCGCTGCGGAGATTGTGTTAACGCAACATTGCACACATATACATTTGACAATGAGAAAAAAAAACATTACTCTGTTAATATACATATGTACAATGACAATATATATATATAATACTTTTCCGATTTGATAGTTGATTCGCATCTTCCCTTTAACTTTTTCTCCACTTTTTTTACTAATTTTACTGATACTTCTCTACTTTATTGATTTTCGTTTGAAAATCTTCTCGAAAATATATACTGTGAACCATGAGAGAAAATATTCTCCTCCATCTCTGCTCGTACAAGTTTTCAGCAGAGCACTTGACACATCAAATATTTGTATTAAAGCATTAATACTTGAAATACACATATTTTGCTACGATAAACTATACTTCGTTTTCACGAATGTTGTGTAGCGATGTGGTGATTTTGAGAGTATTTAGAAAAATATACTAATTTCCTTGTGCTTTTTTGTTTCAATGTAATTCCAAAAGTCACGCTTCACTTTTCTTCTCTCTCGCGATTGTTAAGTACTCTGTTTTAATTAGCCAGTTAAACTAACTTACATCATTATCGACTTTTGAAATTTCACTTATTACTTTTTAAAAAATTTGGAAAGCGTTGTTAAGCTGTTTATTTTATAATTATTCTTAAAATATCCACAATGATAATTTAATTCATGTCGTTTACCTTTCGATTCAGCTCTTTACAATACACGAAATACATATTTTCATTCATAATGTACAATTTGGAAAAATAATTTTATAAAAGTTTCGCAGAGAAAAGAGAAACTTGGTTCTTTATTATACAAATTAAGTTAGTTACTCAATTAACTATTTCGATAATTGCTCAACCGCTATCATTCAACTGAAATTTCCTGGTGATTACAATGCCATAAAGAATCAAGCAATGCGCACACGATGAAAGAAAAGATTTACGCAGTCTTATCTATCGTGAGACTTAAATATAGAATGGCCGTAAATAGAATTGCTAAATTTTTTTTATATCCATAAATTATTGTACGAAGCTTAGCCTTGCAAATATAATCCAGAGAAGAGAGATGATATTTTTTGGCACGGGGTATATACAATTGACACAAACAATTTGATGTGACGATTAGTTCGTTGCTTGTAATATTACAATTCAAGCTCGCTCGATGTGTTCTATAGATAAATTCATTTTTTTCATCCTTTTTACATAATTCTATATGATCATCACTACAATAAATAATTTTCGAAAGTTTGAAAATTAAACGCATAACTTGAAAATCTATCTCCACATAGTAATTTTTCTCTTTCTTTTTCTAGTATGTGTATATACGCGTGTGTGTGTATAATTTAATATATCGATGCCCAGTATATAAAATATGAATGGCTATTCAAACTCTAAGATTTTCTCTCCTCTCCCTTTCTATACTTAAAAGTTATAAGTGGTTTAGCATTTTAGTTTGCAACATTCAAGTAATATTTATATATAGTACTCTTATCACAATATTGTCATAAATTTTAAATGATATCACTCTCTCCCTCTCATTCGCTCTGTTTCTTCCTAAAATTATTTATACAATTTTACACATTAACAGATAATTCTTAAAATCATTTAGAATAAGTTTATCATAACATATTTTCTATAACAACGATAGTAATGTTTGCTCACACATCAAGTCATTCTTGTATGAATATATAATCTTCTCTTTATATATATATTTATATATATTTAATATATCTTTCTTTTGTCTTTTCTTCAGATAAAATATATAAGCTAGGACATTTCGAGAAAAATGTGAAATCTTGAATAGCTCTCTGATATTTCTAATAACACTCTTGCACAACGTTAGCCTTATAGAGCTTAGCATCTAAAAGCAATAGAGGATATTGATATAACTTGTATTCTGACACAGTAATGTCTATAAGGTATGCACAGTACATAAAATCATTTGTAGATCACGTTCAATGCATGATCAAGGGATTCTTTTTACATAAGAGATGAACAGCTGGATTATTCACAAACGATAGTTTTGATGTAGATTTAATCTTTTTTCGATCTAATACTACGTTCAATTACTCGAACAATTTACATGACGATAACTATCTAAGAGAGCCGTTTACAAAATAATGTTTGATACAATAAGATACATACAAAATTCAGTCGTACAAAAAATTATACAAAAATATCGTTCTCATTTTTCTTTTCACTACCATGCTTGTTCATGAAACAAAAGTTGAAATTATGAGATCTATTACTAACTATAATTATGCTAACTGTAATATGTTATCATAATAATCTTGTGTTTTAATTAACTGTAAAAATATAGTCAAAGATACACGAAAGCAATATGTTAGCATTTTCTGTCATGCTTGCAAATAAACTTGTGAGTTTCTCTTAATAAATTGTCATAATATCAAGAAAAATATACAAATATATACTTTTCGCTTTAGAAAGGATTTGAAACCTTCTAAAAGTTCTGTAAAAAATCAATATTTCTTTATAACATTATACGTAGCATTATATGTAGTATATCTATATGTACACTTATCTTGCAAAAATATCGATATATTTTGCCAGCGCTCTCTTTTTCTCTCTCTTTCTTACATTTTATCAAATAATTTTTTAGGGTCATTATTCAATTTCCATCGACATGAAATATACAACAGCAACAAATCCGTGAATTATCTGTGAGTTATCGTAAGATATATCACATAGTTTTTGTTTCTCAAAATTTTTAACATTTTTATATACATATCTTTGTAAACGTACATTACACAAATTCAATGCACATATCAATGTACATTAAGATAAATCAAAATTCTATTTAAATTATCCATTTTTTTATCACATTGGAGTATGATACTCATAGTGTGTCATTATTTGTGATGTCATTTATACCACTCCATAAAACCAATATTACTGATGTATTTAACAAGAGAACAAATTAAGAATGGACTAATTGTTATAAGATAGATTTTTAACGCTCTTTGTTTTTAAAACAAAAAATAGTCTATCATTAGCGACTAATTATGTAGAAAAATACATAACATTATATTATAAATGATACATCAGCAATATAAGTTTACCGCTTTCGGAGATTGTCCTATAGATTGTGCTATAAATATTATCGTAGAATATACTGAAGACTTTCTGCATTTTGCCTTTCAAATTCATATGAAAAGATTAAAACTGACGTTTAAGTAACAGCGAGACGACAATGTGTACAGAATTGTTTCTTAATATAGAAATAATACGATTGTACAAATATTCTTTATAAGATTACTCAACAAAAGAAACATAAATGGTCTAAGTACCATTCTTAACCATTATACAACTTTATGATACAGATCTACTGTATACATAGTCCTATAATTAGACAAGTGAAATATAATAATATGTTATTATGAACATGTAATGGTACCTAGAAAGTTAATGTGTACAAGAATTGTCTCGTTAATAATGATAATTGTACGACTTATTAAATGCAAAATAATGGACTAAGAGAAATGAAAAACGTACAAAAAAATCTTCGTCCTATATATAGCGCTCTCACGCAATCTGGAAGTCATAATTAACTAAAAAAATCATAATTAATCGAACAATCTAGTCCAATTATTATTATATACAAGGAGAAAGGAACGATTTTTGGTCAGATGATCGCGATTAGTAAGTCATCTAAAACACACCTATTTTGTCAAAAGCGACAAACACCCTTTGGACCAAGCATGATTCTCACTCTATTTCCTTTTGTAAGGAATAATATCATTAACATTGTGCATACTCATCTTCAGTTATCCTTGCGGGCCTTTTTTTTACTTTTTTTTTGAGGCTTTGCTTCTGTCCAGACATCTAAAACATAATTATACAAAAAATGCATATTAAACAACTCGAAAATATAATTTCTCATAATTTCATTGTTAATACAACAAACCTCCCAATTCGTCGAACACAACAGCTTTTTCCTTACTTTCTACCACTGTATTCTCTTCGTTATCTGTAGCTATTTTTTCCTCATTAGCCAGCTTTTCTTGTGGTTCTTCTGCAACAGGCTTATTATCTGATTTTGGTGTGGATGGTACTGAAGTGGGTGTATTTTCATCTTCAGCAACTTTCTTATTTTTCTTTGATTTTCCACTTTTCTTTTCTTCCTTCTCGACTTTCTCGACCTATGTATTATTTATAAATGATTAGTTAACTGAAAAAAAATTTACTCCAATGTTATGTACATGCAAATGTATCTTAAAATTTATTGCAATGTTACATAAATGCAAATGTACCTTATTCTGTTCTTCTTTATCCATTTCTTTGGCTTTATCTATTTCTGCATCAGAGATAGGTGTAAGAATCACCTCTTTCTTCTCCTTCTCCTTAAGTTCCTTGTTCTCTGTTTCTTTAGCAATCTTATCTTTGATTTCGGGCTTTTCCTGTTCTTTTTGCTTAGCCTCATTTATTAAATCAGCCTTCTTAGAAACTTTTTTATTTTTTTTTGAAGGGGATTCCTCTTCTTTCTTCTTATTCTTCTTATCCTTACGAGAATAGGCTTGTTCCCAGTCTCCTGTTATCAATTATAATATTGATACCAATAGATAACAGCCCAAAATAGTTGTACGCAAACAACAGATTTATCTATTTTTATGCTAATATATATAAATCAACCAACCATCGTCAAAGTCCACAGGTTTCTCCTGGAATAAGTTCTTCAAATTTTTCTTGTTCTTCACCTGCTCCACTTTGTTCTCTTTTCCAATCTTAGCTGAAAGTTGGTCCTTTTCTTTTTTGGTTGTGGTAGTGATTTTGTTGTCTTCATGCTTACGCTCTTTTAGTTTGCCATCAACATCATCTCCTTTTGTAGTTTTCCTCGGAGCTTCCGCCTTTGCAGTTAATGTCTTTTTAGCTGGGCTTGTTTTTTCAGATGCAATTTGTCCATTAGTAGCTTTCTACAAAAAAGCATATAAGAAATCTTTAATAATATTGCCTAATTATACTATCTATTATTAAAATACAACTTTTTCTTTTTCTAATAAGAAATATTGAATAGTTTTTAAATAATACTTTTGTATTACCTTCATAAAATTAATCAAAGTTCTTTTAAAACTCTCGTTAATACTAATCTTTAAGTTTTTTTTTGTGCACATTTAGTAAAATAAATAGCTTAATTTCAAGCCTTCTTTGCTTAATATAAATGCCATAATCAATTATATTTACATCTTACATCTGTTTTTATATCTGTTCTTAAAAGACACAATTTTTTTTCTTTTACACTTTTATATAATCAAAGTGAAACAAGATTTAAATAAAATCCAATAAAAGCATAAAGAATAAAAAGAAGAAAATTATTTAGGGTTGCATGCGAGATAAGAAGGGAAGAAACATGACAAGAGTGTCATCGTTGACAGAAAAAAACAAACCCTGTCAGTGCGTAACGTTACGTCACAGCGCACGAAAGGGGGAAGGAGAAAAACAGCCACTTGGCAGACCACCCTCTCCGACTTGGAGGAACCAGCTGATTAGCCTACGTGTGTGCGTGTATATCGACTTGCAACCACAAGTGAGCAACCATATGGTAGACCACATTGCGACATAGATGTCCACGGGGGAAAAGGGCGCGGAGCGCGAAAAAGAGGGAGAGAAAGAGAGAGAGGGAAAGGGAGACGGAAACTTCGCGTCGCAAAAACGACATTGTTTCGCTAACCTTCTCACGAATCTTGCCACGCTTCTTGGCGAGTTTTCGGTCCACGTCGGAGCCCGCGGACAGCTGCGCGAACGGCGGCTGTTCGGCCTTCTTGAAGCCGAAGGCGAACACGAGAATGGCGAGAACCAGCACGACACCCACGGGGACCGCGTATACGTATTGCGAGTGCTGCAACAGCAGACCGACGTGGTCCATGGCGGCGGCCGAGGTTCGTGCGAACTGCAACGGCCGAACTCTGGTGTGCCCGGGGAACTCGGAGGACTATATCGCGGACGTTGACGGTGACAGCAATGACGACGGCAAGTATGTACGTGGATGAACCAGACGCGACGCGACGCGCGGACGGATCGACTAGCGACGCGGCAGGCGCTCTGTCGGACGCGCGGCGAACTGACGTCTGACGTGACGTCTGCCAGGTGAGCGCTCACCGATCGCTGACGCGGCTGTGACGCGTATCTCGGCTGACTTCAGAGCATTGTTGGCGGCGCGCCTCGGCGGATCGCGGAGTTCATTAACGCGCAACTTCACGATAGTGTTATTGCTCTAACCTCAAAGACTACGATTCTGCAAAATTGTTCACGATATGCTTATGTAAAAATATGAGAGTTTGAGACTTATATATTTCGAGTTTTTCATAATAAATTCATAATTGAATATCTAAGGCTAAACGTCATGTGTTAAAAAAATAAATTTGTTAAAAAGTTATCTTTGAAAGATGAATGAGAATTTTTATTGATGTAAACCAATCTCAAATAGAAATCTTGGATTGGTATAATCGAGTTTTGTAAAAAAATCGAAAATTCTTAGAATTCTATCGTGATTTATTTTGCATAATTTGACGATAAATAAAATTTTAAGGTTATGTTTATAACAATATAATGGAATAATGCAATGAATGTCAAAATTGTTCGTCACTTGAGTTTTACATAACTACGCATGGTCGAGCGTGATTGATTATCAGCGGTCATGTGAAAACTCGACGCGACCTCATTCATACCTTTTACGTCGTGAAACAAGCTCAACTGTCGCAGTATCATTCAGCGATCGCATGTTCATTTCCAATTTAATTTATTGTCGTTAATCAATCTGATTTTTCACAATGTTGGAAGGAGTAAAGCACGTGCTATTAGTGCTTTCGGGGAAAGGAGGCGTCGGTAAATCAACAATCAGCACTCAGCTGGCACTTGCTTTAAAAGAGTCAGGTTTTCGAGTGAGTTTCCGAAATTGTTTCGCGACAATGTTTTTACGAAAACTGATGGAAAATTTCTTGAAATTGTTTTTCAAGGGTACGTTCCAAAACGTACTCTCCGAGGAAAATTTTATTCGATAGTCGTTCCGAAACTCTTTTAAGCGTTTCCGATTGGTTCGAATCAGCCATCGAGTAAAATTTTCCTCGGTTACTTGCGTTTTAGAACGTAACCCAAGTAATGTTTCAGTAATGTTATATTTTTTTTTTCTATATATTTTCTATATATTTTTTTCTATATATTGTTGACACAATGAAGAACAAATATTTTAACAAACCAATTTTTTATCGAATTAAATACTTCTATAATTTTTGCGATCTAACTTCTTTATTAGAAATTAATTAAGTAAAGCTGAATGTAAATCATAAATTATGACAGGTTGGGATCTTAGATGTCGATCTCTGTGGCCCCAGCGTGCCTTATTTACTAAACTTGGAAGGAAAAGATATTCATCAATCTTCTGAAGGGTATATTTTACTGCTTGTATAATCATTCATCGATAATTGTGTTACTAATAGAATAAATACTAATAGAATAAATTGCAGATGGATACCAGTGTTTGCAGATTCAGAAAAGAAATTGTCAGTCATGTCAATTGGCTTTCTCTTGAAAAACCAAAACGATAGTGTAGTTTGGCGTGGTCCTAAAAAGAATGGTATGATCAAGCAGTTTCTAACTGATGTGGTTTGGAAGGATATTGATTATTTGATCATTGACACACCACCTGGTACTTCTGATGAACATATTACTGTCATGGAGAATTTAAGGTTAATAAGCAAGTAGTTTTATAATTGCTAATTGATTGTAGAATAAAGTAAATATAGCATTGTTAATTATTGCTATTAATAAGATAATTAAAAATATTGCAGAAATGTAAATTGTGATGGTGCTATTATAGTAACTACTCCACAAGCAGTTGCAGTAGATGATGTTCTGCGAGAAGTAACATTTTGTAGAAAAACAGGGATTCATATAATTGGTATCATTGAAAATATGAGTGGCTTTGTTTGCCCTTCGTGTACAGTAAATACTTTTTTATATATTCCAATTTTCAATTTATCTATTTACAGTATAAATTTAATAAATTTTATTTCTAGGAATGTACCAATATATTCTCTTCTGGTGGTGGTATAGCTCTTTCAGAAATGGTAAAGGTTCCATTTTTGGCAAAGGTGCCTATAGATCCAGAAGTCGGCAATTTAGCAGACAAGGGACAAAGTGTTTTGGTAACATTACCCAATAGTCAAGTTGCACAGGTGTTTCGAAAATTAGTTGAAGAACTCACCAAAAGTAAGGAAGCTTAAAATCAAAAAGTTTATCAGCAATATGTGTGATTTTTAGCATCATATGTATATTTGCTTGTGATGTTTTGTAATTTTTATAACAGATAAACTTGCTTATACACAGGAAATTGTATATATACAAATAAAATATATCTTTTTATAATATTATTATTATATTATAATATATAATTGCAAAAAAAATGATAGTACTGTTTTATCATAAAGCACACTTGTATGTCTAGAATACTTATGTGTATATTTCACATAAAGAAAGAAGAGAAAATAAAAAAAAAAGATTTCCTGAATATAGCAAGTATCCCGTTTTATTTTTGTCTTTAATAATATAACACAAATTCTATTTGCATCCGAATAAACCACTCTGAGTCAACATATTAGAAAGACAATAATATAAGTGTCACAATAGTATTTTCTATATGATGTATTTAAAGTTCTTATATATATTGAGCATATAGAACTATGCAGAGAATATTTATTTGTTTCCCCAACCCCAGAGACCCTTGACAAAGCCAGTGAGACCTGCCTGTCCTTTCTTAGCTTGATCACCCATTTTGTGTGTCAATTCTGGGAATTCGACCATGAAGAAGGCCAGATCGAAGAACAGAGGCTTGCAAGGAATGTTGCGCATCGGCGGTGGTAATTTATAGACATTCGGTTGTTTCGTGAGAAGCGCAGGATCCTCCCTGTATTCGTGTAAACGTTCATACAGTGGTTTTTTGCTCTTGGCAAGTTTACTGATTCCACCTTCCTCTTCCTGACCATCCTCCAGAACACTATGAGCATGAGCCGAATATTGGGCAGCTTCTACGGAAGTTTCCAGTTTGCGTAAGGCTTCCTTCAGTGTGGCTGGAAGAATGTTGTCATATTTAAATGCATCTTTAACATGCTGCAATGATCTCTGATACATGGCCATAGCTTCACGCCAACGATGCTGATTTGTAAGACTTTGGGCTACATAGAAACACCTAAAAGCCCTATAGCCTTTCGTTTTTGCTTCTTGTTCCTCCACAAATTCTGCATCGTCTTGCAACTGAGATATCTCTACGACATTATATAAGGCCGCTTCATATAGACGCACTATGTCTTGCGGCTTAGCTTTCTCCGATTCTTCGGCCGCTTTTACCAACGCCAAATTGCGCTCTAACGTGCGAGATAATCGAATATACTGCAAATAATTTATCAAATGCTGCGGCGCCGACCACTTGTCGTTTTCCTTGTTTTTCAATTCGTTCTTGAAATGATCGCGCACCACTGACAGAGCGTCTTTGCAATCTATCAGATGCGCCTCCAGCAAATCAATCTTCGCTTGATTTGTGGAGGCCTTCTCCAGAGCTTGATTTAATCTCGAATCCGCGATAATCAAACCAGCCGCTCTCGGTGGCACGGTACCGCAAGATTTTCCGCGCCATGTTACTTCCTCGATATTGGCTTGCTTCTCACGCGTCTGAGCTATTAGAGAATCTAAATTGGACATTAGTTCGCCACTCAATTGCGCACGCATCTGTATGAGATCGTCCATAGCGGTGGTGTCTCCAATGTTGTATGCGCAATATCTGAGACTGGGTGCCAATTCCTCGACACGCGCCTTGTACACGATTTGTTCCAATTCCGGCAGCGCGGACACCAGGTTACCATATACCACCTGCGCTTTCTGCAAATTCTCCATAGCTTGTTTCCACAGTTGCAATTCAAACTGAAGGGAACCATTCATCCAAGCCACATACGCTTGAGCTTCCAGCTTTGTACGTGCATCGCAATTTATATTCTAAAATAAAATATAATAAAGTGATAAATAAAATCATATGTCAATCAATAAAGTCACATAATAATTTCATATAACTAACAATTAGTAAATCATCTATAAGAGAGAAATTAAAAATGTTTGATGAAAGATTAATAAACAAATTAAAAGTTCAATATCCTAAAAGTTTATTTTTCACACAAAAATTAGAGATAAAATATACCTCTATCAACTCTTGCAATTGTATAGAATACGTAGCTGCCTTCTTCAGCCTCGATACCAGATGAAATTTTTTTCTTGGCTCCGTGTTGGACTCTTGGCGTAGTTGCATTGCATAGCTCCAAGCACGTTCGGCCATTATTAAAGGCACTTGCAAGAATTTGTCCTCGCTGACCATGATCGGAGTGACGTCTTTCCTCTTGAAATGACGTCTATCACCTTGCGGTACTTTCAATACTTTTCGCAATCTTCTAAGTCTTCTCGAGCAGTAACCCCGATATCGCTGATAATCACCGTGTCTCAACCCATGTTGCTGCTGCGCTTCCTTGATTATCTTTAAAACTATACATTTGTTAAGTACTGTCAGAGAGTAAAATTGCAACAATATAAATATTATGTTGTAAAATCTTGTTGTGAATCATATGTTAATTAATTTCATGTTATATTAATTTGCCTACAAGCACATATTAGTTTGAAATTAATTTAGAAGAATGTTAATAGTAGACCTTCCAAGAGGTTGGAAAATGACATATGGCACCATGGACGTAAGGCACTGGTAGCTGTCAAAGTTTACGAAGGTAACAATTTCGAAAGGATACTCTCTAAGGAATACATTTTCGGCTCTTTCGTTATCATCCCCCCATCCTGCATCTGATTTTCCTTCGAAGAATCCACTCTTTTTTCGAGTACCATTGTGTATTCAATATTCCTAAATCTTTCTAAAAAAAAATCACGTCCACTCGCATTTCATGAATCGAATCGAACCGATATCGAGAATCGATAAATCGAAATAGTATCGATATTGTATTGCGAAACGAAAGAGATCGCTTCTCTCGCAAAACGTGGCCGCTCTTCGGTGCTTGGGTTTCAGGTTAGGCTCTCTCTTATTATTATGGAGACCGACGTCGGGATAAGAATCCAGGAAACGTTAATTTCTATCAATGACGTTACTTTGAAGATGTGAGATATTGATAATTTTGTTAAATGTCTGTTTTTTCTCCATCAATAATAAATAATTGAATTGAAGCAACTGTGAACTCTTTCAGAAAAAAGGAGCTGGAAATCATCGAGGAACTTGTGAAAGAAAACGGGCACTTGCACACAGTAGTTGGCACAGCGAATCAAATTTTGTCTAAGAAGATTCAAGAAATGGGAATGAATGTGGCAGATATTATTAATAAGAGCAAGCACAAAAACAGGTCAGATTTAAATTTGCCAATTACATCCACAATAATTACGGAACAATTGGAGCAAATAAATAACTGAGATATAATGTAATAACATTATTATATTTCATACATTATATATTTTTATACCTTTAAGCTTTTATATCTTTTAATAACATATCGATAAACCAATTTCCTATATAATTAAACGATTCTTAGAATTAATAAATATAAAATATATTGTATATAAAAATAACCTATACACACAGCCCTTATTTTACTTTAGCGATATTAATTATTTCTATTAGTGTTTTACTTATTGGCGAGACATTTGGATCCCTTGCATTGTAATTACATGTTCTGGACATTGTATCTTTTACAAACTAAGAATGTCAAATATGTCTCATGCATATGATCAATCTTTCAGGACAAACTAATCATGTATATAAGATATGCTTTACATTTTTGGATTGCAAAAAATATATCATATGAAAAATGTGACTCCAATGCAAGAAGTTCATAATCTAAACAAAATCTTTGCACTCTTATTATTTAATATTAGTGATTAATCAGTAACCTATAAAAAATATAATTTTCCAAAAAAAGATTGGAAATATTATAATTATAAATGACGTATTTTGCAATTAGTGCACTGCATATTTATAATTTTGATTCCGTTAACCAATTGAATTGTTGTTCCTTGCGATCTGCTTGTGGATTGATCATGATATTTATTAAACTAGGACTATCTCTTACCTGCAACAATATTTTTATAAATTATGCATTGCTTACATAATATTTATATACATTACTTATATATATTACTTACATAATATTTATATACATAATATTTAAAGAGTTAGACTCAGTAGTAATTTTACCTTGAGAGATAGATTTAATGCTCGCTGAATTTCCTCCACAGTAGTACAAAAATATCCTTTCTTGCCAAACATTTCCATTATTTTCTCATAATGAGTTTCAGATGTCAAAGAAAATGGAGGTGTTCTAAAAATATAATTTTAATAATACAAGTATCTGAATATATTCATATGCAAGAATAGAAAAAAGGATATTTAGATCAAAGATATCTATAATAATATTAAACAATAATCAAATTTTTGAACTCAATATTAAGGTTGCAAAGATGCGTACACTTGCGTTGGATCCCCAGATGCCTGCAACTGTCTGAAAGTTTCGTCATCGAAACCACCGTATATACCGTTATTATTAACAATTATAATAATCACCGGTAATTTATATCTTCAAAGAAAGGAAGATTACTGTGATTATAATTTTACATTTTTTTTGCGCGTAAAATACCAGTTTCTCTCTCTTTTGATAATTTTTTACTGGGGTTACCGAAACATTGTCTCAATTTCCATCCCGGAAAATCCGAAAGCGCTGTCTCCTTCCACACAGATTACTCTTTTTTTTGGCGCATTGTCTTTACAATAAAGAGCTGCCGCGATTCCAAATCCAAGCCCTACGCCCATCGTACCGAATGTACCGGCGTCCAATCTGTGACGAGGTAAATCATTCAAGAGAATGGTTCGTCCAATGTCCATTGTATTAGCTCCCTCGGAACAAATGATACAATCTAAAAATATAGTAAAAATAGTAATAAGATAAAAATAATAAAAATGTAGATACTGTAAAAAAACATATGTTAATATATTTAAAAGATAATTTTTAACTTCATAAATCAATCTATGTGTATATAAGCAAAAAGGAAAAGAAAGAAAGCATACAATTTTTATTAATTTTTTTTCTTAATAAAATGCAAAGTAGAATACACGTTTGCATTTTTTTGCAGTAAAAAACATCCATCAAAATGTACTTTCATACTTTCTACGAAATCGTTACACAGAAATGTACGTAAATGATATAAAATATATGCTCACCATTCGGGATAACATCTTGAATATGTTTAAAAACGGTATAATAATTCAGAGGCACACTGGTATCCAATGACATGCGCTGTACATGAACGAGGAAATTTATCATACAAAGAAAAAAGAATTTTTATTTAATTTGTAATTAAAATGTATACTCACTTGAACTAATTGCTTATTCTTCTCAATTTTCGCCGCAAGATCCTTCCACCATAAATCGTTTCGGTCGACGTGCCATTTTCGACCTTTCAACGCGTTTATCAAATATTTCGTCGCCGGTGCAATATCCGATTGTATGGCGACGGCAGACGGTACCGAATTATGCAATTCTTCCGCGCACAAATCGATCTACAAAGTTTTATATTAACAAAGAACAATAATTTACATCATTTAATTTAGTAATATATATCATTTATATCATTATTTATCATAATTTATATATATTATATGTATTATATATGATTTCTTCCTCAACATTTTCGCTTAACAGTTTTTAGGTTCTTGAAAAATATATTTTTAGTCATCGTAGTCTTTATGAAAAATACATTTCATTTTTTAATTTAATTTCAATAAATGAAAAAAAAGTTACATGAAAATGCATCGCGTATTCTCCAAGAAATGTATCGTCAATTTACCTGTATGATTTTGACGTCACTTTGAAACCTGGGTGATCGTCCAAAATGCAACATCCAATTTAATCTCGCGCCTAGCAATAAAATAACATCGGAATGCTGCAACGCGAATGTTCGTGCGCTGGAAACGCAATGCTCATCCGTATCCGGTACAACGCCTTTTCCCATCGGTGTCGGTAAAAAGGGTACATTGGTTGAAGAAATGAGCTCTCTCACTGGACCTTCAGCTCGACCATAAGCGGCACCTTCGAAAATAGAAAAAAGGTATAAGGAAAGAAAGGAAAAGAAAAAAAAATGGTTGGGTAAAGCTCTCTGCGAGATCTATGTATTTACCCTTGCCGACTATCACCAAGGGTTTCTTCGCCCTTATCAATAAAATCGCTGCTTGTTCGATTAATATTGCATCAGGATAAGATAACGGTGGTGGCGGACAAGGTAAAGCCTTAAATATTTTGCTTTCGTCCACATCTTGCGTTAATAAAGTAGCAGGTAAATCGAGATAAACGGCGCCTACAATATAAAACATATGAAATGTAAAATTATGAATGTAATGAGTTGTTCAAAGATAAATTCATGAAATTAGATGACATTTTTCATCATTTGTCACTAAGACTGTCCTAGTATTAAAGTACTCCGAAAAAAATTTAAAAATTTTATATTATTTCTACCTGGTCTACCATAAGTAGCGAGTCGCACAGCTTTTTCGACATGCATTGGAATTAGACCGGCCGATGGTGGTCTGGCAGCATATTTGCAATAGGGCCTACTCGCTTCGACCTGCGGCCATTCCTGAAATCCACCGATCCCTTCGTGATCCTCCGGACAGGATCCTCCCAATACAAGAACAGGCCTGCAAAAATACATTCAGTCCGAACAAGGATTTCGAATTCATGATAATAAAACTTTTGTTCTAAGAAACTCAAGTCATACATTTTGAGTAAAAAGCTAGATAATTCAATTAGAAAATTATTTTCTATAATCTTTACGAGCAATAAAAGTGTCTCACATACATATGCGCGCATGAGAATCCGATTTTTTTATTAGAAAATAAATTACAAAGTATACAAGAGTTACGTAATCACCTTGGTCATTATTACGAGATCGCAATCACAATGTCAAATAACAGTTGGACGGATAATTTCCACGACATGATTTTCTAGACAATGATTTCAAGACAAACAAAATTGCGACGAAATTGCCGTATATGCTAATCTTTTCATAAGACACGAAAAAAAAGAAATTACCTTTTATAATTTCACTCATCAAAATTCTGCATATTTCAATCTTTATATATCCGATATTTTCATATATTATGTATGCTCAACTATAATTAATGTATTTTATTCTAATGAAATTTTTTTATCGATAACGCATATCGTTTAACGCCAAGGTTTTGCAAAGGTTAAAGCAAATACGCATATTACTTACCAACAATTTATTTGTGCGTTCGCCATACCACCAATAACATGTAGCAATCCCGGACCGGAAACGCATAATACTACTGCAGGTTTTCCTAGATAAAAAAAATAAGTCTTTATTTATATATAAATTTATATTTATTTCTATCTGATTCCATATTATATTGCGTGTTAAATTCCTTGCGATATATTATTATTTCGTTATATAACATTTGAGATTTTATAAAATAATATTTCATTATTGTTGCAAAACTTGCTACTTAATTATCATATAATTATCATATAATTATTATCATCGTCATAGTATATTAATTTTGAGATAAAAATCTATTCAATCTTACTTGTTAAATATCCATAAGCCTGCGCGGCGTAACAAGCAGCTTGCTCATTTCTAAAACCAAGATATTGTAAACCAACAGCTTGCATGCTTATGGCCAGGTCAATCACGGGATGTCCCATGATACCGAAGACATAATTCAAACCCTGCGGATACGTAATATACTATATATAAGAGAGTAATATATATTTTCTTGAGAAATAATAACACTCGAATATATGTACTATATGATATACACATAGATCTTTTTATTTTTTTATGAACTTAAAAATGCATATTAATAAAATATAAAATAAAAATGCATTTGAATACAATTAAATATGAAAAAAATTAAATATGTCTACAAATAATGAAATCATACAATAGCATGATTAATTGCGCTTGTAAAAATAAGATTTAAAATAAGTTTTTTTTTCTTTTAATTGATACATGACGATCTTCTTCATCCGTGTGTATTTATTTCCAATCATGAAGCGTAAGTTGATCAACTCCATGCGTTGCAATATATATATATATATATATATATATATATATATATATATATATATATATTGCAACGCATGGAGTTGATCAACTCACACTTCATGATTGATATATATATATCTCAGTATTGATTTAATTTTATTTTATATTAGATAGCGCACAGAATGAAAATAAGACAGAGTCTGCGTTTATTATTTCAATAGCTGCGATGTGTATATAATGACTCAGTCAGTCAATGTAGTTTGATATATCCATTATGTATCAAGAATGCGACGAGCGTACACCGTTAATTACATCGCGAAAAAAGCGTAAGTATTATACGATTATGATAAGAATAGCGTGTTTGCGATTGAAGATGTAAAAATACGTTGAACGCTATACGAATTTGATTTATATGTAAATACATTGTAAACTCAACAACTTATCTGTTATTCAGACAATCGTTCGTGACACTTGTTAATTATAATATTATTTCTCACCCAAAGATAAGAGAAAGATCGTCTCAAAAAAATTTTTTCTTGTGTATGAAATATAAATCTTTGTTTATTCAGTATTATGTGTTATTATATCTTAAGATGTTTTGGAATAGTATAAAAATATTTTTATAATTTTTTTTTCTTTAGAATTATATGCTCGTTTAATTAATTTTTATTTTCTTATCATTAAAAATATTAAAGCCGTTTATTTGCGAAAGGCAAAAGAATATAACTAAAAATAACAGAATCAATGACCCTCTGTCTTTTGTAGAAATAAGAAATTATCTTAATGTATATACGTCAAGATACGATAAAAGTAAGGAAGAATTAAAAACAAATATTAATATTAATTAAATATTAATTAAAAATTAATATTAATTAAATATTAATTAAAAATAAGTACAAAGTACAATAAAATTTAAGAATCATAAGAAAACTGTCTTGACTTTACAATAAAATTCATTATATAGAGTGAATTTATCATAAACACATTCTAAAATACTTGCAAGAATATAAACTCATATAACAATGTGTTTGTAAGCATTACATATATGCGTTTGAGCGTGTGATGTGTATATGATCATAACCTTTAAATCGACGCACGATCTTTCTCGTTAAATTTAAATGATTCAGCAAAATTAGCGAAATTAATAATCCCATAAAAGACTTTTACATAGAATATTTTTCAAAAAATTTCCGAAGATTTCGGAAATTTGTACTTTAAAACTTGATTTGTATTGATTATACTTTGGTATTACTAATAAAACTTTCTGTCATATAAAATCAAAAAACAATCATCCACAATACCTGCTTCTTCAGGGCTTCCGCCATAATTTGATTTCCGGTTTTCATTTTGACGTTTATTCAATTTTTACATGCGAATATCTTGCAGTATATCAAGAACGTAAATATAAGTCAACTCACTCCACGTTCATCAGTCACGACTAATGATAACCGTTGTACTCCTCTCCATGACTGTCAAATTATCAGTTGATAAATATTACATAACTAAGAAATGTTACATAATCGCAATATATCGATCTTATCGCGCCAAAATACGAATCTAAGTTATTCAAATTGCATGAATTTAAAAATTTTCCTAAGTTAAATTTTTTAAAATGTTAATTAATTTAAAATGTTTTAAAAATATATAAAATTATAGTAATTTAACATTACAATAAATTCTCAAATTTTATATATTATATAAAGTACATTTATATTTTATATATTTTTTTAATTTATTTAATTGTATCTAAAGTGAGCATGCAAACAATATATATTCTTCATTGCCTACTCACATGACTTTATAATCAGATATATACATGTACATATACATATACATATATTTACTCATACATATATATTTACACATTAATATGTATATGTTATAATTAAATGAAATGATTTTTCGGCAACTAGGATAATATGATAACAAATTGTAAATCAACGAAATTAGAGTCATTCATCAACATAGTGAACAGGTAGAAAGCTTATAGAAAGCGAAATACGAAATGACTCGCAACGCGAATGTCATTATCACAAGAATAGTGAAATGGTAAAACGATAATAGATTGTAATGAGATTGTTAAAACATGTCTTGTTCTTGGAATTTCACGCTTAAGATGCTTTTATAGTGTAAAAGTAATGAGAAATAGTGCGGAATATATAATAGAGAGAATCACATTACCATTTGTCAGGAATTTCATTACTTGAAAATATGCAGAAACGTTCTAAAAACTTTAGCACATATTTTAATTAAAAAATGAATATTTTATATGATATATTTCGTAAATAAACAAATAAAGTCTCTGAAATAAATATATAAATTATCGTCATGTTATCAATGTTTTCAATTTGTTAGAATGAAAAAAGTTTGTGACTTCAGTTTGAGGTCAGCTTGTCCTAGATTTAAATACATCATTGTATATGTTGTACAATAGAACGTACATAAAATGGCACGTTATTCTCGCAAATAAAAGCTTAATCTTGCCTGATTTACGTTTACATAATCGGTCAATAACACTAAACGTGCGCCATCGATGCATAAGACATTCTCTGCGTTTGAACTGTTTTTTTCCTAGCTATAATATTATAATAATAATCTATTAATTATTATATTTAATACAATTGTATTATATTTAATACAATTTCAAAGAATAATTATATATATAAATAACAATGTTATAACAGTTTTTGTTCATTATACATGCTATTTCGATTTTGAACGTTATATCTCATAATTAGCAAAACTTTTTACATTTAAAAAAGTAATCAATAATAAAAAAAAGAGATTAATAACAAAATTATCAGTCCCGGAACATCCTTTTAAAAAGGTTTGTGAAAAAAAACCCTTAAGTTTCTCTCGTTTCTGAAACTTCCCCACTTCTCTTCTAACTTTCCTGAGCAAGAGCGAACTGCGTGGGGGTATAAATAGAGTACTTCAACGGAAAATTATTCTCTACAAAGCTAGACGAACAACAGTCAAATGGTCATGGCCCATGTACGAGAATTTCGAAAATCATTACAAGTATCGCGAGTTAGTGAGATTATGTTCTATTGAATTTTGCCGATTCTTGAATTGGCACTAAAATATGAAGTTTCAAAAGCATGATCGACGACTCTACCAATTATTATTACGTAAGTCAAATTTTTCTTTTATCTTTTATTTGCAAAATTTATTCTGTATTGCACAAACTCGAAACTTCAAAATACATTGAATATTCTATTATTAATTATTATTGCATAAATACAAAAATTTTGATCTTCTTATGATTTTATTTCAGACAAAATTTGTCGTAAAATTTGCTGTGACTTATGAAATTTAAAAACGCGATATGTACGTTCAGTTTTTTATACAATTATTATATCAAGAGTGAAAGATTTTTACGTTTGATACTTTGATATTTAATATAAGATAATAATGCAATACATAAAAAATAGACATTTTTAGGATTTTTAATTCTTTGTATTACAAGACTTATTTTAATTAAAATTTAAAAAATTGATACATTGTTCGTTATTTTTTGAAAAAAGATAAAATAAGAAAAAATTAAAATTCTATAATTTAATGATACATTTTCATCGATTACTCGTTCGATTCTAAGTCTTAGCAAATTTCTCCTGTCTTTTATATGCATGTTTGCTTTTTACTTTCGGCACTTTTGACATAGTTTCTGAAAGGTATTCGTTAATCTAGTTGCGTATAAAGGTGATTATCCAGATTTGCATGATCGGTTTTTTCCGTTATTCAATCTTGTCGCGCATAAAGGTGATTTTACAGATTTGCATGATCGGTTTTTTTAAAAGAAAAACTTTGCGGAATTACTTTAGTGTTAATTTGTAGTTGTCAACTAGAAGTTGAAACTTGGAATCGTCTTAAGAATTTTGCTTAGATTTCAAACATCTTTATTTACTCATAAACAAGATTTGAAAAATATTACAAACTTTATACATATAAACATCAGAGGTTAACATAAATTTAATTTTCTTCGGATCGGTGATTTTGAATTATATCAGGAATATGTCAACTTATTTATATATTTTGTTATAATTTATACGATCTTGAATTTCGTAGGTTTCTTATTTAAGAATTATTTAATATATTTAAGGTATTTAATATATATAAGCTGTTATCCTCGAACAAGGTCTTATACCATCGAATGTGTTGATAAGTCTTTCGAAATGTAACGTTTATGACAGTTTAAGGATATCGCGACCGATCGCGCGTTTCTAACCATCGATAATTATAGACAATATTGTTAGTTATCGATAATTATAGATGAGACTAAATAAGGATACGAATTTTTTGCTCGCATATAACTCATAAAATAAATTTGTATATATTCTATAAAATATATTAACAAGAATGTTTTATTGTTATCAACAAGACCAAAAATTTTCATCTTAACGAATTTTGAAATAGCAACCTTCATTCAAACAAATTAGCAAGATATAAAAAATATCATATATATAATATATATGATGTACTAATCTAAACTAATTGAGATTCAAAAAACATCATGTTTTTTTATTTAATAAAACAAAAAATATTAAATGTCATTTCTCTCTCTCTCTCTCTCCCTCTCTCACTATCTCTCTTTATTTCTGAATTTTCTGTTATTGTTTTTTGAAATTTTTCTAAATTATTTAATCATAATCATTTATTAAATTACCAATTATTTATGTATTATATGTAATCATGTTTAAACTAACATTAATTATTCGTAAAAAATTAAAATAGAATCATTTATTTTATTTAACGAATTAGAAGATTATATAATTTTATGGTGACATAATCTTTTATCAGTTAAAACTTTTGCCCTAATTATATACATAAAGTGATAAAAATTTTAGTAAATATATCGCGATAGAATCGAAAATAAATGATTCAAAGCTTGCTACGATATCTGAGAGAAACTAATCATCTGCGAATCTAGTTGACATGATAATGTACCATAAAATCAGCTGTTTAGCAATTTTTCTTTCCAAACATTTCTAAATGCAGGCGATACGAGAAAACGTGCTCTCGGTTCGTGTTCCGACGTTTTTCTGGAAACTTTTACGTAAGTGCGCAAATCGTATGACGAAAGCAACGTTGAAATCTCGTTAAAAAATGTATACGAACGTTATAAATTAGAAGCAGGTTATTTCGTCTATTTTTTTTGCTCCGAACAATTTTTCAAGATAATATTCTACGATGAAATAAAACGTATTAAAACAAAAGGAGTTCTATATGCGATTTTTAATTTAATGATATAAATATATTTCTATAAATGTTAATTTTTTAGCGTCCCGTTTTAATAATTACAGGTCCTTCTTTCGCAATGAGTTAAATGTTTATATTTTAAGCTAAAACAATGTTAATGATACTTTGGAATAAGTTAAACGTTTATACTTGAAGCTAAAACAATGTTAATATTATTATTAAATCACATTCCATTATCATTTAATTGATTGTTAAATATATTTTTATGAGACGAGATATAATAACTGTTAAAGCCGGATCTACATTGTTCGTATCGTAACGTCGCAAGTCGTAAGTCGTAAGCAAATATTTTTGAAATAATCGACCAACCAGTTGATTATTTAAAAAATAACCATGATTGGTCAATTTGCCAATACAGATCCGGCTCAATGCATAATTACAATTATATTCCAATTATATTCTAATTATATTCCAATAATATTCTAATTATAAAAATTCCAATTATATTCTAATTCCAATAATATTCCAATAATATTCTAATAATATTCCAATAATACTCCAATAATATTCCAATAATACTTTTAATACTTTTAATCGACTTGTGTACCGATTGCCAAGAATGATAGAAATCAATAAATGATAATGGATTTCCTTTTCAATAAAATTCTTTGCATCTTCTTATTTATCAATTCTTTCCTTTTTTATTTCGAAACTTTTATTTTTCTAGAGAAGATGATTTAAACGGGATTTTACGTATAGCTTTGATTAGTTTTTAAATTAAGATTCCAATTAGAATATATTTTTAATGAGCTAATGAATGATATAATTAAAGATAGATAAAGTTTAATTAAAGTTTAATGAAAAATAAAGATTTTATTATACATTTTTTTCATGAAAAATTTCAAAATTTTAATGATTTCATTTATTATTAATGTATAATATTAATATATTATTAATATAAAATGTGTCTTTTTTCGCACATATTTTCATTTTTAAAAAGTGATCTCAACTTAGCTAAAGAATTTATGTGTATCTAGAAGAAGATCCAATTATATTCTCGGATACTCTACAAAATATATTCTTAATCTCGGTCAACCCTAAATCAATTTCAATCCTCTAATAAAAACTCTATTTCTCTTGATCGATAGGATGGATGCCGATGCGCATATGGATATGCGTGATGATGTTCACCGCTTGCTGGACCAGCTACGCGTGTCGCTTGCAAATGCCAATCTTGGTAGTGCCGATGATCAAGGAGCAACCGATCAATCACACGATCAGCGGCGTGTGCGTGTTCGATGAATCCGCGCGACGACGACGCGATATCGTCAACATTTTCGATCCGGGCAGCTACCTGGAGGAATACATCTTGGATCGCGTCGAGGAGGAGCGAGATCAGAAACTGCACTCGCTGCATCGTCGCCAGGCAACGACGAATACGACGCGAACACCGGACACACGGTTTGAGTTGTTTAGCAATCTACCGTTCGACTGGACCCCGACGATTCGAGGTCAGCTGTTGGCCAGCTACAGCTACGGCAACGTGCCCGGCAATCTCATCGGCGGCTGGCTAGCGTTGAGATATGGACCGCGACACGCAATCCTCTGGACAGCGATCCTGTCAGCGGTCCTATCGCTGGTGAGCCCGTTCCTAGCACATTGTCACTGGGGAATATTATTATGCTCGCGAATCATCATTGGTATCACCACCGGTGTCACTTTCCCCGCGTGTCACACCATGGTGGCTAAATGGGCACCGCCACACGAGCGGGCGCGGTTCATCTGGTCCTTGCTCGGTGGAACCTTCGGCACTATCCTTACATATCCGATGATAGCCGCTATTGCAGAGAACATAAATTGGGAAAGCGGCTGGTACATACCGTCCCTGCTGATGCTGGTATGGATCATAATGTGGGCATTGGTCGCCTACGATTCTCCCGCGGAACATCCCGGCATCACCGACGAGGAGAAGAATTACATCTTAACGTGAGTCGCAAAGTATCCACCGTAATCTGCTTTTTTACATTCTAGAGTAGTATAGAATGTATCATCATCTTTTTCTATATACTTAATGATCTATCATTCGATATAGCAGACTGTAAAGTAGAAAAATAACATAAAGATTGATCTCTTCATAAAATTCTTAATTAAAAAAATTTAATAAAGATAAGGATCTTTTTCATTAGATTGATTATATGTAACTCGTGTCACATCTCAGTACGTCCATAAAATAAATTAAAATAATACGATTATCACGTTCCTTCGAAGAAGTTCGTGTTCACGCGATTGCAAATCGATTTAATCGATCGCGAATTTTTTTATAGCGCGCAAGCGGGAATAGTACGCCCCGAGAAGCCCAAGTGGAAGCAAACACCAATACGACAGATTATGACATCGCTACCGTTTATCAGTTTGATCATATGTCATTTTGGAAATCTCTTCCTGTTATTCTTCTACCAAAACTCGCTGATGTTGTACTTGACTAAAGCGTTGGGCTTCCAATTAACCCAGGGCGGCGCCGCGGCCGGTGCTCCATGGGGCGCTAGAATGCTCTTCGGATTCTTCTTCAGCTGGGCGGGTGACACTATCAAAAGAAAGCAGGTCATCAGCATCACTCTTTTACGAAAACTGGCGACTATATTCTGTAAGTATTTTTTTTATATATAAATATATAAATATTAATTTTTATTCTATAATCCAGAACTATCAAAATACTCTCACCATATTTTTATTAGAAAAAGGCTCTATGTAGATTTATAAAAAAAATATTTGGCTTTAAAATTTTAATCAAAATGAAAGTCCATTTCATCCGAATCGTGTGAATTATTTAAATTATAAAAAATTACGAATATAATATATAATATTCGCGTTATGTATATAAATGACTTACATATCGAGATCAAACTTGAATTGAAATGCGTCGAAGGACTCAAATTTACAATCGGAAAATAATGTGACGCATGTAATATCAATCTTCCAGCGCATTTTCTGCCGGGCATCTTCCTGATACTAGTCGGCTACGTTGGTTGTGACTTTGTACTTGCAAATGTCTTTTTGTTCTTCGCGTTGGGCTTCAATGGCGCTGCTCTTATTTCGAATCTGTCGAACAATCAGGATCTTGCGCCAAACTTTGCCGGCTTCCTTTACGGCATCATGAATACAATCGGTACTACTTCCGGCATGATTATCCCACCGATAGTCGAAGAAGTAGCTGGCAAATACGGAGTAAGTATTTTAAATTTATTATTCTAATTAATTTTTATTTATTTCTTAATTAATTTGGTTTATTTACGATAATTTGACTTTATTATTTGAATTGATTATTTTTTAATTTGAAAGAATAACAATTTTCTAAATGTATTATTATATCATTCGAAACATAATTTGAATCTAAATAATATCGGAATTAGAAATTGATCGAAGACATTTTTTCGTTGAATTAAGAATAAGAATTATGTAAAATATAGAATATTATTTTTTTACGATATAATTACATACAATTTTATTGTTATTAATTTTATTTATATCATATTTCAACACTTATAAAGTCAATTTCTAATTTCGAAATTTAAATCTTAATTTATTGATCCACAAACTCTCGCACTCTAAGGAAATTATATTATTATTTCATCCACAATTTATATTTGACGCTTGTTTTACTTTGTTTTAATTTGTTATATAACTACAATTTTATGCATATCTATGTAATCCGCTCGCTTTAATAATCATTCATTGTTTAACTCTACGTAGCTTGCTTCTATGCAATCCACTTTGTGACCATAGTTATTAAGTTTGTCCCGAATTATCGCTCCTGCTTGTGCAATGTTACATAATAATAATAATAATACGTAGTATATCTATGTAGAATCACCCGAACGGGCAACTTTTGCGTCTGTTACATCTACATAAAGAAATCTATTTAGTAATTTTATCTTTAAATAGAAATCTTTATCTTGCAATGTCATTTTAATGCAAATTACGCGAGTAATTCTTCTTGGAGACATGAGTGTCGTCAAAAGATGAAAGAGAAGAGGACACATGTATGTGACATTATGCAAGAAGTCTCATGCGACGAGTAGCAATTTTATCTCGATTGTAACTCGACTTCCTTCCTTTTAGATTTTTTTTCGTTCGCGTTATACATCTTCATATGCACGTTATTTTTCAGTCATTCCCGAGTTCTCGATCTCGCTCACATTGTGAATTATATATATGTTCAAGTAACTAAGATCGAATTGCTCGCGTCTTTCAAGCATCTGAAATGCTCTATATTTTTCACGGAATTATTTCAAACAATAATTAATATTACTTACATTAAATTTTAAAGTGATTGGATAAGATATAAGAGATGTTACATCAAGTATCTTTAGCAATCTAATTCGATGATTGAAATATTTCTTGCTGAATGTAGCTTGATGCAAGTTGTTCGTGAAAAAAGTATTTAAATATCTTCGAGATATAAATGAAACAATATCCAATACTTATTGTTGGGCTCGAGATCTCGTTAATTTCGTGAGCGAGCATTAATATAAAATATTTTCTTTTTTTCTTATATATTTTTATAATGGCGCATATTATGTACAAATGATACGAATTATTTCCTCATATCTCGCATACAACAAATACCATTCATGTTCATTCATCTCAGATATTCATTTATACATTACAAGCCGCTGCTTTAGCTTATTACTATCTTATTATTATATATACATATATATATCAAATTCATTTAATATCATTTAATTAATCAATTATTAAATTACAATTATTAAATTACAATCTATCTATTACTATACTAAATATTGATTCAGATTTTACACATCAAATTATAAGCTATGAGTTACATTAAAAAAATAGCTTATATGTTGTTTGTATATCGAATAATATTATCAATTTTAATGTAAATTTTCATTATTGTTTTCTTTGCATTAGAATCCAATCGATAGATGGCAAATACTTTTTTGGATCGGCGCTGCGGTATGTATAGGAAGTATGATTGTATTCCTGTTTGGAGGTAGCGGTAACATACAGAGCTGGAATGAGCTTCGACCGATTAATAGACCGAATCCTGATGTAGAAGCTAGACAAATTGAATTGGAGCTTAGCAACAATGTAGCACAAACCTAATATGCAATCTTAATAAATCCAAAATTTTCATTTTAATAACGACATATCGCGAATGCGCAACAAAAATATTTAATTATAGACAATAATATTTTAAACATAATCTAGACAAAAGTCTAGAAAATGTTTAAAAAAGATTGCAAAATTAGAACGTTGTTTAAAAACAATTTGAAAAAATAAATGAAAAATATTTAAAAGATCAAAATGTTTAAAAATAAAACAAGAAATAGAAATTGAAGAGGCGAAATTTAATAAATTAGGATTTTTAAAAAACATAAAATTATATATTTTGTTGTGTCGTGTAACTTTGTTCATTATTTATCGAATTTCATATTCATCGTTTGACTGAAATTTCTTTTGTATTGATATCTTAATGTATGGTTGAATAAAAAAATATTGTTTTTACCTCATTAACTTTGAAGTCAACTAATATGCATATTAAACATGCTACTCCATATATATGTAAGAATTGAGTTGTGATATTAAAATAAAAAAAATAAGCAAATGATAGAATAATAAAATATAATTATTTTTATTCAAGTTTGTTATTATTTTAAGCAAATTTTTAAATTAGCAATTGCTAAATTAATAATTTTCTTATAATAATTTATTCTTATATTAATTTATAATATCAGCCAGCAATTAATTTCTAAAACATTTTCCAAAAGATCTTTTCAAGAAATTTCTGAGATACGATTGTTTGTGACTTTTACATAATCACTCTCTGGAATAGCGATAGAGTAGCATCTTTCGCGCGCATTGCATTCCGACAAGACTGGCATATTCCTTTATCTTGCGTTTTTCTCCGCGCATTGTTTGACATATATTTTGTTGTTCCTTGTATTTTTTATACGGCATTGCAATACGTTTGTATAAGATTAGTACCTAAAAGATATTTCAATAACAATGAAATAACATCAATTTTAACAAAATATTAAAATTTTAAAAGTTTTACAACACGTAAATTTAAATTTTATATTTTAACACCAACTATATATCAAAAATAATATTTACATTAAAAAATCATATAACGATTTTTTATCTTTTAAAGTTATCTTTTAAAGAATATACCTCTTGAATGTCGATTACACCGTCCTCATCAATTGCGTTTACATCATTATTTAAACGACTGTATTTTTCATTGTCCAATTTAATTAAACAGGGCTCTATGTCGCACCACACGTACGTTTGCGGACATAGAAGTTTCGATGGTCGCATTTTGGCCTTATATCGCATTTTCGGACATGTGTGAATGTAAAAGCCCATGTAATAGTATTTCAAATCGTTCGCGACTTTGTTAAGCTGTCTCGTCAAGTAAACTTCTCGCAGAGAACTAGAAATAATAAATACATTATTTAGAATTATAGCTATCTTCGAATTCAAATGTATTGTAAAGATTTTTAATATTTGTTAAAAAAAGAATAAAAAAATGTTTAATTCAATCAAGAACTTGAATACAAACCTAAAAGTTCCTAAAGAGAGTTGACTATATGTGGGATCATAAAAAAAGTACACGCTCGAGATGCACGACGGCAGAATATCTATCACTCCGACTGCTATTAATTCATTATCTAACCAATATTGTTCATGAAAAGAACCGTATCCTTGAGGTGGCCCATTATTGGGCATCCATTGCTTTAAAATATTATATTATTTTATTATTTTAGATACTAGTTCATTTTTATGACGATTAATAAAACTAATAATAAAAGTTTTTAATGATCGACTTAAAGACACTAATTAGACTCTGCGCTTTTGTAAAATAGAAAATACATGTATGTATGATAATAACACAAATAAACAAGCATTCTTGTTTGCTATAATGCATAAGAAAATTGTTTCAAGGCAATTTTTTAAATATTATTTGAGATTAATAAAAAGATTAGATACAAAGTGTACCTGCAAGGGACTTTTTACAAGAAAGTTAAAGAATGACTTTTGATCGCATTCCTCTGGCGGATCATTATGAATCACCATTTGATATTTTTTATAAAGATTTGCACTCGCATCAAAGGTATTAAGAAACTCGTCCGACATCACTCTCACTAATTTCATCTGATAAAAATATTTGCAAACAAATGTAAAATTTACATAACATTTAATTAATAAATAAAATTGTCCAATATAAGAATTACTTCGTTGAATGACAATGACAAATAATTAAATGTTTCCTGATTAAAAAGAAAGGTCCACTTTGCTCCAATCATGACATAGCTATTATGTGCTTGTTTCATTAAAAATGTTAGCTTCTTATTAATACATTACAACGTATAATTTTGAAAGAGCTAGATTGAGCTTAAGATTGTTGATAATAGTAAAACATAAAAAAAGAAGATTAAATCAAAAGCGCATAGCCACTTATTATGGTTTCTCACAATGCTCTTATCTTACACATAATGTAATTAATTTCACATCAAATCTATAATTTCTATTTTTTTCAATATACAATTTAGACAGTTTTGCGTTAAGATATCTGTCGCGATTTGCTGTATTTTATATCTCTGAAATTAGTGAATTAAAGCAGTTTCTGTCTAAAATAGAGACATCTTATACGAAATCGTATAAGATTACCTGTAAAGGAGATTTCACGAGAAATCTCGTGTATTGTTGTTCTGTGATCTTTTCAACCGGATCTCCATGTATCGTGGTCTGATACTTTTTGTAAACTTCGTAAGATTTTTTCGAGGTTTTCAGATATTCAGGACTCATCGGTGCAATTCGAACTAATCTCAACTTACAAAAATTATTAACTTAACACAAATCAAGACAAGTTAATAATTATAATTTACAACAAAAAATACAATTTATTGCGACTAGTTATAGTTAAATTAAAAGATTATAAAGATTGAAGTAGTGGAAAAATAATACAGATAAATATACAATATAGTTAATTATATAAATATATATAAACAATCAATCTATTAGGTTTCTAACATAAAACCGGTATTTTCAGCAAATATATTACTGTCATTATTGAATTTTTTACTCGTTTTATTATATACTTTTAATATATGAGCAAAATTGGAGAAAAGAGGACCATATCAAAAACTACGTATAGAAATAAGAATATTTTTTATAATAAAAATCAGGAAACGTCTGGTAAAATAAATAACAATTTTAAAATTTAATCGTTAGTGTTGCATTACCTCCAACTTTTTCAAACCAGTATACACTTCTTCAAATAATTCCTCTAAAGTCTTGATATGATTCTGTTGTTTTCTCTCTTTCATGATGCTTTCAATTTCACTTTGTGATTTACCTTGAGCTAACAATTTATTTTGTTTGCGTTCCAAACGCAAGAGCTTTGCTTTTTTGCAAGGCACTACATTAGTAATTTCATTTCTAACATGCAGACTACTTTTACTGTCAGAATTTGTCATCTGTCCTTGACTACTCCTCGATGCAGAAATAGAGTTTACTTGAGGTTTAGATTTTACTAAATTCACAGACAGTCTTCCACCAAGTTCATCATCAACAGATGAAATATTAATATGTGACGCATTTTTTTCCGCTTTTGCCATATACTTTGTATAATTAGATACTTCCATATTGTTTAAATCTAACAATAAATATTATAAAGTTATTGAATAATTTTTACAAATGTTATTATTATGCACAAATTTCTTAAAATTCTGTTACCTATATTATCTTGTTGATCTTCATTAATAGCTCCAGCATTATCACTTGTTAATTCGTTTTTCAAAAATTTCGTCATACGCTTTAAGATTTTTTTTTGAGATTTTGATATTTTAAAATTTAATGCTTCACATCTAAAAAAACATTATTTATGCACATTTTGCTTTGCAGTCAGAGTTATGATTGAATAATATGATATCTGAAAGAAATATACTTATCACTCACTTTATGGTATATTGTGGGCAGCAAGTTTGATTCATGGTAGGTTTGTAACAATAACAGCCACTTCGTCTCCATCCTCGATCTATCAAGTTTTGATAGTCTTGCACTGTCAACGAATGTGCCCACATGCCTGAAACAAGTAATAAATATGTCTTATAATAAATTTTTATAATTTGTAATAAAAATAACCATCTATTTTAAAGTATTTTAAAATAACATGAAGACATTTGATATTATATAGAGCAAAATATACTTCATATTTGTCTTTATATTTACCATGACTAAAATTTGTATCTGGACTTTTGCAATAGCCACATTTATAACCCTCATGTTCTGCATAATATTCCACAATGCTATATGACTGTATAGCCATGTTATTAAATTTACTGATAAATTATACACAACTATCTATCGTTGCTCTGCAATTAGATTAGATAGATCAATAAGTTATCAAAAGATTTGTTTGTGTCTTATGTCTTAAAGTCTGATTCTTTCATATTTAGATAGCCTTGTGTGATTGATTAAAAATCTTAAAAGAACTTTTTTCCTTGATCAATTTAATCATACAACTTGCTATCTATTTTCTTACCTTTAACAGTTTCACTTTCCACAGTTCCTAACAGTTTCACTTATCAAATTGTTAACTTCTTCTATGTTTAATTGACTTATATTGACCTAAAAATAAATGGAATCTAATCTAGCTCAATAGCTGATCAATAAGTGAAAATGAATACAAAGAATATAAAAAAATAAAAAATAATCTTCAAAATCCTTTTAAGAGGCTAAAATTAAAAAAAAAATAGATATGATTCAGACAAAGAACACATATAATATACATATAATATACACATATAATATAAAAAATAAATAAATAATATACACATATGTATTTTTTTTCAAGCTAAGCTAATGCTAAATAACCTTTACTACTGTTTTTTGTAACACTTGTAAAATGACTATAATTTTTAATTGTTTAGTTGAGAGTTTATTTATTATTTAGATAAATATTTCATTCATAAACCAAATGATAATTTATTTATATTTTGTAGAGAGAGAAAGAAATATATATATATATATATATATATATATATATATATATATTATTTTATTACTTAAATGAAATCACAGATAGCTCTTGTTTCTTCATTCAGAGTTGTCATTTTTAAACACTTTACTCCACAAATTCAACATAATCTTTTTTTTGGAATCAATTTAGTTCTCAAAAATAATATTTTAACATTTTTCATACAATAATAATATACATTACAGATGACTGTAGATTGTCACGCACCGTCATACGTGTTGTATAACATACAATACAGACTTCTACATTTTTAATAAATATAGATAGAAAGAGAAGCCTATCGACAGTCGAACTGAAATTATAGCTAACTGAAAAAAGATAAAATTTAGATTGAAAACTTACATGATTTTCCTCGATTGACCAATCTGGTTGAAGGAGAGAAAAATCTTTTTCCTGATTGGTCAAATAGTTTGAAACCAGAGTTGAAACTGTCAAATGAAGCGATTGCCAACCATGGTTTATGTCCCAAATATAAACCACGATTGGCAGCAGATTCAAAATTCAATTGCGTGTTAAGCTGATGTGAATTTGTACAAACGTAAGTCAAATTATATATATAAATAATACATAATTAACTAATATAATTATACATATATATAAATATACTTTAATATATATAATCATATATGAAACTAATTTTCAATAGGAGAACATTATCAAGGATTCCATTATTGCACAACTTGGCATGCGTTTGTTATCGACGAGAAAATGTTGACATTTTGAAAAATTCGACGCTGAAAAGTGAGTATTTCGTTAAATATTATTTCATCGTTATTTTATAAGTTGGATAAAATACTAAATTATTTTAATATAGAGTGTTATATTCCATTTGTGTGCGTCGGCAGATTTACTATTATTTATTTAAAATATAAATCATTTTCATGTAAAAATAAATATTGATTGATATTCTCTCTATTAATACATATAAGTCTGTGATAAACATCAATGTGTCAACTGTCAAAAACAGCTGACACAGCGAAAGCAGTCGCAGACATAATACACGAATATCTAGATACGGTACTTTTGCTCCAAAAGGTGTATTCCTTTTGACTCTATTTTCACTTCGAAGCAGTCGATGAACCAATCAAAGCGTATTATCGAAATATATGAGAGAGTCGGTCGTCTACATACATATTATATCTATGCTCTTATATCGCGTCCTGCGAGCGTGTCCAACTTCACGTGTGGTTATGTCTTTTATTTACATTTTAAGTAGACGTATAAAAGTATAACATAAATATTCGTGATTTCGAATTAATAGTCTTATTAAATGGAGGGTTCTACGAGCAGCGAGAGTGCCTCGAGCACTCAAGCTCCTGCGCGTGGCGAAAGGGTAAGCACCAGCCAACGAAATTGTTTAAGGTATAATCTTGGAATGAAAATTAATCGTTCCTGCTATGTCCCCAGAGAACTCGAGGCTCGAGGCAAAAGGCTGTAGATAATTTGAGCAAAAAATTTCTGCGAAACTTCGATCCGGAACGCAGCGAGCGAGAGAAACGTAAGCTGTATCGTCGATTATATCACAGCCACAGGAAGCATTTGTACGACGAGAAGGGTACCTTCATGAAAACGTCGAATGATCTTTGCGATTGCTTGAGCTTAGAATGCCCCGGATGTCACTTTCCATGTCCCAAGTGCTCCTCTCCAAAGTGCGGTCATGAATGCAGGTATTTTGATAAGAGTTTCCATATCGAATAAAAGCCTGATTACTTTTGTCGCGAAATAATTCATTTCCGAGTTGGTCGTCTACCATCAGGAATAATCGCAAATGGACCTATGACAGTATTCATTGCGAAGGAACTGATACTGTGATAAAGAATCCATTGTTGAAAGAGCCCGAAGCAAAATGAGAGTATACAATAATTAATCTATGACAATTGTGACATCTACAAGTATCTTTATATAAAATATCCTCAACAGATGCTGAATTTTTATTATTATCTCTTATTAAAGTATAGTTGTATGGTAAATAAAAATGAATTTATAATAAGCGAGAGTTTGAAATGTATAGCACTATTTAGATGATTCTTAAGTAGTCATAGAGTTAAAATGTGCATCACACATAACATAAAATATTTTATATTATTTATATTTTATATTATTTATATTTTATATTATTTACATCATTTATATTATTTAAATTTTATATTATTTATATATTTAATCGACGAGTGGCGTGTTACAAGTGGAATTGTCTTGTGTGTAAGCAATCGTAATTGGAACAAATTCTCGAGGTTAAAGTAAATATATGAAAATGACAATTCCCACACTATAAACATTGACACGAAGGACTTATTTTTCTATATCGAAAATTGATTTCATCGCAATGATAATTATCGGTTATCTATTTTTTAACGCGCGCCCAGGATGGACGCTCGCGCGACACGTCACTGCGTAGATTCTCGTACACATCCAAACGGAAGCGCTATTGATTTTCCGCGCGACGCTTTCGACGTCGGTGCGCACGTTTGCACGCACACGCACACACGCGCGCGCGGAGGGCGCGCGCTTCGTTTTCGTCCGCGAGATCGTCGAAAATTCGCGTCGATCCGAGAGAGAGAGAGAGAGAAAGAAACTTGAAGGGAGAAAAAAGGAGCGTGAAAAGAAAAGAGGAAAAAAAAATACAGTCACGCTAGTCGCGACGAAAGTCCGAGCGGGAATCGACCTCGTTGTTAGTCCGCACGTAAAAGTGACGTAAGACCGACCGTCGTGAATTTGACAGTCGCGCGCCGCGACGGGCAGCGGGTCAGGGGGTTGACGTTCGGGGAGGCGCGCTCCGCGCTAGTTTGCCGCGTCGGTCGGTTCGTCGCGATTCGTGACAGGCGTGTAATCGACGAGGGAGAAAGAGAGACGGAACGAGGGACGAAAGGAAGCGTCGTCCTCCCTCCGTTCGTGTCCGAGTGTACTCGCCGCCGCCGGAGTACCGGACGCACGAACGTACGCACGCACGCACGTACGCACGCACGCATACGAGAACGCGCGAGTGACAGCCGCGAGGAAACGATCGTCGAGCGAGCTTCCCCGTCGTCCGTGTGCGGTCGTCGGGCGATCGAACGGGGTTCCGGAGCCGAGGAGGGAAACTTCCAGGGTCTTCGGCCGCAGCAGGTTACGCATTTTTCGGGATGCATATCTTCGGTTTTCCGCCCTTCGCCCTCCGCCCCGTCCTCGTCCGGGACGATGCGGTTACCGCGAACGTCGCGTTATGTCGATACGATCGGGGTTAGTGTTGTCACCTGGGTCTCTTCTCGTTGCAGTTTCGCTTTACCTCCCCTTCCTTCGTTCCAGAGCATACCCGCGCTCTGATTTGCGACAGTGTGGAAAAGTTGGAATAAAAATAGCATCATATTTAATAAAAATATGTACGAGAATCTTTCTCTCAAAGTCAGATATCAGACTAAACTTGAATTTAAATCGTTATCTTGCAAGGGATGGATCCCGTTGAACTGTCAAACTGGCAGTGTCAACGCGCCTCGAAATGTCACGCTCGACGAGTTTCAATTTCTAAAGAACAATGTTCTCCCTTCGGATCCTTGCAGCGTCTGTATGAAAGTTCAGTCGTGAAATGACTATTTCGCGACGCGAAATTGCCTAATGAAGGTGCTTTGTAGTCGAAACGAATCATCGGAATCGCTCGGAAATGAAATACGTAATCGTTGTGTATCCGCAATATTGTACGATATTACAAACTCGCGTGATTTCAATGATAACGAAAATTACAGGGATGAGATTCGACGTGATCGATTGGGTGATCATTATATCGGGGGAGTATGTGGCACATATACACATATACACACACATATGACAATGATAATTTCCTGCGATATATAATATAAATATTTCTGAACTACTTTTTCACGATACATCTATGTCTATCGGATGTATAGTAGTCGTTTGTATCTAAGGGTCGTTAGTTTCACTATTGAGGAATATTTCAGTGCTCCATCGCGCAATTACCCTGATTGCTCCTGTAATTTTGGTAAATTCACGTTTCGATGTCACACACGAGAGAACCGTCCTTACTTCTGCCAATGCAAACACAGATGATAGGTAAGATGTATCTAGCATCTTTGTATACATCGAAAATGAGATTTATCGAAATTGCGCCCGTGTTTGCTCGGAAAATTCCAGTTTAATTCGCAAATCATTTTCGCGTTCTCGATCGAGATAGCGCGTCTCCCATTCAAGCCGACAAAATCCACAAAAAAATTACGTTTTTTAAATTAATTTTTATATTTTATAACTTCAAATATCAGATATTAATTGAAATTCTCTCTCAATTGTTTTACATCGCATTATATAAGATTATATAAGATTTTTAATTGTATTTTAATTATATGTAATTTTTAATTCTATTTTATTTTATTATATGTATTTTATTATTGTTATATTTTATATGTATTTTATTATTATATTTAAATTTTTAAAAAATCTATTTTCTTCGAATCGTATTACCTTTAAATAAGATTTATCAAATCTGTTTTACCTGAGATTGCATTTTTTATATTTTATATCTTTTCTCTCTCCCACTCTATAACATATTGACTATTTCATTTTAATACCAATTCGGTTCTGTCAACTTTAGCTTTATCCTTCTTAGCTACCCTCTAAGAAATATATTTATATAAAAAATGTATATTCGGATATGTGTGTGGAAGTGGAAAAAAACTGCAGGAAGGTACAGGAGACGCGAGTGAAACGAACAGACTTTTCACGGACGATGAACGCGACCCTTGTAAGCAGTGCACATGGTCGCACCGGTTGCAAGAGGAAGGGGTGAATTAGTTCCTCTAAAATTGCATTATGCATTAGATCTCCTACACATTTGTGCACAAGAGTGTATATTATTCATATACATTCTCGGAACACATAAATATATAAGCTGGGAGGGTATCGCGGGAAGAGGGAGATATCGAGAAAGTGCACGAGATAACGAAAGCAGACCCGCGGCATAAAGTTGTGTAGGAGGAAGGGACACATGCGGTAGAATGCGGCTTCGTGGGTGTCGTCATCGGGGAGTCTACGTCACGAGATACGCGCGGAAGGACGGACGGATGTAACCTTTCGTGGGTTCAGATTATTAACCGCGTGGGCGAAGCGCGGAACGGAGATCTATGGCGTGCGCATCATTTATACGAGGTGTTCCCAGACCACGTCGGATGTCCTTCTCGTGGCACAGACTTCATCTCAAGACGATTCTTTCTCGACGAAGATATCAATTCTTCAAGTCGACTTTTCGAAAGAACTAGAGAAAGAGACAACGATATTAATTATTTCAAAATTAAGAGATTTTATATTTTAATTCATTTATAGATTAATTATTAACGATTAATTCATTTAATTCATTTATAGATTAATTATTAACGGTTTAATTAAGGATTAATTTATTAGAAATATAAAAGAAACGATGCCTCGCGCGATATCTTCAGAAAAGAAAGATCGCCTTGAAAAGGGCCGATTAAAAGGACATCAGAGGTGATTCTGTGGGATACTCGGTACAACTTTTGCGTGTCGTGCGACAGGTCGAGTGGTGATCGGGGGTTGCGAGGAAAAGAGTGATCGTCTCGTACACATACACCTCTCGCTCCCCGTCCCTTCCCCTCCCGCGCCCACCCGTTCACCCCCCCTTCCCCCGTCGTCTACCTCGCTCTCTTCGTGCGCAAGGGACCCCGAGCGTCGGGGGTTTACGTTGCCGGGACGGCAGATGTCAGGATGCCGGAGCAGAGCAACGACTATCGTGTGGTCGTTTTCGGGGCGGGCGGTGTCGGCAAGAGTTCCCTCGTGTTGCGTTTCGTGAAAGGATCCTTCCGCGAGTCCTACATACCGACCATCGAGGATACTTATAGACAGGTAAGCGTGAATCGGCCATGCACGCGCCAACGTGCTTCCAATCCAAAGAGTGCATGTCCCTGCATTTTATATATTTTTTACAGTCGGCGGCAATCTTTCCTCTATTAATTAACGTAATTAATTAGAGATAATGATTACGTGTTGGAGAGAAATTTAAATAAACCAAAAACTTGTGAATTCTCTGCTTCTCTCTTTTCTTTTTTTTTTTTAATAATGATAAAGATAGAAAATTGATATTCTATAACTAGAGATTTAAATATTCGTAGAAATTAAATGATTTTAATCAAGTCAATTGATTTTAATATTTGATTTCAATATTTAATTACGATATCATAATGTATTAATTTGATTTAGATTGCAATCTCTGAAAAAAATAACCAAACGTCTTTGCTGGCATCTGTATCGCCATAAAATTATAGATCTGAGAGAGAGATTCCGTCGTAAATTATGGATGGTGTAAAACAGGCTTTACGTAGTGTCGGACATTACGTAGATAGTAATTTCCGCGTCGAAATTTAACGATTAATCGAATGTCCTCGTGGCTCGCACGCGCACACCGCGGGATTGCGATAACTTTGTCATTTACGAATTTAATATTTCCATTCGTATATCTCCGGCCAATAATATGTAGATGATGAATAATAAGACATAAAGAGACGATAAAGACATTAAATTTACGAATGATTCGCGGTTGTAACATCGTTATTATCTAAAGCATGCTTTAGTAATAGTAAAGATATGCAATTATAGTAAAGTAGAATTAGTACTATAATAATGTAAGCTAATCGGGAAATATAAGTAGAAAGCATGTACATTGCATATTATGATTGTTTCACCTTTCATAAAAGAGAGGGAGAACATCGTATCATATAGAGTAAATTAATTACATACTCTATCACATGTGATATACGAGGTAAATAATAAGATTTACCGCATAAACTCTACATACTCTGTTTTTAGAAAATTGAGATCTTTGCGTAACGTTATTCTCATCTACGTATAGATACAATTCGTATATGTCAAGCTCCAATTATTCGTAAAATAACGCGACAATAATTTCGCGATCATTAATTATCTCGACATATATAATATATAAATTTTATCTATAATATTTATTTATAATATATAAATTTTACAATATATAAATTTATTAATATTATATATTAATTACATATTAATAAATTATTATATATTATTATATATTAATTAATTAATTAATTAATTAATTAATAATATTAATATATATATATATATAAATTTATTAATATTATATATTAATTATATATTAATAAATATAAATATGTACATTGTAAATTTTAAAAAAGATACACGTGTGCACGAGGTATATGTTGCAATAACGATGCTGGTGGGACTCTCGCTGTGTACGCGACGAGAAGTGTTATCAATGAAATCGCGCGGGACTCGAATATCATTTACGATTCGACTCGGCTCGATCCGCGATCACGATGAGATTCATGGGAGAGTCGAGTCGAATCGATCGATCGAATCGAGACCGTCGCGCGATCCAATGTTTGTGTACGGTATTTCAGGTGATAAGTTGCGACAAAAATATATGCACACTTCAAATTACGGACACAACGGGGTCCCATCAGTTTCCCGCTATGCAGCGGCTTTCTATAAGCAAGGGTCACGCCTTCATCTTGGTGTACTCGGTATGCTCACGGCAAAGCCTCGAGGAGCTACGACCGATTTGGGCCGTGATAAGGGAGCTTAAGGGCCAGGATATCTCGCAGATACCCATCATGTTGGTAAGAACTCGCCACTCGGCCCTTCCATTTCTTTCGGCTATAAATTTCACTCCTAACTATAAATTCATTCTCCCGATTGATTTTCTTTTTATATAGATGTATATATCCGACTTGTTCTATATATTTGAAAGAATAATCGTATAGTTCTTGAATGTGACATTATTTCACGACATCGATTCTATAATAAATTCTTGCAGAAGCTTGCGTAATACTTGGAATCATTGCGATGCGTTTTTACGACTTTGTTATTTATTATCTATCTTGATCAATTAAAAAAAATAATTCCTTCATCTAGCAATACTTTCGTCGATTGAAATTCGACAATGAATAATTTCTATAAAGTCAAAGTTGAAGAAGCGTTAAGTATTTATCAAATTTCTTTTTTTATTGTAAAATTTATCTAAAAACCTCAATACAAAATTGAAGTATTGTAAATTAATATCGACTATTATGAAATGATATTATAATCGACTTTGAAGTTTATTTAGTTTCTTTTTCTACTGAAAAATTTATCTAAAATTCGCAATCAATATTGAAGTACTTTAATTAATTTACTTGCCTATTACAAAAATATATAATAATCTGATTGACTTTCAAATTTACCAAATTTTTTTTTATTGAAAAATTTATCTAAAATTCGCAATCAATATTGAAGTACCTTAATTAATATACTTGCCTATTACGAAAATATATAATAATCCGATTGACTTTTAAGTTTATCGAATTTTTTTACTGAAAAATTTATCTAAAATTCGCAATCAATATTGAAGTACCTTAATTAATATACTTGCCTATTACGAAAATATATAATAATCCGATTGACTTTTAAGTTTATCGAATTTTTGTATTGAAATATTTATCTAAAATTCGCAATCAATATTGAAGTACTTTAATTAAAATACTTGCCTTACGAAAATATATAATAATTCGACCGACTTTCAAGTTTACCGAGTTTCTTTTTCTACTGAAAAATTTCTCTGAAAATCTCAATATTGAAGTAAATTAATTTATTTTTGCACGAGAAACGGCAATTTGAATTTTCTTCCCTCGGAAAAAATTTGGTGTCTCGTTTACCTTTTGACGTCGTGCGACTCAGGTCGGGAACAAGTGCGACGAGAGCCCGTCGGTGCGCGAGGTGTCGATGAGCGAGGGCGCGGCCGAGGCGGCTAATTGGGGCTGCGGCTTCCTGGAGACCTCGGCCAAGACGAATCACAACGTGGATGCCCTGTTCCGAGACTTGCTCACCCTCGAGAAGAACCGCTCGGTGTCGTTACAGCCGGTGCAGAGCAACAACGCTATAAGACTCAAGGAGAAGTGTGCCGTTATGTAAAATCCGTCACGCTCATCCGCGTTGTATCGCGAACGACGCACCGCATCACGCGATGATTCTCGGCGAGGTACCTCTGTATATTCGTTCTGGGGATCGTTACTTTTTCGAGACCCTCGCCGATCCGATCTGATAATCTCAATAAACGACGGGACGACTTATTAGCGATTTAAATTCCCTGCGACGACTTCCGTCTATCGAGAACCCGTTAAAGTTTACCGTATGACGTATCGTATTCAAGTTACAAAGGCGAAACTTAGAAACGAAAATATCTCCGCGAAACTTCGAATTCTAGAAATAATTTTCTAAGAATCCTCTCGAGAGAGAGATTTAGAATTTCGAATTCTATAAGAACGATTCTGGATTAATTTAATGGTTTAATTCGTCCGGCGAGAGGAGGGCGAGTATTTTTATTCGAACGAAGGCAAGTTACTCGAATACGTGTGCGCGTTGCTCGTCGATAGGGGAGGTGTGTGCGAGAAGCTTCTTTTAGTTTAAGTTTAATACTTTACGCAGGGTAGATTATTCGATCCGCGTATGATTTTTTTTGTACCCGATGATAACAAATTATTCGCGTTTCCGCTCTTATTTTTCTCGACTTCACCACGGAAATCGTCCCGCGGTAATCTCGATCTGCAACGAGCGTAATCGACAAATGCGACGTCACTTTTTTTTTTTCATTATCTTCGAAAATAAGTCGCGTGTTTCGCGAGTTCTGTTCTGGCACGGGAAGAGCCTGGTGTTAATTATAATAATATTATTGCAATGTTCTGCAACATAAATACCGATCATTATACCACACGACATATCATCCTAAATAAATGATAAGAAGATTCTGATATTTTATAGGAAGAATTAATTTTTATAGAAGAGATTTGTACATCGTATTATTGCGAAGGACGTAATTTACCGGTTCCATATTTTTTCAAAAAATTTTTTGCACAGATATTATATATTTTTTTCAATTTAAATATTTAATTGATATTTTTTATAGATAAATAAAATAAACATATATATATATATATATATATATATATATATATATTGTGGGATTGATTGTGATAATGATAACATGTAATAGTAATTTGTAATGTAAAAACCAAAAAAAATTACATATTGACAATTAATTCGGGATATATCGTAGCGACAGAGCCCGAGTTTTTATCGCGATTCTTATAATCGCTTCTCGTTATAATTAACTCTTCCAAGCTCTTCAATAGCGGCAGGTAAATTAGTAATTTTTTCAATAAGCTCTTGTTTATACGCAGCGCCGAAAAGACCCCGATGATTAGCGTCGTGTGAAATGCACGCGAGCTTGCTTAATAGTCGATTTTATCAGAATGATCACTCGCGAAATTGTCGCTCTCTTCTTAATTTTTACAAACACCATTTCTTTTGCATAAGCAACGAATTGTTATGAAAGATTGACGAATACCAGGCGCCATTTCTTCGCACGATTTTAGCACTCGAATTTCCTCCGATAAGTCGCTCTGTTTCAAGACGATCTATGGCAAAGGGCAACCATATAACTCTTCCTCTTTTCAAAGAGATTGATTTATTTGATCCATCATACAATACACATATATATGTATGCATATCAATTCAGTAAACCATATTGAATCTGAAAAATGTTGAAAATATGGATTCGGTAAAATATATCGAGCTGGGTGCAAAAGAGAGAGAGAGAGAGAAAGAATAAAACATAAATTCAGTAAAATATTGATGTTGAAATCTGCAGCAAAATACTGTTGTGAGATTGTTATAGAAATGAATTATTATCGAATATAGATGCCTAGTGAAATATGCTGAAAAATAGGAAGAATGCGCGGAATGAAAATGTTATAAAAGAGGATTTATTCTCAAGAAGTCAGTTCTATACATGGTGACCCTTGTCCATAGATTCTCTCAATTTAATGATGTGCTAAATCGATAATTGTAGACGCGATGGTGCCCTTCCATGAAAATTCCGCAATGCTCCGCAATCTGAGACTACCGCATGACGATTAGAGGGTTTGGTGTAATGCGCGCGCGTCAGAGTTTTTTTTTCGCGAAGATGACAAGAGAGAGAGAGAGAGTATGTGTGAGATTGAATGAGAGAAAGGGAGAGAGAGAAAGAAATGTGTATGCAAATGATGACGAACAACAAGTAGATAAGAGTTGTTACGAGATTGGTTTTTGTTGAATAGTTGTAAGAGAATTTTGTAATAACTATGCTAATTATATATAGAGTTATAAAAACAACAAACAGACATACACACACACACGTACACATACACGTCGCACACAATAACATATACGATATATACACACACGCAGATGCAAGTTGTGTTAACGTATATCATTATGCGTGCAGATTCACATACACGACACGCGTAAGCACAGATCTGTTGACGGATGCAAAAGAGATTACGAGATTGTAGCTGTACATGCGATTATGCGAGTTACACGTTTTCCATATCGACGCAACGTTTTTAATGTATTTTCTTTTTCTTTTTCATGGATAGATCGCATCCGATCGTGACATTTCTAGACATTCCCACGGAAGATTTCTAACAAACGTAGATAATTAGCGAGTAACCGTACAATTTCCACGAATCCTCATTTTCCCGCCCCCGCTCTCCGCCTTCTCCGCAGCTCAAATTAAACGTGTCTATAATTTCCTTCGTCGCGATTACCCTTATCAACCCCATTTTACGGATATATCAAGATAGACCGGAGAGCGCTTCTTCCTCCTCGACTCAATGTTCCTCAACCCTGTCGCGACGTCGTCGATGTCGTGGCGATCGATGTTTAATACACGTCGCCCCGAAGCTAACGATGATGTTGATAATGACCATGATGATCCGCCGCCTGCACTTGAACGCGTCTCGATTACTAGTTTCACGTTTGAAGGGCCGTATTTATAGTCGTCGATACTCGAGTGGTGTCTCGAGGGTACGTCGAGTGATGTGCATACAATGAATCTAAATTCGAACCGATACGTTCATATATATTCGCGTCCTCGGAATAATATCCTTGCGATCGAATGGAAATTTCATTTTCAGACTCGAAAAAGGATTTTAATTTGCAGATTTTAAAATCTATCCACTACTCCATCTCTTTTCTTATCATTTTTTTTTATCTCTTTCTAATAATAAGTATATTATAAATCTTTTTCATTTTCTCCTTTCGTTTTATATTATATGACAGTATTGTTTTATTTATTTCATAATTTACTTCTTATATATATATATATACTCTTTCTCTCTTTATATATATATATAATGTTCTGAAATAAAATCTTCAATTCCTTATCCGTTGCTCTATTTATTTAATCTATTGTTTAATCATGCTACATGTATATAAATGTATACGGTCGAAAAGGTTGTCGCGAGATCGACGGATAGGTAATGACGTTTGCGAAATGTAGCTAGGCAATCTGATCTCGAAATTGGAAAGCTTCCTTTGAACAAATCGACAATACATTCCCAACCAGGTCGGAGCGTCAGCTGTTGGCAACATCAATGCCATCAATTACAGATCATCGATGCATCGAGGCGAGCCGAGGCTAGAAATGGCTATTGAAGGTATTACGATGGATATCGTCACGAGTATTGATGAGTATCGTTAGAAATAAAAGTCAAGATAATATAACCAGCATAATTTATATATATATATATATATATATATATATATATATATATATCTGATGCAATAAAAATTCGACTTGCGATCATAGCGAATGATGGAAATTCAAATCGAGATTGAACAAATTTTATTTTAAAACAGGCACCTTTTTGCGAGTTATTTTTAAAGGATAATAAATCCTGTCCATTTTAGTGAAAATTTATGATACTTCGAAATTAAAAAAAATATTATCATTCCTAGTCGCGGACACGCTATTCGATGCCTCGTTTTTTCTTTTACATATCTAAAACAAGGACTCGGATTATCCAACGAATTACATGTAAAATCATCTCCCATCCGCGATGAAGAGAACGAATCGAGAGAAGGGAATTTATTCCGCGATATTACAAATTCCTTTCCGCGAAGAATCATGGATTGGCTTTAGATAACTCGAAGGTATTCGATCTCGCGGAAGTGGATTCCTGTCGCGATTCGGTTTGATTCACCTAATTTTCATCCCGACCTCTATTCCCAGCTTCTTGGCTCTCATTCCAGAGAATCCTTGTATTTCCGGCGGAACGACAACTCAGCTTTAAGGGAACGAATCCCTTCCCTTCTGTCGATCGTGTAATTAACGAAACGACAAAGTATATATCTCTCGTATCTCGTTGATATTATTACGAAACGCGCTGAAACGAGATCGTATACGTTGTATACCACTTATACGTATAGTTGTGTATATTATATATCGCTACTACGATTATTAGGCGTGCTTGACTTCGCTTCATCTAGCTAATTATCGCCGTTATCGTCGTACGATATATTCCAGTAAGTTTCCGCGCGTAAATTAATCGAATACGGTAAACACCCCGGTCTCCGGTTTAAACCCCCTCACGATTTCCGGCGCATTCGAGCAAGCGTCAATTTCTCCGATCTCGAATTTCATCGTTACCCTTTATTATAGCGACTCGACGCGTTAGCACTTGCCGTATTCGCGCGAGGCCACATTATAGCCCCAAGATGGTATAATTTCGCGAAAGAGAGGGTCAGAGTTTATCCCTTCCCGGATTTTCCCCGACGACAGAAAGGAACGGCCATCCCTCGCGTCAATCTCGGCGCCATTTTTTACAAAGACACTGTTTATTAAACGATAATATATGCCGTATAAAAAAAAAAAAAAGTAGCGTGTAACGTGTTTAATAATGATCGTTAATAATCCGCCTGAGAGAGAGAGAACTCCTAAGTGTAAATTGTATATAAGATTTTCTATATTCAGATATATCCCGATATATATACGTATATATAAAATGTAAACACACACATACATACACATATGTACGTACCTATTATTATTAGTAGAGGAATAATAGTCGGAGGAGGTGAATTTTTGCGGGCATATCTCTCGATTCCAACAAGTCAAACAAGGCATACATTCGCCGCTACTTTTTAAATCACTTGTTATCAGATTGGTCGATCGATTACGCGCCACACGTAGCATTATTCTGTAATGAATAGGAGAGTAATCACATCCAATTAAGTAGAATAAAATATATATTAAACACAAGCACACGTGCGCGCGCACACACACACACACACACACACACACACACACATTGACACTTTAATTAAAATATATATTGCGCAGACTTCGTCACAAAGGTCTACGTGCGTACCATCGTCTTTATATAGGAAAAGTGCGAAAAAGTGTCGTTTTCTAATGGCTATCGCTTAGCTGTTGAAAATGTTTATCTGTTAGCTGAAGGTGGAATATAAAGTAGGCTAATCGTCGTTTTGAGACATACATACATAGATGATTAAGAAAACGCGACGGCTTTTTATCGATTCCAACACTTTCTTGCAATTTTCTCATGGTAAAAGTAGAGAGAACAAAAATGGGCCGATGTAGATTTTTGCGACTAAGTAGGTAGATTACATATGTATGTACAAGAGTATCTTTTCCCCGACTTCTCGACTTTTCACTAATGTGGGATCGGTTTCTCTTTAACGAAAATGTCGAAACACCAAATGTAAAATTTAGGAAATCAGCGAGAGCGAGGGAGCAACGGGCGTTGGAAAAATCGAGCGTTTATACTCGATTAAAGGAAGAGGTCAAGAAAGGTAAAATATTTCATTGAATAAATGTTCGAGCAGTTAACTCTCGATAATAGAATGTTACCGGGGAAAATGCAGCCAGCGATCGAGCTTTTGCTTTAAAGACAAATCGACCGACAAACTCTCGCCGAAGCATTCGCGGCGGAAATCGCCTGGGATACTCTCTGTATATAGATATAATAGATTCAAATATCCAATATAGAATCTCGTCGAGAGCGAGAGAGAGAGAGAGAGAGAGAAATATTACGAAATCGAGCTTCAAAAATGACAAAATAGCAAGGAAAGGAAGCAAGAGAGAAAAGCAAAAAGGAGCAAATTTACGAGGAGCGAGTGAATATAAAGTTAAAAACGCGAACACGCTATCCTCTTAATTTTTGGGGCCAATTGGTGTAACGAGGGAAAAGACACGTATATACTTGTACATTTGTTATTTAGATTACTTTCGCCATGGGTTTCTTACTCGAATCGCCGGATCGACGAGCGAAACTCTGTCGACTATTAATTTGTAAATACTTACAATTAAAATTAAAATCATTGATGGTGATCCTCTCCTAATAATTATTTAATTAACAACTTGTTATAGAAACTTTCTTCTCTCTATTTCTGCAAAAGGGGTGCCTCCCTGCACTTTCCCGCATAAAACTGTAATTAAAAGAAAAAAAAAAAAGTCAAGCTTCTCTCTTTTTCGCGCGAAAAGCGATCCAAGATCGAAGCACCGTGCCATATGTAATCGTACATCGAGATTAGGATTTCTCTTATTGCGCGAGAGCGACGAGACGAGGGTGTAAGATCGAAGACACACAGATACACGCATACACACACGTGCATCAGATGACAAAACGAAATACACAACGCATCGTGTGATTGCAACAGTAGCTGAAGTATAAGAGTATAAGGGTCTCGAGTGATATTATACGCTTCGTTGACGTAACGCAATGCGCGTGTCTCAACGATATCGAATCTAAAGCTGCGTTATCGGGGAATTTTGCAGTACGCGGTACCTCGAATACGGTAAACGCCGAAAAAAATTGTCGCAATGACTTTTATATTGCGCGTCGTTACGCGTTATCATTATTAATATTATAAGCGTTATGAGATAAAAGTTATCATTGTAAATAATAATTATTGTCAATTATATATGCATTGATTATTAATCTTTATTCTTATTCTAATTATCACTCATTCGTATATCAATAAAAGTGGAGCGAATTGTCTCGCTAAAAAAAGGAAGCGAAAGCAAAAGTTTTTTTCATTTTCATTTCAAGTATTCAACGCGTTCGTTTTAATTGACATACCTGTGTTTATTCTGGGAAAAACTAAAACGTGTTATTTGCATGAATTTTTTAATGTATACAAGAATTAACACGACACCAGCGTTTAGCGTATTCCAAATACGTTATTGCAAAAAGTCTTCATTATCAGTGTAGATAATTAAATACGAACTTCCACGTAAAAAATCCGGCCCGGAGCGTAGTTTGACAAGTGTGCATTGCGGATACGCACGCACCCTTCCTAAATTTATTTCGCACAAATAACGACGACAACGTTAGTGTAACTTATGACGGACCATATCAATAAATCATATCAGCAAACGATAAAAAAAAAAAAGAAAGAAGGAAAGGAGGATATCCTCGATTGTGTGAGCCCGAGGCAAGAGAGGCGAGTGAGTTCTCAACATGTGCTTTTAAATGCAACGAGCTCTCCTGTACAAAAGTATCGCCGCGATTGCGAGCGATCGTTCCTGCTGATAATTTACGTTACATTCGTCGGGGGAAATTCGTACGTGCCGATTTTGTATAGACAAAATTTGTTCGTTTAAATAATCATGCCTACTTATAATGTATGTAAAAAAATGTTGAATTAAGAGATTTATATTTTTTTTAATTAAAATTTTTTCCTCTCTCGTCTATAAAATCATCATAGTCTAATCATCGACTCACTTTAAGAGAGAAAATATAAATCGTGCAACAATTTAGAATTTAAAAATTGTAAGTACGAATTTGCCCCTTGACACGCGTTTGCTTAGGCTTAAGCTTGCCATAAGTAATGATTTGTTATTAAAGCAACTTCCCTCCTAATCTTCTCTCATTAATTGCGCGATGAAACGACATACAACGCTTACAACCGAAATGTGCGAATTAAGAGTAATAATAGACACGAGATAAAGGAAACACGAATAGAGAGAAAAGTCGCGCATGTGGAACGGATTTAAATGATTAAATAGGGATTACTCGACGAAGCCTTTCAAACTGAATAATGTTGGGCTGAATGAGACAGGCAGAAAATTGCAATATCATTAATTTCATATATATAATACGTTATTTTATTCTTATATAATTGTGGAAAAGATCTCCGCCAGTTTCACCCCTTTCTTTTAAATAAAATATCAGAGATCCATATATTCTAGACAGTTTTAATTAAGATTCGAAATGTTAGATTTACTCCGAATTCTTGCTCCACTTTTAGGGCCGCCTCCGTAAAGGCTCTTAATTTCTTCGCATCGATTTTGCGACGTCATTCAGCTCAGAATTTTAAAGTTTGAAAGGCTTTTTAACTGCCGAGTTGGAAGAAGAACAGTCGAGCGTTCAACGACGTGAAAAATTCTCTCACGCATTCAGGACACGCGAGAATGACAAAGCGAAGCGGGAAATCGCGTTGCCACTCTCTGTACACGCTAAATACACACGTTCCACACAATTATTGCGAGAGTGCACGTAGAGAATGGCGCAAAAGGATGTCTAATTATCTATTTAAATAAGCGACCAATACACGCTGGAATAAATAGATTTGTTATTGCGACGAATTTGCTCATTCATTATCAACCGACGAATCGTTTACCAGCTACGAACCTGTACTCGTGAGAATTAAACGATCTTGATTCTTGGCAATGCACTTGTTTCTGTCGGATTATCCTGCTCAGCTTCCATTTCTCGTCCTCGAATCCTTGTCACTTGATTTTAGAAAGATAGATGAATTAAAATGTATAATATATTATGCGATATAAAGCGAAGTCAGTTTTAGAGAATTTCCAATTATTCTAAAATTTAATTTCTCTGGCTTGATCTCATTCTTGATGAAGACCTTCTTAAGAGTAAGAGCAAATGTATGGTGCGCTAAATTTAATATGAATTTATATATTAAGAAATTTAATATATAATTTATATATTAAGAAATTTAATATATAAATTTAATATTAAAAAATGAAATATGTTACATTCGATTATAACATTTAATTATTCTCTAAAATTGCATTTGCTTAGTTTTTTTATATATTAATCTTCCGTTTAATTCGCGTTTCTTCCCATCCTTGGCGGGATGTAACACTGGAAAATAAGGTAAAATCACACACATACGAACGTACATATACTAGCGAATTTATCCGCGATTACGATACCCTATGCGAGATCTCTTGTCTCGCGGTAGGAGTGGCGACAAGGGTAAACACGACGGAACCAATCGCCGAGGAAGGGTGGTCCAGCCGGTGTTTGTCTTCTCCTCCGTTCCTGGGGATGCTATGGAAGAGCCTAAACATCGTGTACATCCGCGGCCAATCGAACCGAATCGCCGACAAGCCGGAAGAAACGAAATCCCTCAAGTCGACTACTAGATCGCTCCGAACTCTTTTCGCGCAGTTTCGAATTAACAATCGCCAAGAACTGGCGCGCGAAAACGCCATGTGTCACAATCCTCACCTTCTTCGCATTGTTCGTTTAATTTCTTCGTGCGTCTTGTTAGCCTTTTTCAAGATAGAAAGTTGAATATTCAACTATATAACCGCAAGGGTTCTTTTATCTTAAAATTATCAAGCATTGATAGTTAATTGCATAGAAGATTTTTCCATAATTAATCATTTACATACGTAATTGTTAAAAGTTTCAGTATATATTCACATATGATTAACGTGTGGATGTTTATCTGTCAATGTTCAACTACCAATTCAAAAGAAAATTTTCTACATGCATATCAATAATTCTAACAACAAAGTTGCGACGCGAATATTGCTCGTTATTCGAATACTTTTCGAGTATTTATAGTAAAGACGGGCGCGAATATAGATAAATAAAATAATCGAAATATTTTTATTGATACGATTCTATGACATTCGTGTGTGATAAAGCATATATGAACGATCGGAAATAAGTAAAAAAAATCAATCAATATTCAATTCGCGGGGAAACATCACCATGCTTCGTGGCAGAAACAAGAATAGGGTGGAAAACAACGAGAACAACGAGGGAACGGACAGTAAACAGAGGAGACCGAAATGCGCTCGTTGCAGAAATCACGGTCTCATCTCGTGGCTGCGGGGTCACAAGCGAGAATGTCGTTACCGGGAATGCCTGTGCCCTAAATGTTCACTGATCGCTGAACGGCAGCGTGTGATGGCCGCCCAGGTAAGCAAGAATCTCCAAATCGGTTAAACGATCGAAAATCCTCCCTCTTTCTTTGTTTTAATCTAAAAATAAATTCTACAATTCTACAATTCTTTTCTCATTTTCATTTACTCGAATATATTAAAAAATTACGAAAATGTCAAATCTGAAGCGAATACCATTCGCGAGTGCAAGAATGTCACGTATTCTTGCTTCACTCTCGCAGTCTACTAATTTAGTACGCGCGAGAATTATCTTTGCGCTTTGAGCAACGTAAGGAAAATGTGAAAGAAAAATGTCAATTCGCTGCACGCGCAATTGAGCGTAATTAACGCGCCTCCGATATTTTATTTCGCACGATTCACCCTCGATATTTAAAGGGACGTCCGATCGGAGCTCGTTATTGTCAAGCTGTTGATGGAAAGAGAATCTCGCGCACAGTTCCTTTCTGTAAAAAAAAAAAAAGAAAAATTTAAATTCATGCCGTGATTAATTCATTTATTTCGAAAAAAGAGGTAATATCATGAAATCAAATTGCGTAGCAGATGAAAAACAAAAGCTGCGAGCCCTCTGGTTTTAATTCTGCAAATTGCAATTTCTAACAGCAACGATATTTAAATTATGCGTTATTACACGAGAAAATTCATTTTTATTTTCTTCTTTCAATTTTATAATTTCTTTCACTCATTCTCTTTTTGTCAGAAAAATTGACGCTGAATAAATTAATCACGAAAGGATTTAAGATTTCATCTCAAGTGGCATTTTTCAAATCTTTGTCGGAATAATCGCAAATGAATAATGGCTAAAGTCATCAATCTCTCGAATTTGGCAATATGATCGTATGCATAATGCAACATATCGCCGCTCGATTCTCATTCTCGAGAGGACGGAAACAGGCGACAAGAGGAGAAAGCGGGGGGAGAAGGGAGAGGGGACAGCGAGATAAATTAAATCCATTAACGCTCGGTATAGCGTTTCATTTCTGTTTGCATAGGCATTATGACACTCGATACTTTGTTTGCGGCGAGACTCTCGATGCGGTAAACGTTCGCGCTACCCCTGGTATCTTGAAACGAAAATAGTCGATGCGAGAAACTCGCGGTGGGGTTGCGGTCAAAAACAAAATACACGCCCGTGATCATCCATCTAACGATAATTGCCGGTGTACGGCCGAGCAAACCGCGCGCGGTTTTGCCGCGAGAAAGTTTCACGCGAACTCTGTAATCCGCGATGATTAACGCGACCGTATCACTCGGAGAAGTAATATTATCGGGATTATACTGGGGGTACGCGGCTTACTGAATTCTACATAAACGAACACGCTTATGGCATTTACGTTTTACGTTTTTTTGCAATCCGACAAGTCTCACCAAAAATTCATGAAAAAACCTTTCATCCTTTAGAGCAGCGTTTCTCAAACTGGGAAACCATATCAATGGAATTGCAAAATAAAACAACTTAATTTTATGTAAAAGGAATAAAATACATTTTCTGAGAAGAACAAACACATATTTAATTAAACACATTTATAAGAACATTTATTTAAAAATTGGACACATTTAAGAACTACTTTATTAAAAAATTACAGTTCAAAGTCAAATTTTTTAAATAAAAACTGTTTGAATTATAATCGGTTATATAAATTTCTATTAATATTAAATTTTTGTTAGGGGGATAAAATATTAATTTTATTATTTTTATTTTAAGGAATCATGGGGGTTACAATATTTGAGAAACGTTGTTTCAGAAAATATCAGAAAATATCACTTTTATGTGACACGAAATAATGACTATTATGTGATATTAATATATATAATGATGATATATTAATATAACAGACATACTGTATTATGTTAAATGATTAATATATTATATATAACATTATATTTTATATTAATAAATTATATATATATATATATATATATATATAAATTATATGTATATTATATATTAATATATTATACATTATTAAATTATATTATTTGATTCATATTCTGTAAATGAGACTCTTTGTAGCAAATGCTATTGTAGCGAGTCGGAAAGAACATGTGGCGATGTGATCGGCCGAATGAAATCGGATAGTTATACCTTTCAATGATCGAACGAGATTGGAGAAAATGGAACGAAGAAGCGGTTAGTAGATTCTCTCGGCATCAGCGACGTGAAAGATTATTGCGGGTGGTCCAGCTTGGAATAACAGCGCGGTAAATGCGCCCCGTACATAAGCGACGGGTCCATTTATAAGTCATGATCCATCACGATTCGATCTCTATATACTTGCTATCTATAAGGATTTATATATGACATATGTGCTTCTCTCTATTAATTATGTTATGTAGAACCGCAGATCAATATCATATTTTTATTCGTTTCAATCTTCGTTATTTTATTCCTCTGTAATTAATTTTTAATCAGCCCGAAAAGAAGTATATACTAGAATATCTTGTTGTAGCGTGATGTTTAAAAATTTGTTTGTTACTTAGAATGCATTTCAATTATAATTAAAAATATATATATAATGTATATATTATTTTTTCTTAATAAAATAATTTCCAGTATTATAAATTTTCTTTTAAAGATTTTTGCATCTCTTATTTTTAATAAATTATATTTACGAGATAATGTAATCTTCTGTATTAAAATTCATTTGCTTTTAAACAGCGTGGAAGAATTTAAATTTAATTTTTCCAATATCAAGAAATAAAAACAAAAGGCTAATAAAAGCTCTTTACTATATAAATTTTTTTTGATGCGCTGAGTATTTTTACCTTATTGCTAAAGATAATTCTAAAGTAGATCGAAATGTCCGGAACTATTTATAATTATATTAAAAAATGTTATAATAAACTATTTTTATGATCACATCCGCGCTTGACTTCTTTGCTTTTTGTCTTTATTTTTTAACATTTTGTATTATTAAACTATGTCATTACCACGTATTTGGTTTCATTTTATAATTAAAATTTTTCCATTCGAGATGGATTGAAACAGCTATTTTCGACAAGGTTGCCCTAAAGAGACAGCAAGCTGCGGAGGACGCGATCGCCCTTAAAATGGCAAAGGTAGCGACCGGACAGAAGCTCGATCGACTTCCGCCAGGGAAGATCTTCGGAATGTCTGTGACGGAGCCAAAATCAACGGTGAATCAAGATGAAGATGCAATTCTCACTTCGAAGAAACTCGATAAAATTCCCGAGGATTCCAAGGATCTTCCATGTGCATCGACCAACGATGCTTCTCGTCTGCAAAATTATTCTGTACGTACAAAATAAAATTTAAAAAAAGACGCAAAATAAGAGTACTCGAGTCGCATTCAATTCAGTTTGTTAATTAAACATCGTTAATGCAAACACGGTTCACCATAATTATCTTTTATAATTCACTCTTAGGACGACTTGGAAAATTGTTCGAAATCCAAAAGTCTTCTCTTCGATACGAGCAAGCTGGAGAGTTCCAAACAATCCATCCCGGTGTCTCAGACCTCCGTGGAAACTCTAGCCCGTCTCTTCCCGAACACCAAGTTGTCGGTCTTGCAACTGGTGCTGCAACGCTGCGGCCAGGATCTGCTGAAGGCGATCGAGTACTTTGCCAGCGATAGCCTGGGTATCGTTGAACCAGCCATATCCACTATTGGTCACGCGTCCTCGGCCTTTCGACCTCCGCAGACGACGATCAGCGTCGACAGCGGTCCTGGGGAACAACAGCAACCGATTTCCGGTACGATGCTGGCACCGATCTATACCAGCCTGTCCAGAAACGTTTACGGGGACGCGGGTTACTGCCTGTTGAACATCCTGCCGACCGCGGAGCAGCTCGCCAAGGGTACCGATCTGCCGATCGCGAAAACCGCAGCCGAGCCTCAGGAGGCCGTTGCGCTAAATTTTCGCTACAACAATTATTTTACTCCCGTGCAACAACAACTGAGAGACGCGCACTTGTGCGCGCAAGTGGCGGCAGATCGATTGTCGGCTGCTAGATCAGCTGGCATCCTTCATCATCTTCCACCTGCCGTACTGCCAGGCATCCCTTGCGTGCAGCCGAATTGCGCGCAGTGCAATTACAAATTTGCATGAATCTTTTTTCTGAAGAATATAGTTAAGAAATAGATTAAGAAAAGAGAAATATTTATCTCGGATAATCGTTGGAGAAGGAAATCTCTTGATGTTAATTTCGTTAAAGAAAGTCTCATAAAAAAAAAATAAAAAATTAAAACTTCGTAATTTTTTGGCCATATTTCAAAGGCTCGTGTCTTTTTTTTTTGATTGAAAAATGATAGTTGCATAGAAGTTATAAAAAAAGCGAGGGTAAAGATATACATTGGTACATGAAATTTCGTTCTACATATGTCGACCGATTTTTAATTATTACATAAAAGAAAAAGTGACAATTTTCTGGGCGCAGGAGAAAGAGGAAACAACGCGATAATTGAAAAGAAACGCGAAGCAATCGCGGACTCAACAATAGGGACGGAATCGCAGATACCATTGGGGGTAAATTCGTCGTATTTGTCGAAGTAATAGGGCGGCGGTAATCTAGTTAGAAATATTTGATCCACCATCGTGTATAAACAACACCGGTTGGTCAATCGTACCGTAGTCGAAGCCGCGCCGCGAGCGATTTACTTTGGCTTTGGTTTTTCAGGGAAGGAGAAAATACCGTACGTTGCCGTATCCTCAACCTCTCCCCTCTTATTTCGTGAATCCTCGTCTCGTCTTTTCTCCCTCGGGAAGATCTCGGCGGCATCGCGTTTCGAATTACAAAGCACGCGCGAAGAAATTTAATACCGCTATCGACCGTCGAAATGTAATCTTCCTGCTCGCTTGAGAGAATTGGTCGAGGCAATTTTTCGTCATCATTTTTCATCACTTCGCAATTTTTTTTATACTTATACAACACTCGACCCTTTTACAATTAAAACTAAAAAATTGTGAATGATTGCATTTAACGTTGAACGCACAGAATGAATGGATTTGACACGTTGAATGAAAGTTAATTACGGTTCATTTACAATCAACGTCGGTGCAGTCGTTAAAATTAAAATTTTTCAGCTGAATCAAAATTGCGAATGCGAAGGTTTCGCACGTGCAAAGAATTTTAATTTTTCCATTGACACTGTAGATGAATAATTTTTACTTGGATTTTTTTTTACACAACTTACGTTATCATGTTCGATTAATAAATGTGAAAAATATTAATTTCTTGTAGTCTCGAAAATGGATATAATTTTGTCAATCTTAATCATATAAATAACAATAATGTTGGAAATGAAAATTATATTTTCCAATTTCTGATGGTTTTCAAAACAACATAAATAATACATCTTTCAGATAAACTTCATCATATGATTAATCATTCCAGAGAGTTGACTCCCGTTTCTACGCGATATATCAAACTAATTTATTAAATTTCTATTACGTGGACAAATCTTGCGTGAGCGGAAAATTGTAAAAATTATTGATATATTTTTTTCCCCACTGACATAGATGGATAGATAGGTAAATTTTTCAGGACACATATCACACGCAACCTTTATATATTCTCAATCAAGAATAGAAATTGCTTAACTTGATGTTTTATTAATTATCAATAACAGGCACATCAGTTCGCGCTAATTATAATCGATATACTAAATCTATACGCGTCAGAATATGTGTTGAATCACAAACAGGATGATAAATCTCTCGGCGGGTAAATTGATTACAAACAATAAACGAGTCGAGATTCGCTGCTAGACATTACAATCTAAAAATCTACTACGCTTAAAAAATGAATGTTTTTTTTATTAAATGATAATTATCAAATAATGTAATTATTCGTACGTTGCCGAGATACGTCAATTAAATTCGATTCGATTTCGCATTATGATACGCATTTATATTTATGTAGATATACATATACATATATATATATATATGTTACATTTTTTCGAACCGTATGTACAACTCTTTATGAAAATATCTAAAAAATATTGAGAATACTTATACAAATCTGAATCATGTATTAGGATTCAGAAACGAAGATGTGGCTTGTTCTTGATCATATGTCTGCAAAGATAGAATTTATATCTTAAATTCGCGCGGATATAATAATATAAACGTGTAACTATCCCTACACATGAAAACATAAAAATTGTTACTTATATAAAATCATAAGAGAATTTAAAATATAAATTACATCAAATTAAAAGTTGATAATAATAAGCAAAGAATTAATATCAGTTTAATTAAAAAATTCAGAGATAAAATTACATTAGATTGATACGTGCGTGGGTATGTGTATGTACACATGATAAAAAATTACATTTATAAGTACTCACTTATCAAGATGTTCCCAGAATATCATTAACGCTGCTCTGTCCAAGTGCCTCTTTGTCCGGCTCAATTCGATCACCGTGACCGCCCAACGTGCTACATTCGCGTCCAGCCTCATCTCATCATATTTCAAGTGAAATGCGCATACTGTAAGACAGAAGAGAGATAACATGTGCTTACGTTCGAAATACGATACTATTATTGTTTGTGATGAGCGTCTTATAATTTTAGATAAAATTATATATTTTTCTTATATATATATATATATACATATAATTATTTTATTTTTTAAATATTGATATTTATTTATTAACATATATTTTATTTAAGAAAAATATTAAATATTAAATAAAATTATACATATAAATTTAGAATATTGGCAAGTAAAATTGATCTCTTTTTCAGGATGTTTTAAACTTTTGAATATAACGAAATATTGATATATGTATATATATATATATATATATTATATATATATATATATATATATATATTTTTCTCGTTCTGCAAAAATTTTAAAAGCTTATAAATGTATTTAATGTAACCTTCCAATATAATAAAACGCTTAATTCATCTAATTTGTTATCTATAATTCTATAAAAAGATACGTACTTTTCGAAAAGATTTCTACTGGATTGCCATCAAATGGCCAACCCTTAAACTGCCACGCTGGTCCCATGACGAATACAGCAACGACTCTTTCCCAGTCGGCATTGGTGAGCTTCTGCGGATTATCAACAACCCGATATGGCACGGTTAGGCCACCTTCCTTACGCCGTTGAAGAAGTACCTCATTCTCGCGTTTACAACCCTGCGCTCGTTTGTCCTCGTTACTAATGTACTTCAAATCCTGAAGAATGTCCTTGGCGTTATACATAGTGATGAGAGACGTATTTGCGCTAGGAATGATAATGATGGGTGTTCGGCTGGGTCGTTTGTTCTGCGCGGCTTGCTGAGGCGTCAACTTTGCGGCGGAGGTGGGCAATAAACCGGAAGTCGGCGTGCTGGACGGATTGGTCGGTGGTTTTCTCACGGCGGGATTTGTACCCTCAGTCACGGATTTCAACGTCATGCCGTGATACGTACCCATGGTGTCGATCTTGAAGCCTTCCGTTTCCTCCTTCTGCCGGATAAAACGCTCCTGATCGTAACGATTGTACACGGCTGGCTGCGGCAGGGGTCGCATGGGTGTCGAACGTGGCGTCACCATCGGCGTGGGCACAGCCGGGCCCTTCTGTCGACCCTCCTCGCGCGCTTTAATGCTCTGTAGGATCGCGAAGATGTTCTTCGCGAAGATCTTACCGCTGCTCTGCAGGATCGTAGCGCGGGTCCGCCACTGTCGCTCGCGCGACACGATGTCCTTGGTATCGTCCACATCCATGTCGAGAATAACACGCAGATCCGAGCCCATACCAATGTCGTCATTCTCCTTGATGGTAGTGCGCTTCTTCGCCAAGCGTTTCGCCTTGATGGCGGCGATCTTCTCCACCGACATCGCTTCCGAGAGTGATTTGATATTGTCGACGGTAACTGACGCTTCCTTAGGAGCATCCAGACGCGCGGCCAGCTGTTCCTTTACTTTCTGCACGTGAGTCTCCTCGAAGCGGGGTTTCTTCGACGAACCGCTCTCCAGGCCATCTTCGGCGGCGCGTTTCACTTGCGTTGGAATCTCCAATGGTGCCGATTTATCTATGGCGGCTGATGTAGCGGTCTCGCCATTGAGATAGGCCAGCAAATCCTTTCTGTCAGGTCGACGTACCACCGGGATATTCTCCGCGGCCGCTTGTCGCACGTATACTGGATGTGTGAGCTGGACATGCTTGAGCAGGAACAAGAGACACTCGAGGGTATAATATTCTTTAGGTGTGCCTTCCTTTCCGGATCTAAAAACAGAGAGAAATGTTAGTGTCTTTTGAATATTAATTGCAAAATGCATAAGATACATTTTCATTATAAATATATATGTATCTTTCCGTATTCTTTTAATAAGATATAAATATATAACCCCTAGCTTTTGATATAAATTATTTTCTATGAACATATGTTTGTGTTTCAATTGAGAGACAGATATCAAATCAAAAGTTAAATTGTTAAAATATATTAATCACTTAATAATAATTTAATTTTAATTATAAATTAAAGATAGAACGAACATAAAGAAGTAGAAATCTACTTTAAAATAAACAGTCTCATAATGAAGACTAGCAATAACTGAGATAGAAAAATTCAAATTAAATTACTTCAAAATAAGAATTAATTAATCTGTGTTAAAAATTAAATTATTATACATTATTAAAAAAATATACATTATTGAAAAACCCGATTCAAAAATAAAAAGCAATAGTGAAAAAGAATACAAATTCTGTAAGTAGAAATTTTTAGTCTTAAGATTCAAATTTTCAGGAGATGCCTTGATGAAAAGAATTGCAGATAAAATAAATATTCGCGCTTCTAACATGATTTCCGACTTTCGTCCACACTTTGCACAACATTAATTTCGAATTGCATTTGTTTATTTATCATCTCACGAATTCTCGTATACAGGTTCATGCTCTCTCTTTCTGTCCACCCTCGCTGCCTCGCTTGTTCTCCCTTTAAAGATGGAAGTCGGGCACACGCAGATTGCGGTCACGCGAGAACCGATTCCGATATTAATCCAAAGATAAACGCTCACCCATAGGTCAGATAATTGGTCTTGACGTTCTTCGGCCAGGAAAATTCGCCGAATATGATCTGATTCTCGCGCTCGATTATCTCCTTCTTATTGACATTGTACTGTCGTAGCAGACTCAACGGATCCGCCATGATCGCGATCTGAACTGATGTGTATCGTGCTGTATTCCGCACTCTGGCCGCACGCGCAACGCGTAAAGGCGCGTTCGCACGAGACGAGCTGCCGCTCGAGGTCGCGGTTGTCGCGTTTGCGTGTGCGTTTCGGAACGTTTCGGTCACATTTTCGAGTCATATGACCGACGTTACGCGAGAATTGACGTGCCGTTCTAGGCGTTGACTCGACTTCTCTTCTCTTCGCGATTCTCGAGCTGTGTAGCTGTCGACGAATTTCTTCGTTTAACTCTTCGAGGAGAGAACACCCACGACTTCATCATGGCACTCAGCGACGCGGATGTTCAAAAGCAGGTTAATAAAGAGAAATCCTGGCTATCTCGCAACTTCTGTCTCTGACATCGCTTATAGCGAGTATCGTATATATTCTCGGGCTCTATTAATATCTTTACGATTATTTATTAATATGCTGTTGTTTTTCGTTAAATATATGTCTTCTTTGATATCTGTGCTATATTATATAGGATTCGTAAATTTTGAAATTGTATCTTGTATAAATCAGAAATAGAAAGTGAAGTAAGTTTGGGCTTTTAGAGAAAAGTCGGATCAATAAATAATCATTTGTAAAATTTTGATAACAGTTGACGTTTCGTCGGACAAATTTTCTTTTTACATGTGTTTGAATGTATCTGACATTTTTGGAAACTTATTTTTTATAATCAAACAAGATTAAACTTTCGACTACTACATAATGATATTTAAAGAATATATATTTTTATCTAATCTATTATATACATACCTGATAAAAGGATATCATATTAAAAAGCCTCTTGGAAAGATCTGCAAACACTAAATTTTATATATTTATTATTATAACAAATTTTAAAAAAATATATTGCTATATTACAGATCAAGCATATGATGGCCTTCATAGAACAAGAAGCCAATGAAAAGGCAGAAGAAATAGATGCCAAAGCAGAAGAGGAATTTAATATTGAGAAGGGACGTCTGGTACAACAACAGCGTCTTAAGATAATGGAATATTATGAGAAAAAGGAAAAACAAGTTGAGCTACAAAAGAAGATGTATGTATAAGAAAAATATTACCCTTAAATATAATAATATAATAATTTATATTAATCTATGCATAATATTAAGAAAAATTTGATTATTTTATAATTTTTTTAAAAAATTGTTAGAATTATAAAGACCTCTAAATACATGCTACTATTATTCATGTTTTTATTCTTATAGACAATCCTCAAATATGCTCAATCAAGCCCGATTGAAGGCTTTAAAAGTACGTGAAGATCATGTACGCAATGTTCTTGATGAAGCTAGAAAGAGATTAGGCGAAGTAACTCATAATACTGCACAATATGGGGAAATCCTTCAGCTGTTAATCATCCAAGGCCTTTATCAAGTAATATTTATATAATTTTAAATATCCGTTTTGCTGTTACAATTTTTATAATTTTATTATAACTAATATAAAAATTGCAAAAGCAAATTTAATGTAATTGTAAATTATTTCTGTGATATATTGTGTTGTATGTTTGTGCAGCTAACAGAATCAAACATTATTCTTCGTGTACGTCAAGTCGATGTACCTCTCGTGGAATCTCTTCTTAATTCCATTCAGCAAGAATATAAGCAGAAGACTAAGAAGGATGTTACCTTCAAAATTGATTCCGATAATTTCTTATCCAATGAAAGCTGTGGAGGTGTAGAACTATTAGCATCCAAAGGTATTACATAAAAAAATTTTTGTTGCATTAATCATTACCACAAAAATAATTAGAAAATATATGTTGTATAAATTTACAGTAAAATCTTGGAATTCTAACTTTGTTTGATTTTAATAAGACAGTTATATATTTGGCGCATTATTACATATTTAATTAATATATCGATACACCAAATAATCTTTAATCATTTTACAGGGCGCATAAAAATCAGCAATACTTTGGAAACCAGATTGGAGCTGATAGCGCAACAGTTGGTACCCGAAATCCGTATCGCTCTGTTCGGTGTTAATCCTAATCGTAAATTTAATGATTAAATTATTTTCTTCAACGGTTACTTGAAATTCTCTAAAACATTCCCATTTAACAGCAGATTGTTATAGCATTATCAAAAAAAATATTGTGTAGAAAAAAATTAGTACAATTAACGAAATTCTTTGTTTAATATTTTTGATGAAAGTATTTGATGGATTACTGTGCAATATTTATCATTGGAATAGTTGTAAACTGTACATTGCTCTCCAAAGACATCTTTTTAATCTTTTATCTTTCCTATCCTTTACTCCAACAGGTAATCGTGAAATTAAAGTATAACAATATGTCAAATATTGCATTGTTAAGTAATTGTATATCAATTATTAAAATTACCTGTTAAAAATCGGTGTTCATAAATAAAACAAAGTGTACTTTGTCAGTTCTTCAGCCGGCTAGGAATGTTAACGCGAACGAAATGTATATTAATGATAATAATCGATGTTTTTGACTGCTTATGCTAAAATGAATAGCGATTGCAAGAAGAATATAGTACAGTCGGTATTGTGCAGAATCGTACAAACAAAAGTATGGAATGTGCTTTATATGTATATAAGTATGATACACATGTATATACTTATAGAGCATATTAGTATGTTATCATGTACATTATGTATAAATATAATAATGTATTGAATAGATTATTGATTGTTGATGTATAAGAATATCTTTGAAAAATAGTTCTACAAGAGTATAATGTAACACAATATCTGGATATGTCTTTTAAGTTTACATACAACATAATTATACATAAATATGTATATGTATAATTATCCAATATTTTTATTCGCTGCAATATTATGTTCATTGAATGTTAAATATTCTTAAATCTAGACCCGTAATACTCTTGCAAAATTTGTATAGGTACTATATATATTTCATATTATACATATGAATATGATATAATGAAGCATGCGCGAATAAATAAAAGTATCTCCTGCTTAGAAAAGTGCTGATAATTTAAATGCAGTTTGAAATCGATTTAAAAAGTTGATTTATATCCTTTATTTTATTAGATTATGTGAGTCTTATATATTTTTGCAATTGATATAATTTATTTATATAATAACATAAATTAACATTGGTAACAAAAGATTATATAGTGCAAATACTTAAAGCAAGAAAACTATAAGATTCGCTAAATTGTACGAAAGATTTACTATGGTTTTATTACATATTATGTAGAAATGTGAAGATCAATACATGCTTCTTCTTCAAGATCTAATAATTCCGGAGTATCGGTCGGGCTTATCTGTTCTCCGTCGAAATAAAACTTGAGGCTACTCTCTTTTACACCAATTTGTCTGGCACAATTAGCAAATAATGCTTTAAATTGTTGATCCCTTTTAAGTGAGATAATCAACGATTGCTTCTTGTTGGCAGTTTGTACTTTAATAGTACATACATTATCGTCGTCATTATTCTTCCCTTTTAATAATTCTTTTGACGTATTCATGCCTGGATGCACTATTCCACCATCTGCATAAAACGCAAAACAATCGTTTACGATTATATTATTATTATTATTATTATTATCATTGCAAAATCAATAACTTGCTTATACCAAGTATATCTATAACTGAAAGCTTGAGCGATGCTGGAGTATCAGTATGATTAATGATTTTATCTTTCTTCATGATTAGAATTTCATTCATAGAAACTTTCTCCAAATCGGCATAATATTGAAAAATTCCTTGGAAATTGTCATGCTATAAGAATATTGATGAATGTAGAAAGATATGTATCAAATGCATAATAAGACACAAGATGACACAAGAATATATTACAAGCTAATAATAAACATACATACTCTACGCATATTTAATCGATCGATTCTGTTTGACCTCCAGAATACTTTAATAGTTATCTCATAATTGTCATCTTTGGTGGAAATTTCATCATCTGACAATGCAATCACATCATTATTATAGGTTTCAGGAATTGATTCAGGCAATTGATTTTCTTCAAATGAAATTATATCCACATCATATTCTAGATCATTAACTGGCAGATGCTGAAAAATATTGATATATCAAGAAAATTACATATATACTCCTTCTTATGTATCAAACATTGATATATTTTACACATAATATAAAAATATAACATATAAAATATAACATAATATAAAAGTATTTATTTCTGAAAATAATGTAAGCTAAAATTTGAAAATCTCATTTCAATAATTATCAAAAACTTGAGAACTGGAAAGATAAATAGTATACATGTGTATACATATACATATAAATGTTATTAAAAAAAAAAAAAAAAATTACCCTTCTCCTAGTGTGCCTAGCAGTAGCACGAGTAGTAATACCTTTATTTCTTCTACTTCTTACCATCCTCTTTTGTGTTTGTGTATCATCATTGTCATATGTTTCTTTACCATTTATTTCTTTATCATTGGTTTTTTCATCATCTCTTTGCTGTTCAATGCTAAAGAAGTAGAAGAAATTATAAATATTTTTCATAAAATATTAAAATTGCAATGTGTTCTGTTATATTAACCAAATGCTGTACTTTAAAAAATAAATTTTCATGATTACTAAATAAATACATACTTGATGGAAAAATTTCCTATCTCTACAGAAGGTTCCTCTGTTTTAAAGCGTTTTTCTTTTAATGCTAAAAACAAATATCATATCCATAAAAATTATGTATCTTCATATAATTAAAATATTACATATAGAATATCTTTTTAATATAATATTTCACACAGCTTTCATTAAATATAGTGAAGAAAATATTACCTTTTAAACGACCAGCAAAATTTGCGTATGGATCATCTTCATCCGAAGAGACATCCATCATCTTATCTATTATGAATATTCATACAATTTGACATATAACTTCCTGGAAAATAAATAATTCATAAACTTAGAATAATAAAATATTCATTCGCAGAAATCTTGAGACATTAGTTATCTGTCAAGTGTGACTTCTGCAAAATCAAATACTATAAATACTATAAATAAACAAAAATTCATCAATTTCTTCCGTTAGCTCGAGATAATAAGAAAACAAATCTTAGTTTATCGCAAATACCTAATATCTTCACTTTGAATCCGAAATGTAAACTAGTAATAAGAGACTTTCGCGACGAGATTCTTCTATCGTGAAAACTTAGAAAGAATCCTAACCAATTCTAACCTGACGTTAACCTAACCTAATCTAACTTTGCCATATGAGAAAAAAGTGCGCAACTTTCGATCCTCATCAAGAATCATCTCAAGGAATAATACAAATTATATTTCCAAATAAATTTCAAAAAATAAATTAAAATATAGTTATACGTTATATACATACAAAGAAAATGTCACACAAATAATATTATATAGAAAGAAGGTGAAGAATAAATAATACCATACTCCTTTTGTGCTAGAAGTTTCCTCCAGAATCTTTGCATAGATTAATTACACTTGATCTCTACATCGGAGAGTGGATGCACACGTGCGTAGAAATGGCGGATTACGAGAAGTGCGGAGACTGTTCGGTCGATTCTGGCGAGGATAAACAGAAAGGCGTTTGTCTCATAAAAAAAGAGTACGTAGATATATACCACGTGGCTTATGTCAATTATTCGATTATCAGTGAATTTTATATAAATATAAATCCAAGTATTTATTTCCTTCTTAATCTTTAAAAATTGTTTCTATACCTTATGGCTTTGTCACATGGTTTAAAAGCGTATTAGAAAAATTCATTTGACTTATAAATCTTTGTTATTTATATTAAAACCTTGAAGGATTTATATTCTCACAACTTCTTATATATTAAATAATATTTTAATTAAAATATTATTTAATATAAGAAGTTGTGAGTATCCCTTTTCATATTAAATATATAAATTAATTAATATTTCTATATAGTTTCCATAAAAATTGTTTGAAACATTTTGAATATCATTGCATTCGCAAATTAATTTTTGCATGTAATTCACTATATATCTGAATGATGAGCAGTTACCTAGTTGTTACATTATCTTTTATTTATTGTATTATCTCATAATTGACATATTTCTGATATTATAGATTTGTTATCGAGGATCACTTGAGACAGTTAAACGAACAACACTTGACAGAGATAGATAAGGAGAAAATATCTGTAAGCACAGAAGATGCAGATACATCAGCATTGGATGAAACACCTGTTAAGAAGTTCAAATTGGATGACAAGAAGGAAAAGCTTAAGGGTCAAAATAAGGCCAGACCGGTTCCATTCAAAATCTCCAGGGAATTGCACCTGTGTCCTTGGATTGCGGATCAAACAGTGGATGAACCTGAAAAGAAATGCCTAAATCAACGCTGTACGTTTTTGCATAATCGGAAGGAGTATTTGAAAATTCGACCAAAAGACATTGCTACAGAATGCCATCTTTTCAATTTGACTGGCAGATGTCCAAGAGGCATTACATGCAGAATGGGCTTGCGACATATAACCGAGGATGGCTTTAACATTATTGACGAGGAGAAATTCGAGGAATATATAAACCGCCCACCAGCCATAAAAAATCACTTATCCAAAGATTTACAAAATAAATTGCGCAAGCGCAACTTTGATTTCTCAAAGACGGAAGCGATCGTCAAAGTTAACGATCCATCTAAAAACAAGACACAACTATATAGTTCAGATAATGAAATAGAGGACAAAATACAAACGAATAATTTTAACTCTGATAACTCACATAATGATATGAAGGAATTGAAACTCGGACCTGTGGACGACAGCGATTTAATTAAATTACGACAGACAGAAAAGAAGAGGCTTGACTGGAATGGCAAAATATTGCTGAGTCCTTTAACCACAGTGGGCAATCTGCCGTTTCGAAGGATTTGCAAAGAGTATGGGGCTGATATCACCTGTGGCGAGATGGCATTGGCCCCAAAGATTCTGAAAGCCGCACAAGAAGAATGGGCGTTAGTAAAGCGACATGAGAGCGAAGATATTTTTGGTGTACAGCTTTGCGGCAATAATCCAGGAGTACTAACGCGATGCGCCCAATTGTTGAATCAGGAGATCGACGTGGACTTCATCGATTTGAATCTCGGTTGTCCAATCGATCTGATTTACAGAAAGGGCGGCGGCAGTGGTATGCTTAATCGATTGCATGTACTCGAGAGCGTAGTAAAGTCTATTAGTCAAGTGTTGGACATACCGTTAACTGTTAAGACCAGAACTGGAGTCTACATAGATAAACCGATTGCGCATAAATTGATGCCGAGATTTCGAGACTGGGGTGCATCTATGATTACTGTAAGTGTGCTGAATTTATTCTTATATCCTTATATATTCTCGTTTTTATAAGTTATGTTTGTCTCACCAAAGAATAGAATTTTTATACAACATTAAGTTGTGTACATGTTATATTACTGTAGAGTAAATATATTCATATTAATCATACAGAAATATTATATATAAAAGAAATTATTACTCGCTTTGAAAAAGATATCAGATATATTATACATGATTTTTTTTCGAAAAGATCAAAAGATTGTTTTTTTTCAGCTTTTATTAATGTTCGGCGATTCTTCCAGGTTCACGGTAGATCCCGTGAACAAAGATACACAAAACTGGCCAATTGGGAGTACATAGAGAAGTGCGCTTTGGCAGCACAGCCGATACCCGTATTCGGAAATGGCGATGTTCTGTCCTTTGATGACTATCAGCGAATGAAAAAGATCTGCGGTACAGTGCAAGGCATCACTATCGGACGCGGAGCGTTGATTAAGCCATGGATCTTCACCGAGATAAAAGAGAGAAGATTGATCGATATCTCGAGCACAGAGAGATTCGATATTCTCAAGAAGTATGCAAATTATGGGCTTGAACATTGGGGATCCGATACACGTGGCGTCGAAACCACCAGAAGATTCATGTTGGAATGGATCTCTTTCCTTCATAGGCAAGTTCGAGAGAAGAATTTCTCTCAGCTGTTACATATAATATTTTTCAATTACATGCATTTACATTTTAAAACATGTTGCAGATATGTTCCTGTGGGAATTCTAGAAAGGCCACCACAAAGAATTAACGAGAGGCCGCCATTCTACAGAGGTCGCGATGATATGGAGACATTGATGGCCAGTTCCAATTGCGCCGATTGGGTGAAGTTATCGTAAGGCCATTTTTCAAGATTATTAGCTTTCATTGAGAGAAGCAATTGTCAATCATACATAATCACCAATTTATTAATAATTTCATTTATTTTTAGCGAGATGTTACTCGGAAAAGTGCCTGATGGATTCAATTTCTTACCAAAGCATAAGGCAAATTCGTGGAAGTAAAATCTGTTACAGAAAAAAATTATAGAGAAACATTGTCGAATAATGTTCTTATACAATTCTTCGTAACAAGCGAATCATAAGAGAAAGAAGGATTGATCATGGTAAAATGTAATGTTGAATGCGATATTTGTTATATTTCATTCACATATTTGCTTTTATAATACAATAAATAAATATTTTTGAGAAAGATTTTACTTGCTACGAATGTATACGAACGACGAATCTTTGTACTCTATAGCGAAAATTTAAGTTTGCTAATATACGAATTTTCTATTGAATCAGTAATGATCGTTTATCTCGCCGAGGCTAGTGACTGGCCACATACAGTCACAACCGCTAGCGATTTCCTTGGTGTAAGGTTCCCAACATTCGTCTTCCCAACGACGTCTGACTAGAGATAGGATCCGACTTCTCTGTACGCAATGAAATATCGAATGAACACATTTCTGAAAAATAAAAAAAAATTAGATCTCTTAGATTATAAGATTATGAAATATAAAATTCAAGTTGAGTAGAGAACAAAGTCAAATTTTAGTTTTAGTTTTAAAATTATTTTGTGATATATTTATTCATTCTTTTTACTTTTATTTCAAGTCATATTTTTTGCTCGTTAAACTTGCGCTGCCTTGAGTTTATGTGTTCTATTTACATCATTACGCATCCAAGTTTACCTGTGAAGGCCTCGTAATCATTCGTTCATTGTTATCTAACAATGAATAACTCTTACAGTAGACTTCGTGATAATGCGGAGGTTGATATTCATAATCGGGATCGGCAATTTCCACTCTTCTCGTTATTGTTTCGCAAAGATTGCGGTATTCCTATAAGGAAAAGAGGAGATTAATATAGACATTTATCTTATAACATGTGTGATACACATATAAACAAAGAAGCTTAAATTAGAAATGAACATGTAGAAAATAGACGAATTAAAAAGAATAACTAATTTTCTTTGCAATTTAATTTATAAACTTTCTTTTAAAATATCTAACTTTCTTAATATTTTTCTTAATGAGAAATAACTAATTTAAGATTAAGAAATAATTTACTAACGCTAATCAAATTTCTGTTGTCTCTTTCTAGCTGCTGCGGTTTGTTCACCCCATTTTCCGCGTTGTAATACTCCTCTGGCAGATAAGACACATCTCTTAACGATACGTCACGTAAAGTGTTCTGGTAGTAGAGTTCAGGATCCAAGCTCTCCTTGATCAGCTGAGTAAGATTAAATCGTCTACTCAGCACGTAGGACACGTGGTTAAAAATAAACAATTCGGCAATCTATAAAAAGTATGTAAATTTTTTAGAAATAGACAAAACAAGAAACAAAATAGAAGAAACTCCAAAATCAAATTTTTTTACTATATTTTTTCTTTTATATAAACATTATACAAATAATATATTCTGATATTATGAAAAGAAATAGCACATTACATTTTCTTTTGATTATTCTTTTGATCAATGATACAAAATTGTCGATTCATTCTCAAGTATCGCGTATATTGCATCATAAAACCTAAACCTTGGAGATCTCAGTCAGTAGCCTTTAGCGACCCATCAAACTCGATGATGCGTAAATCGCGCGCGCGGAGGGTCCACTCCACAAATGAGAATGGGAGCTAGGATGAATCACTCGTTTATAGAGTCTTGCAAACTGGCGAAATTGTTTCACGTTGTCATGGGTGAAACACGATATGCGGCAACCTCTTTTTTTATTTCCTGGTTTCAATTTCCCTTGAAAAGCCATTATCCTAAATTTTATCTTCTAATATGTCGCAAAAAATAATTTCTTAAAGACATTTCTCAAGAAAATTTTAACGACATAAAGAGAAGAATAGAATTTTATTTAATTTAAATTTTTTTAAGAGGATTTAAAATCTTGTATTATGCGAATTTTATATCAAATTCTATGAAATTTAACGCAGATACGATCATAGATTTAAATAGTGTATTTAAGATGACACATAGCATAAGAATGAAAAAACAAGTTATTTTGCAGCACGTAATAAATGCCATTAATAAGAACGATCGGATTTATCAATAGGAACGGCTTTCTCGCGAAGATCGGTATTAGTTGGTTCGCAAGGTCGGCATGATTGAGCTGTGTGTGTGTCGCATGATACAAATTATTCTTCCCCGCGTCATCAAGTTAATTCACGATACCATCGAAGTGACGACAGATATACGCACGAGATAATGCGTTCTTCCAGTTGCGTAGCGTTTTTTTCGATTCCAAGCAACAGAGTCAATAAACGCCATCATAAGTGATGATAGATCAATAATCAACTTCCTTGAAAACAAGAAGATAATGAAGAGAATTGCAGGACCTTCAAATTAAGTTTAAATCCAAAGCTTTTCTCATTCCTCCTATATACGAAAGAAAAATTCAACCGAACAACAATTAAAAACTGTCAAGTTTTCATTATTAATAAGAATTATCAAGAGATTTCAAAATATTTACATATAAAGCGCTTTTTAAAAGTTTTTCGTGACGAATAAAAGAAAACATTAAAACAAAGTTAGGTAGTGAAAAAAAGATAACATAATGTGCACTGTATATCTTGAAAGGGACACATATATTCATAAAAAAAGACGAAGAAAAAGATAAAATGATCGAGAAGGTGGGGGAGAACGTGGTCACTATATGCTGCTGTCTTTCAGCATCAGTGATATACGCTGCATTACATACATGCATCAACTGTGCCAATGTGGGGTAAGTAGTTATCCAATTGACAGTGCCCCCGTCTGACATACATAGTTCGGTCACGACGGCGGGCACAGGAGGATCCTACGTCTCCTCCGAGGAATACATAGTCGACAATAGTTTCCTCGAAATTGCGTTCGTGCTTCTTCCCTCTATCTTTTCGAAATCACGTAGACGTCATCGCATGTGCCTCCGGAATTTTCACTTTACTTTAATTCAAAGATAGTATATAAGAACCGATGTCGACAGATCGTGTATTGTGACACAGAGATAATGTCGGGCCGACCAACGTGTTTAAATGATCAGTGTTTTATCTACGGTGAAATGAGCTCGGTCACAATTGACGACCAGTGAAACGGACAATTCTGAAGATTTTGTTGAATACGTGGTCGTCGATTTTCAACGAAAGAAGAAAGACGTGAAAAGAGGAGAGATCCCAGTGCATCCTGCAGAAGACCCACGATTGAGATGTCATTGGGCTGACTCCTAATGCTATGGCAGCCGATCTTTATGCGAACGGCTCTGTGAAGTCAACGTCTGCCAGGTAAAACCGATCTTGGAAATTAGACAATGTTATACGAGACGAGCGTATCGAGAGATTTCAAAAATCTGTAAAAAAAATTAGAAGCTATTAACATGTTTGATTTTAATTGTTAAAAATGTAAACTTCATTCTTTTAGTATGGCATGTCAAGTGAGCGTACATTTAACATTATAAACTATCTATTCATAAATTACTTCATGAATTATAATTATATATACAAATAATGAAATAAATCGTATAATGATATATTTTGGTAAAAAAGAATTTACGAGGACTATTTTTGATTAGCTTCAAAAAATGAATGAATAAGGAAGATTCATATTCTTAGAGTAAACGCGGCAATCCGCTTCTAAGTTTTATTTGCCTATCAAGATGGCATTCAATGTCAACGTGACATGAGAATCAAATAGCCACGTTAAATGCGGCCCCGTCCGATTCCAAGCTTTATTTGCCTAATATGACGATCGTTTTCAATGTCAATGTGATATAAAAATCAGAGATATAAACGTATTTTTAGCTTCTCTGAAATAAAAAAAAATATATGTATATATATATTTTTTTTTTAATTCTTGTAAATGCAGATCAAGAAATAATAAATAAACATAAACAAAATATAATAAAATTTTCAAAAGTGCGCGTCTTGTATTTTAAATTATAAAATTTAATGTAAAATTAATTCTAATAATTTATTTAATTAATCTATATATATCCTACACCTGTTATATTTAACTTGAATATTTAAACGCCATCATTCAAGCCTGATAAAATTTATCGCAGATTAGTTCCGAGTGTTCCCGTGAAATATATAAAAGAAATAATCCACAGCTTATGCAATAATATGCAATAATATACACTTTTTGTTACTAATAATTCTGTGATGCATATGTGATGATAACTTTTTGTAATATATATGTATAATAACATCTGATGACACATCGCATGCAATAATATAGCATCTCTTAAAGTTGTTGAGATAGTTATTTAGATTCATCAACTATATTTGATTTAATAAATTGACGTAAATATGACTGTCATATTGTTACAATTAAAAAAAGATAGAATAATTAGTTCGGAATTGCAATGTAACGGGGAACATAAAATACTTTTGTTTTCTAAAATGTACTACAAAAGAATAAAACATTTCATCATTTTTTCTGATTCATGATTACTTTCGCTAAAATTGTAAAAAAAATTCGCTCGCAACGACCTCAAGATCAATGGAAGCTTGAACAATCGAAGCTGCATCTATTTTCGGATAAATGCAATAATCTTTATTTTTTGCAAACAATTTCAATGACAATGAAATCGTTTAATAGCCACCACGAGTCTTTGAGTTAATAAGCAATTGACCCTCGGTTTGTTAACTGAGTAAAGTTTCATTGATGAGGAACGTTATTAAGTGGATTCAAACGAGAGCAAAATTTTCAAAATCTCGAAAATTTTAATTATATACGTAATAGGATATCTCATTGATTTCGTTTACTAACATTTTTTTCTGATAAAAATAAAGCAAGTACATCATCAATTTTACGAATATTAAATGGTTTTTTTATAGTAATAAATAATATATTCGAGATGAATCACTGAAAATGTATTATAAGTATGCTAATTAATAAATGTCGCATAAATATGCGATATAATTTTCTATCAAATGTTAACCAAATCTTTTCTTAGGTCAGTTTTTTTTCTCTCATTATTAATTTAGCAGAAGCAAAGATAAATCAGTGTCACGATTGCACAGAAATGTGCACTTGAACAGAATAAATCTCGTATTACGCACTTGCACACATAACAGAATTACCACTCTGATGTTCAATGAAGTCGAAGATATTTAAATTAAAGATTCATATTTGAAAAATAAATTCCTTTTAAAGAAATGTATGATCATTTATTATTTAATCAACTTACGAAAGTTCAAACACGTGACTGATTGGCTTTAATTATTGCTACAAAAGCCTACAATACGTCAAACGAGATTATGATTATTTGACATAGAAGCGAGAAAGCATACACAGAGATTTTTTTCTTTTAAAACGTGTTAAAATAAATGCGAAGTTTAAATTAAAAAATTACTCAAGTATCTAAACAAAACTTAATAATTTCTTGCAATTTTTATAATTTTTTCCTACATATTGTATCGAAGAATTGTCATCAAGGCTATGATAATTTATATTGTGACAAATAAATTAAAACGCAACAATACTAGAATAGTCATAATATGGGTAGGCACATTTGTTTGTTCAATTGTGTATGCAGTGACTAAGATCGATGTAAAGTCAATTCAATAAATTTATGTCTACATGAAAGGTCGTATAGAATATACTAAAAATAACTCAAAAAACTGTTATTATCGAGCAAATATTTGAGAGTAATCGATTTTTCGATTGTGTTGTCCGTGGATTTTTTTTATCTCAAGATAAGCCAGGATTTTTCATTAAAGTGTTTGGAATCTAGAAAAAACTGTATATTTTGTGAAAGATGAAAAAAATTTAAAAGAAGAACAAACTTTTCTCTATAAAATAAAAAATAAAAATTTGCCAAAGAAAAAATATAACGTAATCACATAAAATTTCAAAAAATCTTGAATTTTTCTAGAAAAGAAAGTACACGTTAAAATTGATGTATTTAAAACAATTAAAATGAAGTATATTTTATAACAAAATATATTTTATAAGAAAAGGCTAATGATTGCTAAAGAATAAAATTAATAAATGAATAGAAAGTTCGTTTTATCGTGTAATTATATGAAGTTAATGATTGCTGCTAAAGACCTGCATTGAAGAAAATAATCTTAGATCGAGATCTAACAATAAGTACAAAAATGAATAAAATATTTAAATGAATAGAATGTTCGTTCTATCGTACAACTATATAAGGCGGAGGAAATGACGGAACAATAAAAATTTGAAATATCGTGTAAACTGAATGTAGGTAGCAGATGACGCGGTGACACACGCCCGTTGGTCAGAATTGAATTAAAATCGTTGTTCTAGCCCGACGACAAATTAAATTTTTAACCCAAATATTAGAGGACCTCCGTTTTAAAAATATGAGATAATTATCTGTTTTCCTTTCTTAAAATTGTTTGAAAAAATTTAGAATCTTTACATATTTTGTAAGAGAAGAGAGCAATTATTTTTACTAGACATTAAATAATACATATTAATAAGACATATTAAATAATAAAATATAATATTAAAAAACAACACAATTAAAATAAATTAAATAATAAAAGATAAAAAATTGTTAAAAATGATATTTGTTTAAGAATAAAGAATCTTCATTTATTATAATACTATAATATTATTTATATGGAATTTTTAAAATAAAACAAAAATAAATGCCTTGAAAAAATGTATAATAATCATATGCTAAAATAAAGATCTCTATCGAAATAAAACGTCATATTTTCGAGTGAACTACTCGTGTGTTTGAAGAAATTATTAGACCATTATTTCAGAGTAAGACTGTTATAGACTTGTTAATCAGGTGTCTGAAGCTAAGAGGAAAGATTCTTGTTGTTGGAGTATAATCGGTGGGTGATGTCACGTTACATCAAAATTGGATCGAAATGACGCAAATTCAAAAATTAAAAATACATACACACGTTTTGTATATACATAAAACTATCATACTTTTAAAATTGCTACAAAATTGTTACAGAAGTATTTACATTGTATGTTATATTTTCGCAACTGATTCAATATTAAATCAAATAAATTAAAAAACCACACGCAGAAAGATACTTGCGTCTGAAATTCCTGCATTTTTAATTTGAATTTGTTCTCACGAGTTATGATTGTTCCTACACATCAACCAACAAAAAAAGCAGGATAAAGAATCATCAAAAGGAAACAGGACCATTGTAATGGAAGCTTACATCAGTCCGTTCTCCATCAGATTATTTTTAGCCAACGGGATAGGGTCTACCCCCTTCACGATGGCTAAAAATAACCGGTAAGGCCAATCCAGGCCCAATTATCTCATCTAGATATTTAGGTGACAATCGACCGACCGACAATTTAGAAATATTCCACACGCTCGAAGCCAGGGCTTTAGCTCGAATAATCTTTCATCTCTCATGGGTTAAAAATAAGGGCTCCTTAAAATCATCCCGATACTCTATTGAACAAGAATAAGATCTGAAAAATTAATATACATGGCTCGAAAGATCGATACATATCGCAAATGCAATACAGTATATCTCTATAATAAAAATATTGTCAAATTATAAAAATAAAATAAGATTATAATTAATTAAGAAAACAAATAAATAATATAGAAGAATGTATCTGCACTCGCGAGATATATATATAATACGCAAAACTTTTAATTTACAACTTGTCAATTAAAGAATCGATAAACAGAAAAACAATCAATAAAATCCTACAAGAAATTCCCTAAACAATATATTTATTTTATTTGCTATATTTTATTGCGATACACACCTACAGATCCTCCTTATACTGAATTTTTTTATACTGGAAGTATGGAAAAATATATAGTAGCCTCTCCCTTCGATAGGCAACCCGTCTGACGAACGTGTATGTCCGTTTGCAGGCTCGTACGCAGCATGGGGCAGCGAAAATCGGGCACCCTGGGCGCCGCGGCGCCCATATCGACGGAGGAGGAGCAGCTGAAGTTTCAAGACAGTAGATTTCTGACGACTTTGGTTGGCAGAAGTAGGTGAGTGACCGAGTGTGACTGATTGGCGTACGTTACGTCAAAAATCGCGGCACGTGATCGGCTCGCGCGCGACCCACTTAGAAAGATCAAATCGTACACGGACAGTGTTATAAAACCAAAATATAGATCCTTATCTCGATCGTTGACATAGCAGATAATTAAGTAATTAATTGTTACAAGTATTTCGTTTCGTAATTTTTGTTACTTCCGAGCGGTCTAAAGCTGTACTTGGCATTACTTCATTGAAGTGAGTAAAGGCTTATTGCGTTGTTGAGCAAACACTGCGTAGATATGCTTGTGAAAAAATCTGAGAGAGATTATAAATTCAGACATTCTCAGACGGTTCAATTCCGACAATGCACATGCAAATATTGTATCGTCGATTGCACGAGATTCAAGTAGAATTTTCGCATAAGTTTTTGTGCGAAAAAATGTATCGTCTAAAATTATAAATTATATGATTACTATTATGCTTGTGATACTTACTATAACAATATTCATCTTTCTAAACATGGTCGCGGATCCAGCAGATTCACAGTCTCGAAGATGGTTTTAAACGGTCGGGATGTTGCACACGGGGTGTAATCGGCGAATTGGCGACATACATGGCGTGTACGGTCGATTTTATATATATATATATCTCAGGAGGAAAAGCACCTTATGCCTCGAGACGAAGGTTGTCATCGCGAAATCTCCCCTGCAAATAAAAATTCACGATAGTATCCGTGGTGAATACGGTTTAATTGAATTTTCTAATCGCGATATGTATGACAATCGTTAGTATTGGATTGCGTCGAGTATTGGATCAAGCGAATTCGTTGTATTGATATGAACAGTTTATCCCACGATCTGCCAAGTGGAGATAATGACTATAGATACACAAAGATATATTAACATGTTTCAAGAAAAAATAGCCATAATTGGAAATCGTAAAATCCGTGTTTTTGCGAACCGATACGAGAAATTATCTTTATGTCGGTTATTAAAAAAAAACAATTATGACAAAATATAAAAAAATTTTAATTTTTTAAAGTTTATCACACATCGTATAATCTTCACGAATCGCAGAAATCAAAATCCCTAACGAAGAAAGTCTGTCAATTTAAAGTGTAACATTTCATCGTGGATATATATTTATGATCAGCGAAAATTGCTTTATTTTTCCAGTCAATTAAAGCAGTCAACGCCGCTGATTGACACTCACTGCTTCATAATTAGAATCGTTTCGCGGGACGATCGTAGCGAGAAAATGTGATGGATGGCCCTACGATTAATTTGTTGTGCATGCAAGTTGATCGTAGCTCATGATAGCTTTGTTTCTCTGAGAAACGTCAATCGTTTCAATGAATCGAGACTCGAGACGTGGGCTAGTTATTGACGCGTGTTCATTTTGACAGGGCTACATCTCAATAGAAGACTCGACAAGCAACTGATCTACGTAATTTTGGTCCCGACTCGAGCGATTTGTTTCTCTTCCTTTCCTCTTATCGAAAATAAATCAAAGAAATCTCTCAAGTATTGTACATATCATATATCTTACATTTCTTCTGCACGCGAGTAGCTTAATATAAAACGGGTAAAAAAGCGCTTTTAAGAATAACGCAAATAAAACAGCTGATCGCATGCCAAGTTAATTTGTCTTTCAGGAAAATCTCGCCGGACATATTGCCATCGTGCTCGCCCGGCGTGTTTCGCCAAAGGTCGTTCCGCTCGTCTACGCCGCCGCCGAAGAAGCTGCCAGCATCCTCACCGGCACTTCCAACGGCAGCGACAATAACACCCATCTCGCGAAACAGCCGGGGCGCATCTGCGGCCGCGGCCAACGATCGCGCGGCCACCCCTACCGTCCCTACCGTCCCCACCCCCGTGTCAGCTGTTCCACCACGTGACAACGGTTCGTGGGTCGTCGTCGGCGCTCCTCTGACGTTGTCGCGGGGCACCCGAGCAACCAGCAAGCAGGCGCGCCTCGGTCCGGTACTGGCCAGCAAAATGGCGTCCGCGAGCTCCTCCACGATCGTGCAGGGCTGGCCGAATACCAAGGACGATTACGAGCTCAAGGAGGTTATCGGTGAGTATTCCCCCCGGAACGGAGACTCGTTCGATCGCGCGACGACCGGGCGCGAAAATCGCGCGCGCCTTCTTCAGGGCGCGCTCGCTCGCCGGCGACGCGACGTCGACCCTCCAACGGCTGGCAGACCGCTATTTCTCGACGGAGCAGCGCGGATCGTGATGATAAGGATGACGATCACGAGGACGATGTAAATCATATGACATTGCGTCGAGTTTACGTACCAATGTCTCTTTTTCTCTCTCTATCGTCGGCCTCACGATTGCTCCAGAGACGGGACGACGGTTCGTCGATCCCCGCGCTCGTTCCCTCTCCCTCCCTCTTTGCGCGTCCTTCTTGCACTCGCGCTGTCACGCAGCTACCGGTGCTGCTGCACGGGAGAAGTATACGTCCTATCCTAACCTAGTTAATCCTGACGGGACGGTGCACGCTTTCCAGTGCCGTACACATTGACAAGAGGGAAAGAAAGGGTTGAAGGGGTTGTCTGTAAAATGCATAATTAATGTTGAATAAAATCGAATAAGTATCTCTAAAATTAGATCGTTACCGGCCTTGAACCGGTGCGGACGTATTTTACGTGTGTGTCCTTCGGACAAGAATTTTTGAATTTAACCTCTTACGAGGATTTTAGCCGTAATAGAGAGAGTAGTCTAAAAAGGAATAAGAAGAGGAAGGGAAAGAGAAAAAAGAAAAAGAGATATGAGTGCCTGAATAATCACAATAGGACTAAACTGATTGAAGGCACATTAAACTTTTATTTAAAAAAAATATATATATCTCCAAAATTTTGAATAACGCATGTATGATATATAAAAAATACGGACTCTGTAAAAATTTAAGCCTAATATTTCCTAATATTTAAAAAAAAAATTTAATAAATAAATTTAATAAATAATAGAATATAAAATATAATAATTTCTTTCGTTAAATTCTAGGAGTTGGAGCGACCGCCGTGGTGCATGCAGCATTTTGTATCCCGCGACAAGAGAAATGTGCGATCAAGAGAATAAATTTGGAAAAATGGAATACAAACATGGACGAACTGCTGGTGAGTTTTATTATATCTTGATATTGGGGATTTCAATGACAGATGACAGATCAATATGACACACTTATGGATAAGACTATAATATATGTGGTATGATTCACTGGATTAATGATCTTATCAGTCAAAGTTTTATATTAAATATCATAATATAACTATATCTATTTTAACAAATTTATATTATTGTAATATTGCAAAAATTAAGTTTCAAAAGAAATTTAAATAATCGTTTTTATAAAATCGATAAATTTTATGATTTAAAAAGATTAATAATTGATATTCTTTACTTGTGGAAAAATTATAGAAAGAGATACAGGCGATGTCTTCTTGCAACCACGAAAACGTCGTAACTTATTATACATCATTCGTGGTAAAAGAAGAACTCTGGCTGGTTTTAAGATTACTAGAAGGCGGATCCTTGCTGGATATTATTAAGCATAAGACTAGAACCACTAATTGCAAGCATGGAGTATTCGACGAAGCCACTATAGCTACTGTACTTCGGGAAGTACTCAAAGGGCTTGAATATTTCCACAGCAATGGACAGATTCATAGGTATTTTGAATTATCTTCCTTTCTTTTTAGAGACTCATTCTATCTTTATTTAAATAAAGTCTTAGACTGCCTTTCCTTGATTTATTCTCTTATTTGTTTATTAGAAGTTTTATTAACTGTAACAAAAAAAATTGCATTAAAGTGACACTATTATATTATCTATGTATATAAACAAATTTTAATGGCAGAATAATATTAGGGACATAAAAGCGGGTAATATCCTACTAGGCGAGGATGGCACGGTGCAGATCGCCGATTTCGGTGTCAGCGCGTGGCTCGCAACCGGACGCGACCTGAGTCGGCAGAAGGTCCGGCATACTTTCGTCGGTACACCATGTTGGATGGCGCCTGAGGTCATGGAGCAGGTGAGAGAGGAAAGTAACACTACAGACTTCTTAGCCTGCGTGTTCTCTGTGTCTACATTTGTGTATGCATTTGTTAAATGTACACATGCATTTATTAAATGAAACACTTTATCGGAAATGTGTACATTGTCGACCGAGCAATTTAAAATACAGCTTTTGTTATCATTGAAACGACACACGAAATTTGTATGACAATTATTTGTGTCGGTTTTGGCGCAACCTGAGGAAATGCGCTTTATTAAATTCAGAATTAATTTGAATTCAGTCATATCATTCATATTGAGCATGATGCAAGTTGCATTAGGCATGCTATGCAAGTAGTCACATAGAAAACTGCATTAAAGATGGATTCACTGTGTGAATTCTCACAAAATTATTTTTTTGCTAATAATCAATTATATATATTCATGCCATTATATTTACTTTGCTCATCTTCCTTAAATTGATTTCTTTCACTTCATTACAGCATCAGTTTCTATATTTTTATATCATTTTTTATACCAAAAAAGCATGCGTCTACAGACATTATTCAATTAAATTTTTATTAAATTGGATATATAAGATATAATTATCAATAATGCAAATATTTTCAAACGCTTCAAGCAATGATTACAAAATACAGATTAAGAATTGCTGTAAAAAACCCGTCAAACTAAAAATTAATAATTAAAAATTTATAAGATATTTTACGATAATGTGGCAAGCCATCTTATATATAAAATGGTTATAAATTACACTTAAACGAAAATGCTGACAAGCATGCGATTTTGACGAGCATGATTTCACAAGATATTGACAATTCCTTTTGTTGTGTACCTTTTACTGTCAAAAAATCAATTATGATATGCATACCTGTTGCAGGATCATGGCTATGATTTTAAGGCTGATATATGGTCACTTGGCATCACGGCGATCGAGATGGCCAGCGGCACGGCACCATATCACAAATATCCTCCGATGAAAGTCTTGATGCTGACGCTGCAGAATGATCCACCCACTCTAGATACTGCCGCAGATGACAAGGATCAGTATAAGGCATATGGGAAAACATTCCGAAAAATGATTGTCGATTGTTTACAAAAAGATCCTACCAAGAGGCAAGTTGGATTACTTACTTTTCGATTTTAATTCCAGCTGATATTTGACAAAATAGAATTAAAGTGAGTTTGAAGTAAATGAGTAATGTGCAAGATACATTCAAAGATAGTTTTTGATGTTTTGTTATATATATGATTACATTTATTATAGATATTTTTAAATATAAAAATTAATAAAAATAGATGGATATTTTGTGCGTATAAAATACTTTAACTGTTAAGTAATGATTTTTAATATTTTAGACCAACAGCCACTGAGTTGCTGAAACACCCATTTTTCAAGAAAGCCAAAGATAAGAAATATCTGCAACAAACATTGGTAGCAATTGGACCTAGTTTAGAAACACGCGTACAAAAGGTGTGTAAAATAAATCAGAAAAAAGATGCTCTTTTTCTCTTTGTATATGAGATATTTGATTGAGATTTTAATATTTTCCAATATTTCAATATTTTTTACTAACAATCAATATTTTTTATCTAAATTTTATAAGTTAAAGCATAAGATAATTAAAGACATACATGTAATCTTTTTCTTTAACTTACAAATAGACGTTAATAATTTTATGATTTTTTTTGTTATAATGTATAGAGGAAAATTATTTTTTACAGGCATCAAAAAGACAACCCGGTACATCAGGTCGTTTACATCGAACGGTAACTGGAGAATGGGTCTGGTCGTCAGAGGAAGAAGATAGTGGTGGATCAAGTGGTGACGAAGGTGCTAAAGAGGCGTTGCCGGTCAACACGCTCGAAAAGGCTAGTAGTGATGAAGACGTCGGCGAGTCCGACGAATACTATGGTCAAATAAAAGTAGCACCGAGTCAAGTTGCAATACCAGCTACCGAGCAAAATGTTCCTATAAATTTGGTGCTCAGATTACGGTACGTGAAATTCTTATAAATTTAAACGAAAATCACACATATTTTTCGACCCTACATAATATTATATATAATAAATACTTACAGACTTATATTGTCGAGTTATTTCAATTCCAAAAAAAGATTCGAATATGCTTTTTATTCATTTCTACTTCCTATTTTTTGTCTTTTATTTTTACCGTTGTAAAACGTTTTTTATTGAAATGATAAATAATTAAAGTAATATTACATGTAATCTCTTGCAGAAATGAAAGACGAGAGCTTAATGACATTAGGTTCGAATTCACTGTTGGAGTAGATTCAGCGCAAGGAATCGCAGCAGAACTCGTTGCTGCGGGTCTAGTCGATGGTAAGGATGTTGTGGTGATAGCAGCGAATCTGAAAAAATTGATAGAAAGTGGAGGACAATTACGGACAGTGACATTTTCCTTGGTAAGCTTTTGTCAGCTTTGATGTTACATTTTACTTTACCAAATACACACAATATACAAATATATATTTTAATATATATTTAACCCTTACACCTTATATTGTCATTTTTGGTTTCAAAGTGTACAGAGATTATTTTTGTCCGACGCATTTTTCAACATAAAAATGTTCAAAAAATCTGGAAAAATTTATATGTCTTTTTTGATCCTTCTAAATAAAGGCTAGAATAATAAATTTGCAAAATAATTTGATTATATATACATATAGATATATAATTTTGTCTTTTCTTGCTGTTACAGAATTCTGGCTATGCAGCGAATGAAATACCAGATGACAAGGCGTTAATAGGATTTGCTCAGATCTCTCTCACCGATTGAATAATTTCGATTACCGAATGATTCCATTTCTGAACTCTCAGGATAATGTTCTTAATTGATGCATATTCGCCATTTGTTAGATCCAGAGAGTATCAAAAGCTAACGATCGGCTAGATATTATTTTTCGAAATAAATTATATCATAGACGATAAATAAATATTTGGAGCACACATACAGAACACATGTAAGTTTGTTTCATTGAATATTTGCAAGTTTAGCTTTTGACACTTTCATTTATTTCAAACGATTTTAACAATTAATGTTGATTGCAGAATAGGTAATCGAAATACATATTTGTTACAATAGTAGTAACAAACTATGCTCAAGCGTGTTTGATAACATCGTCAGTGTTCATATGCGGAGGCAATCATGAATGGGGCAGTTAAAAATAATATCATTCACATACTGGCTTAAAAGTATACACTTACTCTCTTTCTCTCTAATCAATAATGGCTGTAGTTTTACATAACCGAATTGTATCATTCGTATTACATCAGTCTATGTAAATATTAGCATTCAATCATTTGTTGAGTTTTCCTTTTTTTTCTTTATGATTAATGTATCAAATGGAATAAAGAGATATTGCATATGTGAAATGCAATATTTCATATGAACTTAGAGAATCAAGAGAAAATGCTTGATAATCTAATTTATTTGCCCTAAATGTAAGCTGTTTCTCTTGAATAGCAAAAAGCTTTAGTTACATAAAAAAATTCAATATGCTGAATATAGAATCATGTTCATGTATCATGTACAGATTATCCGTGTACATCTTATGTTATATGCTAGGAAAAGGCAGATATAGAAAATGTTGGAATAAAATAAAACTCTTTTGTACTTAATTAAATAGACTTACGATAGCAAATTAATATTTTCACAGTTTTTAGACGTAGCGAGATAGAGAAATGATCGAAAAGTTTTTACTCGTACGTCTTGAGGAAATGTTCAATTAATTTCTTCATAAAATGTATTGGAAAAAATTGATAAAATCAGAATCACATACAACAGCAGTTTAACACAATCTATACTCTCTCTTTTTACGATTTTACGAATATCCCACATTTATGTTTAAAAGACATTCAGAGAACATCCTGAAGATATCTTCGAAATATCTTCTGAACGTCTTTTGGATATGCGTGCTATGTGGGATAGTATTAATTATTTTTACATTCCTGTATTTACTGAAAATTGTAAAGATATATATTTGTGATGTTCTTATCGTTTTTTATATTTACAAATTGTAAAGATTGAGTTTTATGACAAAAAGACAAATAATCGTCAAAAACGTGTGTGCGAATACTTTCTTAATGTTTTCAAAATATGTTTTAAATTAAAATTTTTTGATATAAAAGAAAAGAATATTACACTTAAATTTTATTACATATATATTAAAATATATTTCTATTAAATATATTCATACAATTTTGTATAAATATACTTAATTAAAATCAAAGTAATAAGAAATGACTATAAATATAAAAAGATTCTCCAAAACTGAACTTGAGATAAATATAAACTATACAAAACCAACCAGTGTGATTCTGTATTTATCAATTTTTATATAAAGTGGATTACATTATACGAAAATATGGTAAAGGATGCATTTTTTAATTTTCAATATTTTGCATATAATGTATATGTGTATTATTTTTGTGAATTTCTGCTATTCTGTCAGCATTAATCAAATGTTTTTGAAAATTTATATGTAATTCCTCATTTCCTTTGCCATATTGCGATACATATATACACGTGCTAATTCCGCGACACAAGATTTGCTGAGCAAAATTAGTTGTATAGTAATACACAAATCTGTTGATATACAATGTGATGGTTATATACATATATATACTCCGAATTATATATATCAAATCAACTGTGTGGTTTAACTTATATAGAGGAGATACTTTTTATGCTTAATACGCAAGGAGTAAGCATAATTACTATTAAACTATAAATGATAATAATCATATGCTAATTTAAGTAGATTTTTATAAATAGTTGTATCAATACACATATGGCACTATACCCTGTAGCACTTAGAATTCTCATGCACTACGTTTCGCCGGCAGAGAATTTTAATCGGTTCGACATACATAGCTTGTATCGTCACTATGTGCCTTATCCGAAAAACGCATTGATTATATTGAAATACTGTGTTTTTATCTTTAATGCTACTGAACTGTCATGAGACGATTCAAATTACAATTAGGACTTTTTGCTTTCAACACGATTAAAGCAGTGCCAAATAAAATGTGTTATACTTAGCAATTAAATATGTGTATCAAAAAAACGATAATTTATTTGTATGAATATCAAAATGTCGTTCTGGCAATTAGAAACATTGTACTTTATTTCATCGCAAGTTACTATGATTATGTAAATGTTATATGAACTGCAGCGCAAATGAAAATGGGTAATGGTACTTAACGCCGATAAAAATTTCCGAGAGAGTCAGCAAAATTGAATTTATTTTATATTCCCTGAGCAAACTCGTTTTTATTTTAATCATTTATTCAATTTCTAGCAATAAAATGTTACTCTTTACAAAGGAGAGCAATTTTTTAAATGCTTAATATCTCGATGAAATTCTATAGATTTAAAGTCTCTATTTTTTTTCTGTCAATTTAAACACATTTCATAAAAAACGTCACGTCTAATTATCATATCAGAACTTTTGTAAATACAGTTATATAAAATTTCCTTGCGCTTATAAAATAAAAAAATGCTAGTCTCTTTAATTAAAAAAAAATCGAAATTAATCTTCCCTAAGAACATTACTTATCTTAAAATTTAATATATTGAGATATATTTTGTAATATATATATGTATATTTCGGTGCTACATTCTTTGAATAATTGCTATAGATAACACGTTACGGTGACGTCATGTATCATATGTCAGTTCTAACCCAACCTAAGCCTAACTTAACCCTATTTGAACGGCATCAATGATTGTTCGATCAGCTGATTACAGTACACAGCTGATCATTAGCAAGGATGTGTACAAATTTGCCTGCATATTTACATCCGTGTGACGATAATTCGAGCCTAGAAATTATTTTAATGTAAACGAAAAGTTGAAAACGAACAATTACTTTACTTTGATAGTATACTTTTTGTACATTTCTTTTAAAACGAAATGAATGTGTATTGACTTGGAACATAAGAGGAGACAAATTGTACAAAATGCGAATAAAATAAGCAGGCCTATCTCTATCTCTGTCTCTATCTCTTCCGGACTTAATTCATGTTATAAATCAAGAGTTGTATAAGTATGCTACGTCGCGCGAGCGCATTCTAATCAAGGCAAAATTCACAAATAGGAATTTGTGAGTGTGATATTGCATTCTTCGGTGTATTTTTCAATCCTGGAAAATTTCAGAATCGATCTTTATCATTGACTTGGGCTCATGACACATTTACGGCTAAATTCTATGCCCAAGTTCCAATCGATGACCCGCAGAAAGTTTTTCGCCCGGACGAACGTGATGATATTCTTCGTGCCGGTCGTGCTCATATTGGTCTTCCTGTGCGCGCGTTATCCAGCTCGAGAATGCTCGCCGGATGAACAGATGATTCTGGACAGTAAGCCCAAGTACCGGCTCATTATTCTGATTCTCAGCAGTCCGGACAACCTCGAGCGCCGGGACACCATCAGGAAGACCTGGTTGGCCGATCGTGGCCACGATGCCATGATGAGACATTTCTTCGTCGTCGGCACCCAGGACATCCTGCCGGAGCAAAGGAACACCTTGCAGTCGGAAAAGGAGAAGTTTGACGATCTGTTGCTGTTGCCTCGATTGCAAGATTCCTATGGCATATTGACAAAGAAAGTTCTTTACGCTCTTAAAGGCATCTATGAGCGTTACAACTTTGATTTTTTGTTAAAATGCGATGATGATTCTTATATCTTGGTGCATAAGATCTTGAAGGAGCTAGACAGGTGGCAGAACAAAGGTACTAGAAGAGAGCTCTATTGGGGTTTCTTTAATGGACGAGCGCAGGTGAAGAGAAGCGGTCCCTGGAAAGAGACAGATTGGATCTTATGCGATTATTATCTTCCTTATGCCTTGGGTGGCGGATATGTCTTGTCTTACAATCTCGTCAAGTTTATCGCCAGTAATGCAGATATCCTAAAGTGAGTATGATTATAAGTAAAATATATGTTTTGTATATTTAATATTCAGCTTGTTATATATAATATAGAAAATTAATGAATCTAGGTATTTACCTTTTAACTTAATACAATACAACTAACTAAATACAATATAAAAGGCCAGCTTGAATCTTCAGCAAAATATATAAAAATATTAGTCTTCATCTGCGAATTTTAAGACAGATTGATTATAGAGACTGAATTTTTACATATTTTGCTGAAGATGATTCAAACTGGCGATCAAAACGTTCGAATAAATTTTTAAATTCAATAAATTATATATTGCGCTATTTATTCTAGACTGCAAAATTCTGAAGACATCTCTGTAGGTCTTTGGCTGGCACCATTGGCGAATATTGAAAGAAAGCACGACGTACGTTTCGATACCGAATATAGATCGCGCGGTTGTTCCAATCAGTACATAATCACGCACAAGCAAACTATTCAAAATATGAGGAGTATGCACGAGTATTATCAGGCCTCCGGAGCTCTATGTTCCAAAGAAGAGAAGAATCGCATGAGTTATCAGTACAATTGGACTGCGCCACCAAGTCAATGCTGCAACAGACAATCCGGAATCCCTTAATATAAAAGAAAAAAGATTTCTGCAATATTCTAGTCTGATTTTTTGAGACTTGCTCAAAAAAAATATACTTTTTATTTCATATATTTATAATGATATGCCATACAAGAACATTTTATTTATATTCTATCTTATATATTTGTTAGAATAGTTATAGATAAATATTAAATGCCATAAAATAATCATATACTTTTCTCAAATTGTATTCTAAACAATATTATTGAATACGGAGAGACAGTTGCAGATTGCAGTCGCGATTTTCCTTTTAAAGGATTAAAATGAGAATTATGAATTTGAAGTTGACTCGAGCATTATTGTATCATAGCATGCTATTAAGCAAAAACGCGCTTGTAAATACATTCTGTAAATACTTAGCAATGGATAGATAGACATAGACAAGATAAGCTTCGATGAATCAAATATATTTTTTTTAATCATATATAGTGCATTTTGTTTATAATACATTTTTCATCTTCAACAGAAGCTTACTTCATGTATATATTATATATATATATATATTTATATAATATACTGCAATTTACATTTATAATATACAAAAACAGTAATAACGTTAATAATTTAATACTATAATTGAAACTATATATTAGATCAATACTAGATCACACTGCGAACAAATCACAGATATATTCAACGGCCACTTAAAAAACGATAAGAACATCAACCAATTTTGTCAATATGGAATGGAAATGCATTATACATACCTATTACTTTACTTATTACTTTTACATTTCTTTCATAAATTTGTTTTATACTTTTTTTTGTAAAAAAATTATTTGACTTTGAATGCAAAAAAGTTAAGTATTCTAGTTTTAGAAATAATGTACAATATGTAGTCTTTTCTTTAGAAATGTAGCAATGAGCAAATTCAAATATTCCTAGGTTTCATTTCTTTTTGCGATCTTGCGTACATTTAGGACAATACCATTTTCCTTTAGGTTTTGTAGTTAAACCTACACAGGCAAAGTGGAACCATTCTATGGGACACTGAAAAGTGAAAAAATAAATGATTACTTATCTCAATCTCTTGTAGTATTTATAATTTTTCATTGTAAAATAGATAAAAATAGAAAATTTTTAACAGAATGTGTATGTATAAAAACATTTCAATCAATAAACAGTGACAATAAATAAAGTTTCGTTTAAGAAAGATTAATTATCAAATTTTAATTTAAAAGAATTTGAAAATTATTTGAAATAAAATCAATTAATGATAGTAAATAAATCACGTATGCAATTCAATTTTTTCTAAGAAACGGTAAATTTAAAATAATATAAAAAAAATAATTATTAAGATTGCAAAACTTACATCTGGATTATCGCAACCAATCATTTCTCCATATGATACTTGATGACAAAGACAGTAGGTCGGTTCATTAGGATCGACAGGCATATCCAGAACATCAGCTGGATGTCCAAGTGCCGTCGAATCCACTTGGGCACCACTACCCGCAGCACCGGTGGATGATGCTGAAGCTACAGAGCCACCTAACATAAATATATATATTTATTCATAATAAATTTATAAAATTAATTTGAAAAAATAACAAGATTTTATAATGAATTGCAGTTGCAAACTTGATATAAACATGCCTTTTTTCTGCTTCTTTCTTGCACTTTTGGCTTCATCCTCGCTGCTTACAACATTACCCTTTTTCCTTTTCTCTTTTTCCTTGAGTTTCTTTCTACCTTTCTTGCTGGCATTGTTCTCCTCTTGTGCTCTACTATTGTTCAATGTCTTGTCCTGTATCTCTGCCTCGAATCTCGCTAGATCTGAATCCAGGCGTCTAATGTGTTTATCAACCAATTCATAAGTTTGAATAGCTAGTTGAACCTTATCATCACCATATTCCTTTGCTTTATTAAAAAGACTTTGAATATGGGCGAGCTGTTCTTTCCTCTTCTCCGATGATTCTTTCTTTGCATTTCTCAAGTAATCATCCGCCAATTTGTCGATGTCTTTCATCAGACCTTGTGCCCTCGCATCCAAGTCTCTCATCAGTGTAAAATTTCTCTGTAATTCGATTGGTAAATGCTCGAGACCTACAACATGCATTTTAAATTTTATTTTAGTTTATTTTTATTTAAATAATAGTGATATCTTTCTTAAGCTGTTAGCTTAAAATTTGTGTAAGAAACGATAAATGTTTGTTTACAATTTGATAGTTAAGATTAAATAGAAGACAGATGTTGAAATGTAAAGACTATAAAGAAAAATAAGGAAGATAGCAAACATTAAATAAAAATGACATAAGTTTATTATCCTTCTTTCTTGCTCTCTTAGATAGAGGAATAAGAGAAAATAGAATGAAATAAAAGAATTTGCAAAATGGCAATCGTTAAAACTCACTGTCGAGATAGTGCTCCAAATACAATGCGGTCGTCATGATGGTGGTTATAGTGTTGTATCTTCATGTAAACAATGCGGACCAATGCGTGAACATTCGCATGATAGCGTGAATATTTTTTGTATGTACAATATCAGCCGGAGACAATAGCGAAATAAATTCGTTCAACACAATCAATGACGGCTGCAAATGATAGAGAATGAAAAAAACACAACAAATTTCGTAGCTCCCGTAAATTTTTCAAGCATAAACCGTGTCATTTAAGATGAGTTAAGATGAGAGACACTCAATATAATTGCTCATTGAATGCTCGTTCGTGATTGGTGTATATTTGTAGACTTTGGATAGATGTAAAAGTACGGAAGCGTCCCGTTTGACCACAGCCAATTATATCAACCTGTGCCTAGGGTAACCCTCAATGATTGACCAATCAGAGAGTCTTATTTTGAATTGATCAATTGGCGACGTGGTCAATCGGGTACCATCCTAAAAGTACGCACCAATCACAAACATACAACAGCTCAATGTCATCACATTCCGTGTGGAACTAGAGTCTTTCAAAAATCTTTCAAAAATAAATTCTTCGATTAGGGTATAGAATATACAATATATTATATATATGGTGTGTGTGTATTATAGCCAATATAAATTCATTATTAATAAATTTTAAAATAATTAACAGAAAAATTCGTTTTCTAAAACGTCATAAATTTTCTTAGAAATTACATTCTATTGAATAGAGGGATTCCATATATATATCGATCGCAGTTTGAATCTACTGATAAAAAAATGCAAAAAACCCAATATGGCATATATGTGGCGAGTGCGATTGAGTGTCACTGCATGATATGCATCACAGCCAATATGGTTGCTTTCGTATTTCATAGAATTGAGGTGATTGTATTATTCTGAAAAAAAAAATGATTTTTGAATGAATTATTACGGCGAGTAAGCCTGCTTGATAGTCAAACTACACGGCAGGATTGACTAGGATTCACTGTGATTATCGAAAAAATCTTACGCAAGTTATAACGATACGACAATATAAATACAGAAAAGACACACAGAGGTATGTGTTTGACATTTCCCATACTTGACAGATTTTTTTCATATAAATCTATCCTAAAAAATAAATATAAATAAATTTCTTAATGTTTTTATAATTAAGAATCAATATTTATGGAAATTTCTTATTTTCAAGTAAATAAATATTGATTTTTTTTAAAATTTATTTTATAACTTGTGTACAAATTTGATAATTAATAATAAATAATTGTAAGTTGCGTAATTTATAAGATTTATAAGCAACTCATTATGCTTTTAAACTTATTTTCAACTTATTTTGAGTTGCTAACATTAAGAAATTTATAAATTTAGATAAATAATAAAATCTTAGTATATTATATGAAAAGTTTCTTATTCTACAAAGTTAATTATTCTGATTAATGCTTGATAATTAATTAATTATCAAACAATTTATAATATGTGGAAAACAAACATTTATATCTAAAAAATTTGAACAAGATCCATAAATATTGATTGGCAAATATATCTTAATATTATATTTATATTATTTTGTAGGTTAAGATGGTGAAGTTGTATGCATTGACTGTTCTATATAAAAGCCCTACATCAGCAACAACATTGAAAGCTGCTTATGATGTAGAATCATTTTCATTTTTTCAGAGAAACAGTATTAAAGAATTTATGTGTTTTGTCAGTAAAACTATTGTAGAAAGAACACAAACATGTGCTAGACAGAGTGTCAAAGAAGGAGGTAATTGTAATAAGAATAAATATTTTATATCTTTGCAAGAGAAAGAGAAAGAGTAAAATATTATTACAAAGCACATTATAACATTACACAGAATACATGTGCCATGTGTACGTGCGCGCTGATAATCTTGCTGCAGTACTCATCTCGGATCACGAATATCCCAGGAGAGTGGCGCATACTTTAATCACAAAGATAATGGATGAGTTTGAAGTGAAGAATTTGTCCTCGACATGGCCTGCACTCAAGGAGGCCACTACTGATTTCCCACAGATCAATACATATTTAGCTAAATATCAGAATCCAGTTGAGGCGGATGCGCTTACAAAAATGCAAAATGACCTGGACGAGACGAAAATTATCTTGGTGAGAAACAATTTTGTTCATATTTTTTTTTAATTTTTAAAGAATTTATTTTTAAAAAGCTTATTAAGAAAATTATTAAACAAATTATTAAAAAATATCTGTAAAACATTTTATAAAACTTCAATGTACAAATGCAATGTATCGCGTATAAATATTCAAAATTATAACTTTCATAACTTTTATCAGCACAATACCTTAGAGGCAGTACTACAGAGAGGGGAGAAATTAGATGATCTAGTCTCCAAATCAGAGGGACTCAGTATTCAGTCGAAAGCGTTTTACAAGACTGCACGGAAAACTAATTCCTGCTGTAGTTTAGCTCCTTAGGATGTATGTATCTTTATTTTCAGTGAATTTCATCGCTTTTTCGATAAATGTTTATAATCTTCGCGATATAGAAACATAAATGATATTTATATGATTCTTGGAAAAGATGATATGTGGGAGGAAGGAAAGGTTTAGCTAGCAAATGGAGAGATATAATAGAGAATAATCAATTTAATTTTTTCGATGGAATGTAATTTGTTGAATTTCTAATTCAATAATAGACAAAAAGCAAACCACTGCCGGTTTCCTCCCAATTAAATGGATTTTTTATATGGATGTTATATATTCCCGTAGAATTTGTCTACTTGCAAGAAACGGTCCTAAACACAATTATCATTATGTAAAATTACTTCCGAGATGAATTTTGTGTGAGGGAAAATGATTGTAATGGAATTTCTACAGTGTCAAAGGTCGCCTTAAACATAACATTCCGAATGTTAATGTGCCCTTTTTACGTGTAAAAAAAAACGCAATTGCGTGAGGAAATTTTATTATAAAAATCTCGTGGATCGACAGAACTGAGCAAATGGTATTCGATTAAGTTCCAGTTTATTAAATATCATCAATTTAAATATATGTGTATATATATATATATATATATATATATATATATATATATATATAATCAAAAAAATTTTTGTATTTGATAAAAGAAGAATTTTTTTATAATTTACCGGAAATAATTTTATGTAATTTTATATTTCTTGAAACTGTGCAATTTTACTTACATATATGGATTGAGAGATTATCCATTTTACATTTTAATGTGAAAAATATTGTACATACATTTAACGATATTATTTAACACTGGTGTACGTATATACCAATTCTTATTCTTTAATATGAATTGTCTCAAAATGAATATTATATTAACATTTATTACACATGTTTCATCATTAATTAAAAAACCATAAAACAATTACGTCATTTGAGCTGATGTAGTAAAACTTTGAAAAATGTGTCTTGAGAAAAAAAGAAAAAATAATGTTATATGTATAAAATATTTAAGTGATATCTAATCTTTATACTATGTATGTTGAAGAGTTTCATAAGCCAGTAAATATATGAATTAATATATTTTTAAATGTTAATATATTATATATATGATGTATTCATAAAAAAAAAAAGAGATAATTTATACATAAAACAACAATGTGAAATAGATTTAGCTAAATGCATGTATTATTGAGATTATTATTACTGTTATGATTATTAAAGTATACCGCTCATAAATATAATATAGTATTTCACTACTATCAGTCTTTAACATATTTTTTGACAAATTTGAAGTAGATTTTTCAACTATATCGAAAAAAAATTATAGGAATAGATTTAATTTTGAAAGCACTGTCAAGAAATTAATAATTACTATTGCTACAAAAGTGTAATAATGAAATAGCTGGAGGTAATTTGATAAAAATCAAGGATGAAAAGAGCCACGAGTTTCCCAATTTATTGATTATAATTAAAATTTATTTTTTACCTGACTGTTTACAAGCTCTATTTTTTCTAGATATACCATCTCACTGCATTCTCTCACTGCATTGAAGCAGTCTTAAGTTTCTTAATTTCTTCTCTTGCTACTTCTAAGTCGCGCGGAGTTTTTCTTAAAGCCCTAATAACAGAATCTGGAAGAAATTTCCATAGAACATTTTTGTCTCCTAAAGAAGTGTTGTATCCTTTAGTATATTTATTTCCAGGTACCTGTAACAAAAATAATAATTATATATGACGAATCCAAACCGGGAAGATTAAATTTTGTTTTTTATATAATTTAATGTTTATAATACAACTAAACACATATTTTTATTTATCAATCTATCTTCTTATGAGATATTGTATATATGATTTATTATATTATGATTAAATGATAATTTATGACTTGCATAATTGATGAATTTCTATTGTAAATAAATCTCTTGTATTGTATATACACACTGTTTGCAGCATTGTAGATAATTCTTCATCTTGCTCTGGTGTATAGAGCAACTCTGGTACTTTAAATTCATTTCTCATATAATCGGCGTGCAAGTAAAATCTGTCTGTATAAATTTGTCTTTTAGTTCGAAGCTCCTGAACATTTTCAAATGTCCAATCTGACATTTTCTCAACTTTCTTATCGTAATCAAAATTCAATGACTCAATATCATCAGTAATAGTAGAAATATCTCCTTCATTTGTCCAGTCATAGATTAGTACATGAGAATGTGTTACAGCATCTCTCAGATAATCCTGCTTATATATATCTTCGATATCTTGAAGATACTCTGGTGTAAGTACCTTTGAATTTATTTCATATGGTATACCACGCTTTTTTATTTTTTCCTGTAAATGTTAAGCATAGAAATTAACATAAAATATTTTAAATGTAAATTGATCTATGAGAGAGAGTTAAAAGTCTGATATACTATAAAATAAAACTACCTTGACTACATCAACAGGTATATCCAAATAAACAATTAAATGAGGCCTCAGCATCATTAATTTTGCAATTCTTACAATATCAATGTAAAAATTCAATGCTTCTTGACGCATATAACCAGCATTTGTCATTGCTTTTGCAAATATATAATCACTGTAGAAAGAGCGACTGAGCACTACTCCTTGACCGGTTGATAACAAGTGTAACAAGGCAGTAATATATTGATCAAATTTGAGTTGAAAATAATGAAATTGAAACATGGGCACATTGGGATGTTCAGGATTCGTCAGGAATTTTTGCACATCACATGATTGCGTTGATAGAGACAGTCTGTCATCTAGCGTACGCACATCGTATCCATATTCATTTATATAATATTCGTCGAAGGTCGGTGGTGGTAAATAAACCATATCGAATTCTTCTGCTAATCTCGCGGCCAGCTTCGACTTTCCTGCGGCGATCGGACCTTCAACAACGATTACCTTACTATTTTCGTCGCATCGATCGACCATCGGATCGAAAAGCTGAGCCCAGAAACCATATTGTTTGTTCAAGTAATCGAATGGTGGAAGTCGTCGTCGATCGACTCGTCTTGACTTATGTGAGATGAATGCTACTTGCATTACATTGCTGGTGGTTGTTACCTGCATAATCCATATAAACTATTGACAATTGACAAAATGTGCATATATTTATATTACATTATTTAAGATTTTACAATGTCATCTATAGAGAGATCTACTTTTATGATGAATATCAATTATATGATGATTAATTCAATTATTGGCGTCATTCAATTATTCTGTGAAATGTTTCCAAAAATAAAATCTGTTGACACTTTATCAATACTAACCTTACATAACTGTCTGGTAAAGTTATTGTATCCGACTCTCGCGATACTAACGCGAACAATCGATGCCATTCTGTCTTATATAATCTTTAAATGAAGAAAAATAAATATTAATCGTTACAAGTCAGAATGAAAGCTAAACATTGCTCAAAGCCTCTCGAGATTCCTTAATTTAACTCGCTCTTGCCTTTCCCATCCTATAGATCGCAACTGTCTGAAGTCAGTCGACGTGCCATATGATCCATCAGTGGTGATCAACTAGCGATTCCTACAAATTGATAAAGCTTATCTTTTCGGTAAAATTTTTTTTTTCAAAAAAGAACGTTTTAAATATATATTTATTAATTTTAAAATAATATTAATTTTAATTGTTCGTTTCTTTTTACAGACAAAATTAATATGAATAAAACTGGAAAAGAAAATAGAAACATAGTATATAATTAGATGGCGCCAGAAAAACTGATAGTGTCTTTGGCTCTCGTAAGTTGATAACCTGTACGAATTGTCAGTACACATACAACGAGACCCTCGGTATCAGTGTCGCTTGGAGACTTGCGTCAAATTTCATGGGCGAATGATTGTGGTACGAAACGGATAAGTGAAACCGAAGGAAAAAAGTGGAAAAATACGCAGTGTATACATACAACCGTTCGTCGTGTAGACCCGCAAAAGACGACGACAACGAGAATGAGCGAACTCGTCTGGGGAATAAAAAACGGCGATCTCGAGCAAGTGCGAGATATCGTCGAAAACAAGGCAAATATGACACCGTATATAAAATTAAATTTTGAAAAATTACACGTATTCCGATCGCGGCGATTATGCGTAACGTCTTCATGTATATCATTAAGTACACGCGAAAGAGATCGTTCCAACAATTGGAAAATAATAGCGTACCTTGATGCCGGAAGTATATGGGAGCAGTGCAATTATAACACAATGACATGTCCCCTCATTTATCTGCCACTAACAAATTTTAATCTTTCTTCTCTCTTGCAAGTTCACCTCTTAAGCGTCCATATATTATTTCTTCGAAATTTAATCCTGAATGCAATTTCAAAATTACAATAAATCTTATAGCACAGTAATACATTTTAGAATTGTTACTTATCATATTTGGAAGAAAATTACAAGATAAATTAACAAGCTATCTTACAATTATAATAATTATAATAATTATAATAATTATAATAATTTATTATAATAATTATAATAATTATATTATAACTTCAATAACGTATCAGTAAAATTTTTTATTACATATATCAATTAATTATATATTTGTTAATTTAGGTCTAACATTAAAAAGATATACTTTGTCACCTGTTATTATTGTTATTTGTAGAATATTGATGTAAATCAAATGATTGATGGAAGAACGCCACTACATTATGCAGCAGATTATGGTCAAAGCGAAGTCGTTAGATATTTGTTGGACAAGGGAGCGAATGCTAATGTAAGTTATATATCTAAATATAAACAATTAAAATAGCAATTAAAACAGCAATTAATATCATAGTTAAATTATTAATATCATAGTTATATTAGTTAATTGTATATGATATGATGTAATTTTTTTATATTTTGTTTAGAATTGTTCATAGATAATTATTTTCTTGATACTAACTATTTTTCTTGATACAATAGCAATTATTTTTTTATTCATTATCTATATAATTCAACATACATACTGCTAAATATAGCAAAATCTCATAGTTTCATCTTTTATAGGCTACAGATAAGCATGGAATTACAACATTACTGGCGGCAATCTGGGAGGGACATACAAACTGTGTAAAGCTATTGTTGGAGAAAGGCGCTAAACCGGACGGTTTAACACCAGATGGTACAAGTTATCTGGATGCGGCTGAGAAAGACGAGATTAAACAACTTTTGAAACTCCACTAGCATAAAGCTAATCAAAACGCGAAATAATTTTGTTATTTTAATACGTTAATGTTCCTCCTTATAGAGAGAGAGACTATTCCACCGCAGCTTTGTTTTAATTTCTCGCCTATGATGACTAGGATATCGTATTTAAGCATTTTAAATTAAATGAACATAGGTACGTGGATACTGTTTTATAATAATAATAATAATAATAAAATGTACTGCATGTCGACAGAGTGTACAATGAAGAAATTATATTCTTCTCGTGATAATTAATTCTTCATGGTTCTAAGTACACTTATATAAGTTACAGGTTTAGAATAATAAGATATTATTTCGCGCGCATAATTGCGACCGGTTAAGAAAATTAGTTTAAATCTTCACATCATACATAACATACACACATACACGCACAGACACGTATACATATATACACATAAAATATAACGTATTTTGATATATTCTCTAAGGTGGTGCATATATTGTTTGTTATTAATTTATAAAAAACTTTCCTGAAAACTTTTTTATACATTTTTATGTAAATTCGCAATTGTTTATAATATCTTAATCTCCATTTTATGCCTGATATTTTGGTGATTAAGTCGGTGGGATTCCTTATACTCTGAAACAAAGCGCTAAACTGTCCTTTGAGATACTTGTGCATTGAGTTTTGAACGAGATATGTATAAATTGCGATAAAAAAGAAATAATACATTTGCAATGCATTAACAAGGTGTAACGTATCTAATGAATGCTAAGGATGTACAATAATCAAAAATAATAAATACATCATTGTTATATGAACACATGATTTCGTTTTCACATCCAATTATACCAAACTCTCTAAATCTCAGATCTTAAATAAAAAGAATATATTTTTATTATATTATTAAAAATCATCTTTATCTAATTATTGAAATAATTTAATCATTAATATTATTGAAGCATTAACATAATATGATTCGCTGAAATAATTCATAAAAAATCAAAAGTGGATATAAATGAATGTAATGGAAAATCAAATAGATATTTATAGCAAATTTTTATGCAAATGAAATAATATAACATACTATCTCTTATATGTAACATATATTTTTATATCTTATGAATTTTTCTTAAATGATGGCAGTAATATGATATATATACATATTATATTACATAAGATTAATTGTCAATTTTGTTAAAATACATAAATTGTATTCTCACAAAGAACTACAAAATACAAAGTTTATAGAAGACGTCCTCGACAATTCGCTGCACCACATTTACAAATTATTACTTTACCCGGTATACTTCCTACATCGTAACTATAATTCCATGTTAGTTCTTGTCCAGCTTTTATGTATTGTAAAGCGAAAAATGCCACCCACGGAAAACGCACATCGTGCGTATCGACAAAAACATTTTGTACAAACACGTTTGGATCGCAGGAGTGCTGAAAAAATATTTAGATAAAAATGACATACATATTTTAGCACATTAAGAATTCACATATCACGAAATGTTAAATCATTAAATACTAAGATAAATATTGAAGTATATTTTTAAAGTTTAAAATTTATGTTTTAAATATAATATAAAAAGTTTTTTTTACTCACATTCAAATAACGACCAATATTTCCAGTCGTTTTGGCATCCATGATATAAACGGCTTCATCTTCACCGAAATAATCTCTTACAGATTTGAATGCTAATCTTTCTATTTGCTGTGGTTCTACACTCGGTTCGAATCTACTTGGTTCTCTTCTTACATCGTTTCTGCTTTCATCATCATCACTTATATTAATTGTATCTAGAATTTCAATGGTGGATGATTTTGTTGTATTTTCCGAACCTTTCGTGCTTCCGTCCTCACTATTTTCTTCGGACGCATCTAGTTGATAATCTACATCTTCTCTTTTCCGTTTTCTTAGACGTTTCCTGACATAACAAAAAGCTCTTGCAATTTTTTTCCACTTCCATCGAATATTATAATTTTAAAAAATATAATATACAATTATAAAAAATAGATTCTTATATATTTTATGTAATAATAACATTTTAGAAAATACAGAAGTTGTCATTTAAGATAGAATTAGACAGGCAATAAACACCTGATAGATGAAGATTCTGCAGTTGTTTCTAACTCATTATTGTCAGCTACGTAATTATCGATGTTGAAATCTTCATCTGAGTCATTAGTGTTTTCCTTCGTATTATCTTCCTCATCGGTGTCGTTAGGTTTTTTCTTATCATCTTTCGCGGCTGGTAGCGGCATTTCTGGTTCGAGAACATCGCTTTCATAACCCTCCTTGAATCCTTCTACCACCTCCACATAATCTAACTCTGCTAGATACTCATCGCCATAATTTTTACCTCCCTCGTTTGCGCCCTATAAATTAACAGGTGTAAGTAAACAAAAAATAGATTAATAAATTGATAGGCAGATTGAAATTAATTCTAATTATTCAAACCTGTTCAGTGAGTAATCTCCCTGCATATATGCAGATAAAAGTGCCATGAGGAATGTCATTGAGGCATCTTATGCCCCAACCACGAGGTCCCGTTTTAAACACTTGTAATCTTAAGCCGAGAGGATGCTGCGCTACTCTATTGAGACATGTTTTCACCGAACACTTGCATCCCGAATTACATTCGTAAATTCCCGTAGTTACCGGTTCGGGCAAACGTTTATAAATGTAACCAACATCGGTATTTGGCACTTTTCCTCCAAGAGTTGCTCCTTGTATAGTTAATTGCCAGCATTGACATTTTGTTTTATCCTATTATTATATGTAATGTAAATAAAATAAAATAATACGAATTTGCATTATATCATAGTAATTTTATAGTCCATACTTGACAATCGTCCTCGCAATCGCAGCTGCATAAAAACGCAGGATCCAAATTTAAATTAACACCTTCCGTTGGCTCTCGATCTGTGGTGTATCTTATAGTATCCGGTTGAGTGTGATCCAATTCATTCACGCATGGTATCGTTACATTTTCCACGCCGTAACTGAGATCCTATTAAATATCAAATTACCATATTATTCATATATTTTAATACATTTACATTTTATATTAATATATTTATATGAGATAATATATTTTTATGAGATATTGACAATTTTTCATACTTCTGTAAATATTTTAAATACATTTTTAAATTTTAATATAAATAACTTACTTTGATGTTGATGAAGCACTTCTCTACGATAAAATCTGCGAAGGCACGCACCCAATAATCAAAATCGAACAGATCAACAGACAATGTACTGTCAGTCATGCGAAGATAACGATGTAGCTCCTCCATATTTCGTAGTCTGACGCCACACGGCGCTTGATAAATTATAACTTTTTTGCCCTTAGAATATTTACAAAGCTGACGATGCCAGCCACATAAGAGAGGAACAGAGAGTGGAGAAAGTCCTTTGAGATCGTCGTGTGAAACTTTGATGTTTTTGATACACTTTGATCCACACTTGTGAGAAACATATTTCTTTGGTTCATATTTCCTCTGTGTATGGTAAAACTAGACCAAATATAGCATATAAATATATGAGCATGTCTTAAACTAGAGAAATTAGATTGTATTAATTATTATTTACTTACAACGATACTATGCGACGGTTTTGCTTCTATCATAGAATTATATGTTGCGCTATCTAAATTATTTTGCCTTTTAGCAGTACTTTTTTTAGCTACAGCACGCGATTGTTGTGGTATAGTAGATGATGTACTGGATGCTATGCTTGTAGTAATTGTTGCTTTTTCTACCTGTACATTTTGTGATACATCTTCTTCCACGTTAGATGTATATTCAACATAAGGTAAATTACTTTTCTGCAAAAATTATGTTATTTATAAATAGATGATATTCATGAGTTTTTTTTTAAATTTAATATTTTGAATATCGCACATTGATGTGTTTCTCGAAAATGATTTGCTTACATTAGAAACAGCAGGAATACGATGTCGAGCGTGCGCATTGCCCGACTGTTGAAGTTGTTGTCTAGTATTAGCTTTTAGAATTTCGAGATACAAAGGACCTAATCTAGTTGATCCACGATAAATCCATTCGGTTCTCTTATCAGCATCAAAATGCATTTGCACTAAACTTGCGTCGACCTGTATGACTCTCGCGAGCCACCATTTGCCCTTCCATTCGGTCTTGACCATTTGGCCTGTTTGCAGTTTCACCATTGGTCTTTCGGGATACGATTCCAAGTATTTTTTTACAAAATCTCGCGATTCGCTGGGAACATCTTCCCAAATTCGTAGCGAGGTTTCCCAAACCAGAAAGATATCTTTATGAGTGACATACTGAGCATAACCATCGTCGAAGAACACTAAATATCTGCAATAAAAATTAATGTAATATATTATATAATATGTGATATAATATATGACAAAACTTGCAAAATTGATAGAACTATTTTCATTTATTCTTTGTGAATAAATTTGTGAATAAAAACAAAACTCCTGAACATTTACCTATATTTGTTTGTAGATTTTGGTGGTTCAGCAATTATTCCACTATAATAATTACTAGAAGTAATATCGTGAAATATAGCCACAACTCGTGTTCCAACCGGAATCATAACTTGACATGATTCTGCTACTGCTAGCTGCTTACCAGAAATAGTTTTAATTGCTGCATTATACTTTTTTTGCAATAGCTTTACACGAATACTCCATGGATTTGTTGTGACTATAACTTGGACCTGTACAAATATTCCTGTATTATAATCTTTTTTTATTTGTCTGATAGAAATATGAAAAAAAAAATATGAAAAAAAAACAATATTTTAAGGTGGAAATTATACAAACCCTATACCTTTGCTTTAATCCATGGCATAACTGGATTTTTCATAATATAAACTATACTATCTACTTTCGGAGGTGATTTTACGAGAAAACCGCTTGGCGGTAATTTAGGAACTATTGCTTTCGTGATGTTTGATGGCTCAATTGCTAAAACTTCCAACTGATTATCTTGTGATAGTGTGGCAGATGGAATGCGTACTTGAGTTACTTTTTTCGTTGCTACAAGCGGATGAACGTTTTCCGTAATTCCGTCGTTTATTTGAAGTTCCTCAAGCATTTTAATTTGTGGCCTAAAATCTTCATATAACTTATTGCGTAATTTATCCATGGTATGCATTACTTCCCGTATTTCAGTATGAAGAGATTCATTTGTTGCTGTTAATGCATATGATACAAAATTTATCTTATTTAAATATCTTATCTTGTTTAAATAAAAAAAAATATAAAGATTCATATTTTCTGTAATCTTACCACGTATGTCTTGCCATTTTTTTTCCATAGTTTTATACACAGTTTTAGTATGCTGTTTTATATTATACTTCTTGAAAATATGCAATAATGTATCATCTAATTTATCCTTAATATCTACGAGTATATCTTCTGATATATATTCTACAAAAAGAGAAAAATAGAAAAGACAATTATAATTTTTGTTTTACTAATTTACTTAATTTGATATTTAAGAAAATTTGATATTTTTTATTTTAAAATAAAATATCAAAAGTTCAATCCAAAATACCATCATCCAATTCCTTTTTCTTCTCATCATCAGAGTCATCACTATCAGAAATTTCTACTTCCATTGTATGATCGGG